AAAACCACGTTAACGACCAAGGGTATCCGAGAAAAAACCTAAAATGAAACAATGGATGATGCTCCTGCCAGGATGTGTAGGTAGGTAGGCAATAATTGGAGCAGTCTGTAACATAGGGGTTGAGATTACGTATGTTGCTTGCTAGAAGAAAATAGAAAACGGGAAGTTGTAGGAAAGGGATATATTTGTTAACTTTACATGTCCACCGGTGCTTTGGATTTTCTTTTTGCTTAAATCGATACGGGGTACATGGGAGGGAAAGTCACACGAACGTAAAGGGGGGTAAGGATTGACTGCGTTAATGAAGGAAAAGTGGATAATGCAAGAAAACGCGTCTACGCACAAAAAGAAAGGAGAAGAAGGTGAGTAGCTAAAACCGGAATCGAAATTTGTCAAGGGGAAGGCAGAAAAGAAAGGGAAAAGAAGAAGCAAATAAATATAAATACCCCGCCCGAGAAAAATGGTATAGTTGAAAGGGATATTACGGTTCATTTTTGTTCATCATGGCAGAATGTAAGATATCCAGCTTGCTTTTCCGCGTTACTAAATGGTCGTGACATATATGTTTGGGGGAATGAGTGTTGTAAGATGTAGCTGTGAGTGTTGTAAGATGTAGCTGTGATGTGGAAAATAGGGAGGATGTTGGAGGGAGATGTGTGTAGTGACCGTGGCTTCGAGTGGTGCGAGAAGATATAGCGCGGAGGGCGATAGCGTAGCATAGTGCGCTGTATGCAAATGAGCGTGAGCCAACGGAAAGCTGACAGAATATTGCCATGCAGATTTCTCGACCGTGTCGCGATGGAAGTAAGAAAAGTAAAACGTTGGGGTGACGGAGATGGGGGAACATAGGGAAATTTCGCAGCAGGCGTGTGAGGTCGAGTCTCCCAAATTAAACTAAATATGCTACATGCGCACAACGCGTCATTGAACGATCGATTCAATCCATTGAATAAACATCTATGCCATCAACCATTGATATTTCTTAAAACTCCACCATAATTCGGTCGATTCTGCTGTGGCGGCGCCGTACCCGATCTCTGCAGCCGTGATCGATCAGAGACAGACCTATTCCCATCCCTACTGCCATTCCGATATCCGGTTGACGGAGAGGTCGTCGCCGGACGAGCAAAATTTCGGAACTGTTGTTGGACGGGGGGAAGAGGAAGAGGTAGGTCAAGAGTACCTTGGTTTCGCGGAGCGGGGCTTTGTCTGGCGGAATGAGTTGAAAAGTGTTGATAGTCGTTGGAACTATTACTCCTGCTGAGGTTGTTGGAAGGGAGGCGTGGCGTGTATGCTCTCGCCGGCGTTGGGAACTGGGAACGATCCACTGGTGAGCGTCGGTCGCTGATAGCTGGCATTGCTGGTAAGAAGGAGAACTGTTGTTCGTTGAGGGTAGATGATGAATCTAGGGCAGCAGGTGAGCGGTATTCGTGGGGTCTTGGGCCGGCCATGAGTGACAGTGGCATTCCTTGAGTATCGATTGGGTCAAGAGTTGGAGGTCCACTTTGGTTATAGCGTGGTTCGTTGGTATAGCTGAGAGCTCCTCCATTCTTCACTAGTGGTACGTTGTCATCTGAGAGGCGAGAAATGTGATTGCTGCCCATGGACAGGTCCTCATTGGACCAGTTAAGCTCGGGCAGGGCTGGTTGGCGGTAAGAATTAGGGCCTGCCGTGGGAGGGAGTGAATATGGTGGGAGGGTCGTGAGAGTGGTCTGTCGTGATAGGGTCGGCATTTCTGGAGGTTTGTCCGAGGATGCTTGATGGAAAGTAGGCAGGGTTGGTTGTCGCTTGAAAGAGCCAATTCCAAGTTCAGAGTCAGAGAGTTGGCGATCTTGCAGCACGACGTCTTTAGCCAAGACCTTGTCAACCTTCTCCTTGACGATTCGCTCGAATCGGATGTTGATCTTACGACGGCAGTAGGCGGTCAGGGAGCCGTCCTCGGAGGGTATATGATGCCACAAGAAGAGAAGGTAGAGAATGCATGAAACGAATAGACTTAGAATCGAAACCACCCAGATAACAAGGGTAAAAAACATCGCAGAGAGAACCACTGCTTGTCGCTGATCCTTATCAGCCAGGGTTCGAACGTTGAAAAAGAATTGCGCTACAGGGGATATGCCTTTCGGGGGAGCGTGCTCTCCTCGGAGGATCAGATCTGATTCCATAACAGAGTAAAGAATTGTCGCATTGATAAATTGACGGGGTCCTTCCGCGATAACAACTCGCGTCCACGCTTCAAAGTTGAAGTATGTAAAAAGGGCGACGTAATCGGCGCCTTTCTTGCTCTTGGTGAGTGCGTAGAAGACCAAGAAACGACGCCAGCCACGACCGTTTTCTCCCACGCGGATACTTTGAATTCTGACAGCCAGAGGGTCCAGATAGCTCTGGGCAACGCCGCCCTGTTTGATAACACGCACCGCACGGATCCACCGGCATACCAGGAGAACGAATGATAGCATAATACATCCAGAGAAGATCCATTTTGAGATGTGTCTTGGGATCAATTGTTCTCGCTCCGTCGACCATCGATTAAATGCGATCAAGTTAACAGCAGTGAAAGTATCGACACCATATACGGCAATTGATATAAAGACCGAGACCCAAAGAATGACATAGGAGAACTGAGTAAAACACGACGTCGACTTGAAGTCCGATAGATTCTACGAAGCGTTGTGGTTGGTTATATATAAGCAATATGTATTAATCTTGGAGAGGGGTAACCCACAATGTATTCCCACTTCTGTTCCGCTCGCATATGCCCCCAGTATTCTTCCTTTCTTGACGACGTAAAACAACCCATTGCTTGCAAAGAACTCTCTGGATGTGTTCGAAGACCTTTTTTTTTTTTTTTTTTTTTTTTTTGAGTGAGTGAGTGAGTGAGTGAGAGAGAGATTTAAAAAGCGATTGTAACCGAGTTCAACCAGGAACTTCGGCTAAATGTGCACTGAATAGTTTCGGTAAAAGCGAGTGCAAGGACAGTGGGTAGATAGCGATCGCCTTCGGTCCAGCCGGTCCCAGAGGGAGGAGGAAATAAGCAAGGCAGGTATTACGAGGAGGTGGATGTCTCGTGGTCAATCAAATGAGTGTGGGTAGAAAATTGATGTCCAGCGCGATTGGGGATAACTACGCGCGACCGCTGAGAAGAGGGGCTGAGAGGGCAGGTGTCACATCGCAGTTTTGGAAAGATGGGAGGTTGTCAGCAGTCACGACAACTCGGAATTGAGCACATGAAGAGGGGCGCGCGACGACAGAATCCAAAAATGAACGGATGGATTGAGTCGGGGGCCGTCAAGATCGATGACAGAAGGAATGAGATTACCGCAAAATGGAGTTGGTGAAGGAACGAGCGGACAGGTGGATTGTCCCGTGAAACGGTGGTTGGGAGGAAGTTTGAAAAGGGTGTTGTTGCGTCTGTGTTTGTGGGTTTATATACAAAGTGCGGGATTAATAACTGCTGTTGGCGGGTTTGAATGTACAATGCCAAGCCAAGGGGGTTGGTTGGTTGGTTGGTTGGTTGGTTGGTTGGTTGGATGCAACGCGCTGTCCAACATCGGATCTTGGGGGGCCTCTTTAAAACATCTGGCTAGCCACGACTGTCAATCCAGAGGAAAACTCCCCAAAGCAGAATCTTATTTATATGCAGTCGACGGGGGAGGAGAAGAAAAGGAGAAGAGGGAGAAACCAAAAAGACGCCCAAAAAAGTCCAGAGGACGGACTGAAAGAAATAAGCAGAAAGGAGTGAGAAAATGAAATGGCTGACTAACACCATGCATGCATGCTTTCTTTTCCTTGTTTCCTTCCCGGAGTTCTACCCACACAGCCTTGCAAAACCTGAAAGTTCTGCTTGTGCCTTCCCTTGCCTTGAAACTGTGTCTCCTTCTTGACCTCTGGTAACCCGGGCTCAGCCAATCACAGCGCCACAATGCTGAAGCACTCCCTGTAGCAGAAACAGCGCTTCGGGGTTGAATGATCCCCTTGAAGAGAGAAGAGAGAGAAACAACGCGCTAGATCTGATACAGTTTAGTGGATGGGCTGATATATAATTATAACTAACTAGTTAGTTAATTTTTAGAGATTAGAGATCTAACCGCTGAGTCAGCCGCCAATGGGGTTGGCTTTTCTTGTTCCTACGGGTGGAAGTTCCATTACAGAGTGACCGTTTTCTGAGCAATGGCTACGGTGGAATTGAAGGAGACTCCTATAAAATGCTCATTCTGTTGAATGGCCCCTGGGTGTGGAGTTGTCTCAGGCAAATAAATCCTCAGAACAACCAAACCACTGCCGCCGTTTTTTGACAACCGTCTGCAGATATGGGTCCCAGCAGCAAACAGCCAATAAAACGCTCACTGCGGAGTAGTTTATGGATTGTATCCACTGGAGAAAAGTTTCCATTCCCTTTTCAATCGACACACAGTAAATCCGCCTTGTTCCTCAAAAACTCGAGTGCATTTTCCTTGTATAATAGTAAATCAATTCAATGTGGATCAAATTTGTCAAAGTTATCACACTCAACGCTAAAAACCCGCTGGCCCTTGAATTCGTTGCAATACGGCACTTATGCTCCTGCGGAACAAGATCCTAAATTTGTATCAAGCCGCTTGTCCGCGTTATGAATATAGCCAGGCTCATTTGCGGAGAGAATCCTCACGAAACTATTGAATAATAGCGCTGACCATGTCATCTCGAGTCCTAAAATTTCCAATATGACACTAAAGTTAAGGTCTGGATATCAGGTAAGTTCAGGAATTGCTTGAAAATGATAGGTGTTTCAGAAAGTCTCTAGAAGAACCAGGCCTGGAGACTCTTTATCATACAACTGAGTGGCGGCGTGTGTTGACTGGCTGGCTAATTACGTCAATCCAACGAGAAAGGCATTGGCCAAGTTATCAACGTTGGCATCTCATATATAAGAATTTTCCAAAATACGTCTGCTTCCAACCATGTAACTAACTCTGAACAAAACCTGTCCCTCCCTCAAGGGAGGCACAACACAACCAAAATTAAGTGGACCCCACGGTTGCACGTTTGACTGTGTCTGTCCAGCCCCAGGCGAGGGCAAGGGGAGGCTTACCAGAAAAATCCTCAATCACGGCCTTCCTGACGTCCGCCTCCGGACTCGGAATCTCGGACTCTGTGGGTAAAAAACAATTGTGGAGCTTACTTTCAGCTTGAAACATTTGGCGGATCGTTCAACCTGATTGCCAACGTGATCACTCAGCGCCTTGGGCCCATGCGACATTGCAAGATAGATCATAACTCCTCTGGAAGAAGTGACCTGACTTTCCGCTCTTGTCGTAAAGGTGTAGCACGCCAATTTCAGCCAATAGCTCCCTGGAATTTCGGATAGCCAGCGCCGCATCCTGTGCTTTAGCTTTTTGGAAGGTATCGCTTTCGTAGAACCCGAGGACATCGGTGTGGGCGGCCTCGTGAAAAATAAAAAACCATCAGGATGGATGGCCACATTCGAGGGCATTACAACGAGAGCACCCAAGTCTTCCCGCGAAGGCAATCAGGCGAGGAAGATTACTTCGCAGCGCTGCAGGAATGCGACCGAACCCTGTCAACATTCTTTTCCACCGATTGCTGTGCATCACTACAAATGACAGAGCGCCCAGGGATCTTTTTCTATGGAACAATTTTCGCCTTTCCAGCGCACGGGACGGGATCTTTATCGAGAGGATCAAACCACACACCGGGGCCAGCGAAAAGGACATTCCTAATACAATTCCCAGCCGCTGTGGTCCATCTTGAATTCTTTCCATCTTTGGAATGAAAGAGATAGGGGGAAAAATATCAATGGTGATCTATCTATAGGCCGTGGGCGGTACCTTGTCTGGACAAGCACCTGGCGCATCCCACCTCTTGTCCAGAATTATTGGTCCAAGAACTTCGAGTTGATTGCTCATGCAGCTTGCAGTCAACGTCGGAGTTTCTTGACGAGTTTCAAGTATGCTGCGATCGCAAAACCGCCCTATAGAGCAAACTCTCGCCCATGGGAACTTCCAGGCACTCCACGGATTAGTGCTGTCAACACCGGTTTAATCCCGTCAGCTGGCCGAAAATATCCTCTCCAAAAGCGCACTATTGTGACGGCCTGATCGAAAGCGTAGGTCTGGTTCTATTGACGCTACAAGAACGTCGGAGACCCAACCGCGAGCACTCGATGGGAGGCGGCCAAGCAGGTCAAAGGTATTCTCCCAGCTCATTTTGTGCCTTGCCCGCAGTGGCCCGCAAGCCAGGGTTCGGGACACCACACTCGCAAAAGCCATTTCGTATAGAGCACAACCTCAGCGTGTAGAGAGCTTACGGTGCAACAGCCAAAAGGTCCTGGGGTTGGAAAGTTATCTAAACCGGGGAGGTGGGGGGTGGCGCGAAAGTAACATTATAAACACTGAGATCACACTCTTTATTATAAAGACTCTCACACCCCCACCCACATGGGGAATAACTATAGACGACGAAAGGGAAAGACGTAAATTCGTTACTTCTCACTGCATTACCAAGGAGTCCTTGAGGCACAGATTCGCCGTCCCCAAAAAAATAAATAATAAATAAATAATAAATAAATAATAAATAAATAAATAAAAGCGGGGCAAATCTATAAATGGTTAGTTAGGGATTTTGATTTTTGCGAGGCACGAGGTTCATGCGAATGGGAAGTTGAAAAGTTATTGGTATCTCATGTTCTAATATATGCCAATAATGAAGAACGAAGAGAAAAAGGAGAAAAGAGGTGGAAGAAAGGCATGCTTTTGTTGTTGTATGCAGTTAACTCTATTCAATCAGAACAAGACATGGATATACCTCTTGAGAAGAGAAACAAATTCAACCATAAACGAATATGGGTATAGTTCAATAAAAGCAAATAGCAGCAAGTGTATTTCTTTTTGAAACAGAAAGTCAGAATATAAGTGAATGAAACACTGAAAAAAAAAAAAGGGGGGGCACTTATACAAATTTAAAGAAAAGTGTGGGTATAGTTTCAATAAAATGCGAAATTCGCAGCAAGGGCGTTTTCTGTTGTAAAATAAAAGGGAGAAGCAAAGAAAGCAACAAGGACGCGTGAATAAAATGAAAACATCCAGCAGTATGAAATCACAGTGCAATCGAGCTTAGAGCAACAGACTGCTTCGCAAGAGAAGGAAGTCTATACATCCACAGCAATATAGCTGTCGCTCCAAAGAGCCCAGAGGCTACCACCCAGGGTAACCCAATCCATCCATCTCCCATCTCCAATCCCCAATTAAAAAACATAGTCACTGTTGGGCTCGCAATCGTCACACCGATACTCTGTAACATTTCGATCGCCGTGTAAAGCCGTGCAGTCTGATCTCGATGTACCATTGTTGTGGCCAGGGATCTAATAATGAAGACAAATCCAATCCCAAGCGTCTGGACGACAAGACCGGTAATGAAAAGGGATATTGAGGGTGAAATGCCCATGATAAAGGTACCGATGAGAAGCAGGATGACGCTGGCTTTCGACATGGTGAGGTCCTTTTGTCGGAAATGCATGCGTCGGCAAGAGGTGAGGTACCACGAGGAGAGAGGCAGGACAACGAGGAAGAGGAATACGGTTAAGATATATTTGAAGGAGTTTAGAAAGTTGGCATTGGCGAGCGTCCAGTGGTAACGCTTCGATATATATTGGATTAGCAGCCACGATGTGCCGCGACTCAGTCTGTAAACGAGGAATGTGGACAGGAGGAACATGAGATGCTTATCCTGGAAAATGAAGCTGAACTCGGATGCCATTCTGTTGAGTTTCGAGAGGAGATGGGATCCTTTGGCATAAGATCTGATGTGAGCATGGGATTGTTCATGGGATTGTTCACGCGGGAGAGAGTTATGTTCGTAGTTCAACGGTATTGACTCTGGAAACTCATCTGCGTGTTCCTTTTCCGATGCAAATGCCCCCTTCGTTTCAGGTAACCCGACTGCTGGTAAAATTCCAATCAGGGTAAGGCTCCATCCGATACACATTGGGATCCAGGGGTTGTATTTCATTAGACATGAAGTGACCACGGAGGAAATGAATTCAGACACCATTATTGCGACGCCGAACTTGAAGAAAAGTGCAGCCCTGTTGACAAAAATCAGTGACCACATTTCCCTCAATGGGTGTACTTTGTTCCATAGAGACGAACCTTTGGGATTCAGCGGTGACATCTGCCATCATTGTCCACACCATTGTACTAGCCACAGCAAACCCGCCACCAAACAACCAAGCCAGTGTAGATAGCCAAACCATACGCAAGGGGAAAGTGTTCGTCGCGTACAAGATCACGCCGGTGAGAATCATATTCAAGACAAAGCCGGGTATGCAAATGCAAAATACAGGTTTCCGACCGTACTTATCCGCCAACAGGCCATATGGCATCGAGAGCAAGACCCCTATTTATTCATTTGTTAGGGGAGATCATGGCTCTAACCCACTTCATGGACGAGCCCTCTTACCAGATAAGGCATCAAACAACTCTCCATAACCTTTCACGATCGCCACCTCCCTCTGTATTTCCTTATTCTTGCAAAGCTCTTCTGGGATATATCCATCCTTGCCTATTTTGGACTTGTCGTGCTGTTCGTAATAGCGTTGGCAAGTTATAGACTCAAATATGCGCGTCATAGGAGCAGAGAGCATCGACCCTCCAGTTTCGAAGGCAAGAACAATAGCGAAGAGAACAACGGTAAGTCGCATGCGGAGCTTCCGTTGGGAGCTGGCAGTCGAATCTGGGACGTGGTTTGATGCAAACGTCGGCTGCTCCAAGGAAGGAGTCTTTGGTAGAAAAAGTACATCTTCAACGTCGTCTTCGTCATCACTGGTGCTTTGCTTTGAGAACATATCAAGGTGATATCGAGGTGAGCTCTCGCCAGGAATATTCGAAATCGGTTGGATCTGAAAACAATGCACGGCCTTCCAGTGGAATTATTAGAGGCTCATTTCGAAGAGGACTAAGATGGCTGTTTCCGCAGGTCTTCAGAGAGATGGAACAGGAGTAGAGTCAAGGCATGGCAGGGCCGTTAGTTTTCGAAAGATCATTTGACCGGGTTGCGTTGTTCCTACCCAACAGAAGATAGTTATCAGACGTTGACTTCGGCTGGTTCCTATATGCGGGTGGTCTGAGAAGTCTCAAAAAGTGGCCGTTTGGGACGTGATCTGCGTTGTAAGCCCAAACTGTGTTAAACTGTGTCAGGCCAGGTCCCATAAGTGTCGCACCAGTGATTGGGCGCCCAAACTGCAGCTTCCGATAAGGGCCACTTGGAAGCTGGACTGGAATCTTCCCAACCACCCGCCGAGACAGGTGTGCTTGCACTCCGTGACACGATCGTTGCACCTTTGGCTGCTGCCATTGATGTGTCTGCTTCCAAGCTCTAGCTGGCTGGCTCCCACGGTTCGCTCCTGCGGGAGAAAGGGCGGGAAAGAAAGGTTGGCGGAATCTCTCAGATGCCCCTGAGCAGACTTTGCGAAGCCAGAAGCCAGAGAGCCCTGAGCCAGAGCCCTGAGCCAGAGAGCCTTGGCTGGCTGGCAAGGGCTGGCAAGGGCTGGCATTGGCCCGGGTTTGCTGCGGCTAAAGGCGACCCGCTCTGATTCAGAACTAACAATTCGCAAGGTTGCACAACGACGGGAAATAATAATTTATCTACAGCAAGCACTTTTTGCTGGCGGGTTCTCGTCAGGCATTGTCGATGGCGTCGCCGCGTTAAAATTCGCAGGCAACTTGGCCGCCTTTTCTTTTTTTTTAAAAAAAAAAAAAAAAAAAAAAAAAAAAAAAACCCTGTTTCTAACCTCTTCCTCATCGGCCATTGTCGATCCCACGATGGAACGTTGATTAAATATTACCCGATTTATTTGTCCGCTGGGGGCTAAGGTACGTTACATCTGACTCAGCAAATTGTTGGGCCCGATCGGTCTCCCCGCACGTGATCCAACTTCTGGTTCAACCGGCAACATCTGCGGACAACAAACAGCATCGACTTTTTGTTGATTTTAATCGTTGCATGGCCGTTCAGCATCACCATCTAGATGGTGCCTGATGCGCCATCGTCCGTTACCTCTTTGGTGCGGGTGCTTGTTGCGGCTCCTCAGCTCTCTTGCTGATGGCTCCGGATTTCTGTCCATCCTCCCTCCTCCAACGCAGGAATGACGCCGCCGCTAAGCCGACCGACACTCTTGAGTTTTGATCTTGTCCTGCTGAAACTCAATTTGGACCTGTTGCGCGCTTAGCCTGGCGTTCCTCATCTTCAAGAGTGAATTCCAACTCTTGAGACCTTTACTCCCAGCTCTTCCACTTTGGCTTTGATTGGATTTGGTCGTGACCGTCGCCGCTTTGGCGTTACTGAGGAGCAATTGCGGCCTTCCGTGGATCCTCCTCTAGACCCTTGATCCTTTGGCTGGACCTGATTTTGTCTTTGATGTGGTTGCGGTTCCGTTTCGCTCGAGTTTGCACCCTTGTGCGGAGTCTCTCGAGCTGTTGTCCGGTCAAGTCGTCTGTTAGCGTCTGTACGAGCTGGTTAATTCGCTGCTTCAGGTGATCGATATGTGCTTGATGTTCGATAACCTTGGCGTTAGCATCCGTGAGGGCAGTTGATGTTGCTAGCTGCCTTTGGACCTGTGCAAGCAGCTTCTGGCACTCTGCACCGATGGTTCAACCGTTGGACTGGAGATTGTCGATCTGCCCGTCTGTGCTCGGTGTCCTTTGTCGAATAAAGCCTTCTGACAGTCGGCGATCAGGCTTTCATACGTGTGCCGTTCCATTTCCGAAAACCGGGCATTCTCAAGTTCTCTCCCCCCCCCCATGTTGACAAGTGCTCGGTTCGTTCCCTGGATCTCGCTTGCATGAGCCATGATTTCCTGGTTTTTGGAACCTTTCCTGCTGCAACCTTGTCGGCGTGCCGTCTGAGGGCTTGGATATCCCCTCGAGCGCTTCGATACTGCTCGAGTGGGAGATGAGTGCCTCGTTGTGCGTCTCACGAAGTACAGCAACGGCAGAGGCATGCGCACTATTTTCACCTTCGAGAAGGTTTCTGATAGCGGCCGCGCAACCGCACTCAGCTTCTAGATCCGTACGAACTTTGGCAAGTGGCCGTGCCCTGAAATTGGCGAATGCGTAGAAAGCATTGCCGGCAACTGGAGGGACCATACAATCAGAAACCCTTGCTACAGTTAACAATGGATGGGATGGCAACTTACGAGGAGTACTCCGATGAGCCCTACTTCACATCACTGGACAAAACCCAGAAGTAAGCGAATTTAATAGAGTATGAGAGAGCAGACGGATATGTTGTTACGTTATTGTGTTGTTCAACCCCTAACACAGGACTTTGGCTTGGCAACGAGAGCTTCACTGATATGTGTGAAGAATATTACCAGGAAGCTGTGTGGGCTTCGGCCAGGTGACCATCGTAATGTTTTCTTGTTTTTGACAGCAGTATTTTCTACTCAGGAAACCAGTAAGCGGGATGCAAATGTGATGTGTGACAAGGGCTAGAACGGTCGACAAACGAGTTCTTTGATAATATATATACAAGGCCCTATGAACAGGAAGAGGAGGCCCTAGGGGGGCTCCCACCCCTCTTTCTTCATACAACTTATGTTCGCCTTGGGATGAAGGATCTATTTACTAGATATATACATGCTATCTGTAGGAGCCTTGTGTGCGTTGCGCCAGGGGTTCTAAGTTGGGTTTTATAAATGAACACCTTCCAGTGACGGTTGTGGGAGATGCGAGGCAACTTTCAGGTTATATAATTGTTGTATACTCTCAGAACAATCACGAGAGACAAAGAAAGTGTGGGATGGTTTGAATCTCTCATATTGGGAGGCCTAGCTAGCTATCTAATATACGCTATATTACGTGCGGCGGGGCGGCAGCCCGGGCCACATACGCCCAACAGAAAGGCTCCCTTACAATTAGAATTCTTCGGTCCCTTCCGGTCGTTTCAGCCATTGTTCTTCAAGAATCGTTTGTATGTTCCACAAGAGATATCAAAACGCATTTTCGCACCAACAGAAGATTGATTGCTGAACATTCTTTTTGAAGTTGAAGAACTTCATAGAAGCTCGGAATTGCATAAACACTAAAGATAGTGCAAATGTAGCAGCCGAAGAAAAGAGCGTCGTGGCAGATGGAACAACATCTTGCATATTACCTAGTGAGATCGCGTAAACAGTCTGGTGTGTTAGAATATGGAAGAAGTTTTGGTATATTAACACGAAAGTGACCACAGGGGCAAAATCCATCAAGTAGGCCTTGTAGGCAGTCGTCATGAAGGATCCCCAAAGAACAATGACAAAATCTATAGTTAATATGTCTATGAATACATTCGTTGCTCTATCTAGGTTGCAAGTATATATATGTGTAAGGTGTATCCAAAACTGAAAACCAGCTTTCTTGATAGCGATATAGTAACATGCAATGAAGAAAAGCGTGTAAAGTAGACCAAAGAGCAAAAAAAGTCGGAAAAAAAATTTTTGCGCGTGTCAGACTGAAGAGGTTTGACCCAAACGCTTTAAAATTCTCCCATAACTCATATCGCGGATGGCAAGGGCATTGCGATTCGAATCTGCTGACGGAACTCAGGGCGAAGGCTGTAGGGGTGGTTGCTGGAGAAGGGAGATCTTGAAGCCCTGGATGACAAACACGCGGGGGCCGGGTTGACATCGGACTGGAATCCCGAAAACAGTCAAGAGTTATAAGAGTAGACAGCTGAAACTGTGATTGTAGAGTCTATAGCAAACATCCCACGGATTGCAGACGCTTGGACAACCATGGCTATCTGGAGATGAGGGAATTCAGTTGGATACAGACCCCTTATCCCAGGAGGATTGGCCAATGAAGAGAGTAGTAGAAATACGCTAAGGTCGGTGTTTGCTGTTTTAGAACTCCAGTGTCCGCTTAATGGCATCGAAAATTCCTATGAGAGCATTGTGTTAGTGAATCAGTATTTTCCTGGCTCAGCGAGGACTATGTAGTGATGATTAAAAAAAGTTAAGGGTTAGCTTACTAGCAACATCTGGTATATTCAATTTCTCATAGATCAAGCCACAGTGAATGTCCCAGCCCGTAACACGAGTGACAGGAGCCTCCAACCGCAAAAATGCGCCTTCTTGGATGGTAGCTGCCACCTCTGCTCCAATACCGGCATTCATCATGCTCTCGTGCACAACAATCGCCCTTCCAGTTTTCCGTACACTTTCCAGGATGGTTGTTTTATCCCATGGGTAAAGGGTTCGAAGGTCAATCAGCTCGATATTGACGCCGTTGAACGCTTTCTCGGCAGCTGCAATGGCTGCAGAGCAGAGGTAGAGAGGTTGACCGTACGAAATCACGGTCAAATCTTTTCCAGGTTTGATGATGTCAGCCTTGCCAATGGGAAGGGTGTAAGATTCGGTTGGGACATGTTCCACTGCAGCGCGGTAGAGGATCTTGGGCTCCATGAATATCACAGGGTCATTACATTCGAGAATGGCTGATAATAAAAGTCCCTTTGCCTGTGTGGGTGACCGCGGCATCACAACCCGCAGACCTGGGATATGGGTGAAAAGCGACTCTGGCGATTGGGAATGGTATCTTCAGGATATATTAGCGAATTGATGGCAGACAGCAAACCTATGAGGAAACAGCTAAGAAATGGGAATTGCATACAGAGCACCATGGCCTACTGCCCCACAGGGCATTCGTACTACGAGACCCCCTACATTGCTTTCCGTGGCCCCTTCTCTATATCGGAATTTCGCCGCCTCGTTGACAAGCTGGTCAAAGGCGGGATAGACATAATCCGCAAACTGAATTTCCGCGACGGGTTTCATCCCTTCGGCAGCAGCACCAATTGCAAATCCCACAATTCCCTGCTCTGTCAAGGGGGTGTTAAATACTCTCTCAGACCCAAACTCTGTCTGCAAGTCTACAGAGCAGCGGAAGACTCCTCCAAAGGCAACATCCTCTCCAAAAAGAAGAACCTGATCTGATGTGGACAGGGCAGTCCGGAGTGCTGAATTGATAGACTGGTACAGGTTTAGTCGTTTCGTGACCCCGGTCTTAGGCAATTCTGCAGAGGATGTTATCGTGGACGGCGAGTGGTGGAGGAGCGGAGTCGTCCCATAGTTGATCGGCAAATTAAGATGTGCTGCAGGCGACAGAGCATGAGATGAATACAGACGGGTGCGACACAATGGGCTCAGCAGCCTTCGCGCAACGTTATGGGAGCGGTGTGCCATTGTGTGCGGTATTCCTGAGTGAAAACAAGATGGTTCATCTTTCTAGAGGTGGATGTTTTCCTCCTGGTGATTATAGACAAATCCGCCGTTTGGCCGTTGTTCATTCGCCGAAGATAGCCGCGTTCATGCCAAGCCCGTCCCCGCTTATATAACAACGAGAAATAGTTAGTTAACTAGTTAACTAACTAGTTAAGGTAACTAACTAACTTAACGTTAACTAACTAGTTTAACTAATCCAAACCACCGAGCGGCGGATTCTAAACACATCATTGCTTTGTGTTTTTTATTCAAAATGGTTTCATCTCAAGAATATCATATGCAGTTGATAATTGCTGTATATAAATTAAAAAAATTTATATTAAAGATGAAAGCTGCAAAAATATATTACATTTCTGAAACTATTCTATGCAAATGTTGATATCAAATCACACTTAGAAATATATGCAAATGATCACAAATTGACAAGAGATTAAAGAGAAAATTTTTCTCAAGCAATTACTGAATGCAGATAAATGAAGCTTTTCAATTCAACTGAAGTTTCTGTATTAAATGATATAGATTCTACTTCAAGAATATATTTATGATTTTATCATCACTCTCAAAGTCAATTAAGTATCTATATTTAACATCATTCTCCAGTATATATATATTATAATCACTGTATATTGTATCAACAGATGAAGTAGAAAATTCAAAGATTAAAAAAATAATAATAATTAGAGATGATATATGAAGTTATTCAAAATAATAATATTCATAAAGAAGATTTTTTAAAACTTTAATAGATTTTATTTTGCAATGAGATTTTATATATCCTTTACAATCATTACTGCAGCTATATGGAGTGATCATATACAATTATTTAAAGAAAAAATTAAAAATCAGTTTTTTCTCACACTTGAAAATTAGTTATAACTACTAATGACCGAATCACTAATGTGCTACGGCTTCAATCTAGGCGCAGATGTTTGGATTGCCAACTAGGTAAGCTATTTCGACGAATACTAAGGTGATTTACAAAGAAGGGATCTGAGGACGGACCTCCTTAACTTTATCTCCGTAGCGGTTGCTAGGCGGTTGCTAGTCAGTCTTCGGACAACGCCAGTTACCGTTGCTCAGTAGATAACGCCGTCACAACTATTTTATTTATATAAAAAATTGTATATATATTCAACACCTTGATAAATTGAAGCTTAAAATTGAAGCTATATTTCATCAATAAACTTTATGGTATTGTAATGACTATGAGATTATTAAACATACTATTTATAATTAACTACTCTAATAAATAGCTATATATTTAATTATTATAAGGGTTGAATTTATTAATATTTAATGATATCAAAGTGATTCATTATTAAATAATAAATTACATTAAGTTAACTAGTGAATTAATAAGTTATTAAACTATTTTTTTAACTGATAACTATATAAAATATTTCATTATTATAAATTTACATTTATGAATTTATTTTTTCTTTATTTTTTGTTTCTCTAACTAATTTGTTCTTGTATTTACTAGAACTGTATTCAGTAACTAGTATATTTATGATTCTTATTTTTCAATTCTTCACATCTCTACTAGCAAAGACTAGACCATATATATGAGCACTGTAAAAGTACAGCAATTGCAATAAAGTTAAACATACTCCGTATACAAAAACAAGATATGCTCTAGTTTCATTGAATTTAATTTTGATTAGTGATTGTTGAGTGTAGATATTTCTTTTTTTTTCATGTTATAATCGACAAGGTGGCAAGCTTGGTTGATTGCAAAGTTTGCATGCAACGAGAACAACTATATATGGAGAAAAATAGGTCACGTGAAGGAAGTTGTCCAACAAAAATTCGATAATATGTTCTTATTCTGGTCGATGGGGAATTATTAATCCATTCCCCGCTCTTTACGTCAGCCCGCCAAGACGGCTCTTGATCGCATCTGGGCCAGCTCTGTTGAGTACTTCTACGAATCTTGGCTTAAACCTGCAGCTTGTTACTCCAAGGTCTGTTTCTCACAGATACACGGATATCATTTCTAGGGTCTTGTCACCCATTTTCTTATATTAACCAATTTTTGCGCGCCGTTTTGCTGATATTTTCGGCTGTGTGGACTGAAATACTCTTTCCTTTCGCCTGAGTTAGTGTTTTCTCTCGTCGTTTTATCCACCCTCGTTAAGCTCCCTTCACAATTTGCTGACCTTAAACCTCAAGCTCCCCTGTCTTCGATGTATCCAAAGCAGCATGTGGCCGTACGAACAGTAACGCTGGCAGTCGCCAAATTGCTGTTTTTTGCCATTGCTCAGCTCCCTACCGTATCAGCCTTTCCGATCCTTGGATCCTTCCAACGAGCCACACAAGAGGACACACGAGAGGATGGCAAAGCTCTAGATGGCCCCAGCCTGTGGCTATATTTGTCCGTGGCTGCCGCTCTTGTGATCACTGGAGGCGCTTTTGCTGGGTTAACTATTGCGCTTATGGGCCAGGTATACCCTATAAGCCCTCACCGGTCACCATTTTGGATACATATTAACAGCTTCTTTCTTTTTCAAATCAGGATGAGGTCTATCTCCAAGTCATAAAAACTTCAGGCGAGGGCGCCGAAAAGAATCACGCGGAAAAAGTATTAGGCCTTCTGAAACGGGGAAAACATTGGGTTTTGGTTACGTTATTGCTCAGCAATGTTATCACCAATGAAACGCTTCCCATCGTCCTTGATAGGTCTCTAGGAGGCGGATGGCCTGCTGTATTGGGCAGTACAGCACTTATCGGTATGTGCCCCGTCCATATCTATATTACCACTAGCCGGAGCTGATGTTAGTGTAGTTGTCTTTGGTGAGGTCGTTCCCCAGTCGATATGCGTCCGTTATGGGTTGCCAATTGGAGCATGGATGGCGCCCTGCGTTCTTGTTTTGATGTATATCATGTCCCCGGTTGCTTGGCCTATTGCGAAGCTCCTCGACAAACTCTTGGGCGAAGACCATGGAACTATATATAAGAAAGCCGGATTGAAGACTCTGGTCACGTTGCACAAAAGCCTGGGTCAAGCTGGCGAACAATTGAACTCTGATGAGGTTACTATTATTAGCGCCGTCCTTGACCTCAAAGAAAAGTCCGTGGGCAGCATTATGATCCCAATGGAAGACGTATTCACTATGTCTGCCGACACAGTCTTAGACGAAAAGATGATGGATTTGATCTTGTCACAGGGATACTCTCGGATTCCTATCCATGCTCCGGAGCAACCCCACAATTTTGTTGGCATGCTTCTGGTGAAGATGCTTATAACCTATGACCCGGAAGACTGCAAGCTTGTGAGAGATTTTGCACTTGCGACACTCCCTGAAACTCGTGCCGAAACTAGCTGTCTAGATATTGTCAACTTCTTCCAGGAGGGCAAATCTCATATGGTCTTGGTTTCAGAGTTTCCTGGTGAGGATCATGGTGCATTAGGAGTTGTGACACTTGAGGATGTTATCGAGGAGCTTATCGGAGAGTATGTCTGAAGAAAGTCCTATATTTCTAGAATAAATCAGCTAATTCATAATAGGGAAATCATCGATGAGTCTGACGTCTTTATTGACGTACACAAAGCCATACGTCGTATGGCCCCCGCACCAAAGTCTGGTGTCCCGAAGGGCCGTATCGTCGCAGAACCCCCCAGCGCTTCCACGATATCACACGGAAATCTTGTTGATATATCTGAAGATCAACCAAACTCTGCAGGGCACAGGGATAGCCATGATTTTTCACACAAGCATTCAGTAGACCACGGAACCCCCCCTCAAACCACCTTCTATCTCCGAAAATCTCACCCATCCGACAGCACAGACTCTGTTGACACCCCAATCATTAGACGGGGCCCAACTCCAGAAATCCGTGAGCATCTAAAACATCTAGGCCCGTCTAATCTCGCAAGCCATCCACGACAGACAAGGTACCAGGCTGTTAAGATTAAGCCAGGGGAAGGAATCAGCTCGGATCGCAACGCCATGCCCTTTCATCGCCCTCCGTCTGATCTCACCAGTGCTGTAGGAACACGCAACCCATCTCTAGTCCGCTCGACAGGGAGGACCACAAGCGGTCGCGTCTTAACCCTGCAAACCACATATGGTACGATGATACGACCAACCTTACATACTCTAAGCGCCGAAACCATAGAAGAAAACAGTCCCGATGGCATATCCAAAGACCCATCCACCCGATTCGAAGAACCCTTCAAATTTACCACATCCAAAAACGAAAATCGGATAACAGATGCCCCACACAGCCCCCTTTCCCACCGCAGCGGACCGAACAGCACTGCCAGCTCTGAAACATCAAAATTTCGTGATTGCGTTCATCAACGTGGTGTAACCCGGAGCGGAAGCATTACCGAACAGATTATCGACAGCAACGGCATTCGCAAGGTAATTTTGCAAACAGGTGGTGGCGCTTCAGTAGACGAAGAGAGTGTTGGGGAAGGCGATGTACATGGTTCAAGTGTCGCTAGAGTCCATACCACGCAAGCTCTTATTTCCACCAACGGTAATGAAGTTCCATCCACTTCTCAAGATCCTGCCGGCCATCTAGTGAAGAAGAAGAGGCGAAGGAAGCGGAAGGGCGGCAGTTCTAAATCTGTGGAAACGCGGCATTTGCTATCTTGACATGGTGTTCGGCTTCTTATTTTTTGCTTTTTCTTTCTTTCTTTCTTTCTCTCCTTTTTTTCCCCCCCCTGGTATGACTTGTTGGTTGTGAGAAAATCATTTATTGTTTTGAATAGTTGATGTGTAAATATCCGTCTTGCCAGATGTCATATGTACTTTTGGTGAGGTTAGGATTTGAATGTATTTTTTTGAATTTCCAATGTTCAAGGCTGATTGCACTTTGGCTTTTCGAAAACTTGTAATCTTTATTGCGGATAGATTGCTTTTGACGTCAGTAAGGATTCCAAGTAGCGCTATCGAGTCTAGATCTGCGACATGTAAGGAAGTTACAGTTTAACGATAGTAAAATGGAAGTGGGCCTTGATACAGGAGACATGAGCTATTTAGATTCCGGCGTTTCCCAATGGCCATGCGAGTACCAGGAAATAATAATGGGAAATACATGATGAAAATCTAGGCCCTCCTTTGCGCGGAACAAATTGTGAAAAGGGCGGATAGCACGTGACCAGGATACAAAGTTCCGCTCCGCCCCTCGCGACGGTTACCAGGAGGGTTCATGAGATGGTGAAATACAAAGGCTATTTGCAATATTCCAGTTTGATAAAGGAATGTGGATTGGGGTAATTTCAATACAAATATATGTTTTTATAATACGTTGTCTGGTGAAACAGGAATAAGTAGGATTGCTTAAAAATTGCCTAAAGAGTGAGCTAGACTTTTCAGTTATGAAACATTGATTCATGTCAACTTGAAATTCATTTCTGCAATGTATTGTAATAACTAGTGTTCTATTATTACTGATGTATGAAATCTGCGAAAGAAGACTAATAAGAGCAACAGCAGCTTGCCCACGATAACATCCCCAACACTGATGCCCTCTCATTTAGCTGATCACTGGAGTAGATGATCCTGTGTTGAAAATTCGATTAGCAAATGAACAAGTGAAGAGGGAGATAAGCTGAAGGTGATATAAAATAGCAGCGAAATGGGGTTAGGCTCCTTACCCTGAAGTGCTTCTGGTGATTACCCCTCTTATTAATGCCCCACTCATATTGATTTTGCGCCTTGTGCTCACGCCTCCGCTCTCTAAGCTCCGCAGCTTTGACTTCTCGCTTTTGGGAGTCGGTTGCACCAACCATCCCAAGTCCACCATTCACTCTGGAGATGAGAGCCTTATTCCTTCTAGAGCTGGCATCCTTGTCATGTATGTCCGGGTTATGCGCGGCGTCCGTAATTGCACGCTGTCGTAGCAGGCGCTCGTCGGGGGTTGGATAATTGCGCAAATTTTGTCGGAAATATTTGAACAAGGAACGATGGCCCGCCGTACGGCCGGATGGAAGATGTAGCTCATATTCATGATATAATGCGTCCCCGCCGTCGATAGTTGATGTTGAACTGTCAGTCTCCCATCCGTCATCGTCTCCAGCCTCCTTGGCGTCAACAGCCGTCGAAACATCCTCGTCCTCTTCGTCGTCCTCGTCATCGGAATAAGTGCTAGAAAAGTCGTAAAACTGGCCAACTTCGAGCATTTCGTCTTCCGTGCTGAATGCAATCATGCAATGTCCCTTGTCGCGCATATGGGTCTGAATCGCGGCGGTGTTCGACTTGATTTTATGACAATAGAGACACTCATTATTCTTTGTGATCTTGTTAAAGAGATATTTTAGCAAGCCTTCCCCATCAACCAGATATGCCTGTTCGGGCACAAACATGCCGTGGAACTTTCTCATGTGGAAAACATTCAGTTTGACACAGTCTGAATTGCGGTTGCAGAACATGCAGTGGGTCAGGGCGTAGTCCTCATCATGCTCGTGCGGGGCACCGCTGGATGAATTTCGACAAGCCCCAGCGGTGGCGGAATGAGTTGGTCTAGGTGGGCTCTTGAATAATGGATCCTCACTCTCGATCGATGTGTATTTCACCCCATCTACAAGTTTAGAGAATTCCTCCTCCGCAGCAGACTCCTGGACGGACGGGGTCGGAGTAGCATTGACTGGTTCCCCCAGAGAAAACGTGCCACTCATCACTGAAGCTGTTTCATCCTGAAAGCCTCCGTTTTTTCTCAATTGCGTTTCCCTCGATTTGTGCTTTTGGCTAGCCATATGATTCTGGAAGGCATTTTCACTGAAGAAAGTTTTCTGACATGCTGCACATGATTTTTCAAAGGATGCCTTAGCAGCAGCAGCGAAATTGACTGCTTGGGCAGTAAGAACTTTTTCAGCAAATATCTCGGAAGATAGAGGAGGAAGGGATGCGACTCGACGTTTTAAATTATACCGACTAAAAGCAAGTGGTTAATATTGGGTTCCAAAATATCAAAAGATTCAAAGCTTACTGCCAATCGCTTCGCATATGGGTTCTCTGAGCATCGCTGTTTCTGAAGGCGACCTGACAAGTATTGCAAGTGAACGGATGAGTTGCTGCAATGTCCGGAGTTCCGTCTGAGCTGAGACCGCCATTCTGTCCAGCAACAGCGGGGGCCGTCATGGTGGCCGAATATTAGAAATTCTTGAATATTAGAAATTCTTGAATACCTAGTATACTTATGAAATATTGGGGTTTGTCGAGCAAGAATGATCTCGCGGGGGGGGGGGGGGGGGTTTGTCAACTAAAATAATCGTCGAACGAAGCCGTACTCTACTTGGCGGGAGTATCTTGCGTTTACATTTATATCAAAAGTTGAGATCGAATTCCAAATCAACTTAAGCTATATTCGTCATTTTGTCGTCTATTTTCTTTATTGAGAGGGCAAAACTCGGCTACAGGCTTTATGGGCGTTTTGACAGGGTGGCGGGATGACAGTACGATACGCCAGACTACGGCTTGTGGGCCGCCAACTGACACTAATTCCTTGGCTGTTTTGTAACCTGTGACGCCGCAGAGCCTCGTCCAGTTTGTCAGCTCCTATATAAAAGTTATCTACGACTTTGACAACTGCAATCACTATCACCACTATCACCACTACTATTCCTTCGCGACAGTTAATATTTTCTTCTTATTCTCTTCAGTCATCCCTTCCCAAAATATGATACTCTCTGCTACAACATGACCAGGCTGCGGGCAGGCTCTGGGAGCCCTCCAGATTCAGGACGACCCACCGTCGGGGATAGGGGACTCTATCATCCGTCGAAGCTCCCCAGTGGCGCCCCCGAGGTGCTCATCAAGAATACCATCGCTGTGACGGATCCTGCGAGGGTCCTGGCATGGAATAAGGACCAGCGCCAGAGAGATTTCAACCTTCTTGTCAAAAAGTTTGTTCTGCTAGACCCCACTGCGATCGATATGAGTGCGTGCCGTAGCTTATACTCTTGGTGAATTAGATATAAAAACCAGCTTCTGTACGGATGTCAGGACCCATTTTGCACAACTCCTACATGCTTTAGTTATCGCAGGAGAGTTACCGATGCCCCTCTCCGCCGCTTCACCGAACTCAGCGCCCGAACAGTTGCTTGTTACCTAGCTAGCCAGGATAACCCGGAGAGAGGTTTGTGCCGCAATACCCCGGCCCCCAGTCCAGGTTTTCCCTCGGCAGAAGGATCACGGCAGCAAAGGAGACGATCGCATGAATTATCTCAACAGAATGTTAAATTCGCATCCCAGTCTCAAAGTCACAACGAGTTGGAAGACAACAGTGGTGAGGGGAAGCCAGCAAGTGATATGGTAAATGCGGAAAACCAGACTCAAGAACTGGACGAATCTCGGAACGTGAATGATGGTAAAACTTGCAACTCCGCGGAAGTGAACGAAAAACCTGGTTCAAAGCCCGCAGAGGATAGAGATCGGCCGAGATTAAAAGATCCAAAGTCGTTTACTCAAAATCTATTCGATACCCTTTCTTTGCGGATGGTTGAATGGCTACCGTTACGCAAGTCTCCGGAGGGATTTGATACCACCCCATCTGGCCCTGACGATGGCGGCGGCACTTCAACATCTAAGACCCCAGAAACTGAGGCTCCAGCAAGAGATCACGAGCATCCAACCAATGCAAGACGAACTAGTAGACAGAAGCAAATCATTTCGCAAGCCAACGTTAAATCCCGACCTCATAACATTTCATCCTCAAACCTTAATCCTCAGCCCACAGCAGTCGAAGTAAAGATCCCAGGGCAACCCGTCAAACGCCTATCTCTTGGTGAAATGGAGCACAGGAAGCAGCCTTCACGGACGTATACTGAGGACAAGATTCGTTCCGAGCGGAAGCCTGCCCGAAAAATCTCCTCGCAGCATACTCCGTCAAGCGGCATCTCTCGAAACCAACACTCTCCACCACCGTTGAAACATCGACCACAAAAAAATAGACGCGCGAATGGCGACCTGAATAAGTCTTACCGGCCCGACCAAAACCACCATAGTTGTGTCTCCTGGGATGGATCTAGGGGACCAAGGAAATCAAACCATACTGAGTCTGATAACAATCGAGTATCTATCGACTATAGTGTAGAACAGCCACGTCCTCTTAGTCAAACTTCTGAAACTCCCGCATCTAAAAATACTAATAGCGATAATCAACTTAATTCTCAACAAATCCAGACTCTGTCACATTTCTCTTCAGAAATAGTGACGGAATTAGAGGCCTTAATGTTTGAAAACGATGAAGACAAAGAGAAATGGCGCGAGGAAATGGCTGATTTAAAGTCTTGCGGGTACTCTGAGCCTCGGGATTGGCAGTATGCTACACCCAGACAGCGCGAGGTGTTCCCGTTTGTCGCCCAGAGTGTATTTTATGTTCTCAGCAATCCCCATCAACTCCTCCAATCGTTTCGAAAAGACCCTTCTCACCCAGGAAAGGTAAATGGTAGCGGGAATACGGGTCTACTTGATGTCGGAATGTTAGAAAACTCGTTTCGGACACTATATCGCATATGTCCTTGGGAAACCACTCTGCATAGTCTATGGATGTCTCTCGAGAAGCTTTTTGTTCCTCCAAGAGATTTTTCCTTCCCTAGGCCACAGATGCTCCCTGTCCGGTGGTCCAGTTCATCGGGCCCAATTTCAAAACGTGGATTCCCCTCCCCCACCAATAATAATTCTCAGGATTATATTTCCGACGCAGATGCAGCTTACATTTCGGTCATTGCCCTTTTCGCTTTAGCCAGTTCTATCCCTCCAACTGACCCGAAAACATGGGAGGCTGTTCGTCAGGTTAGGGCCTCTGGTACCGTTCTACCGGACGCTGAGATGAGGAAACATTCTCCATCTACCAGGCGATCACTAGTGGCCATTGCGGAAATATTTGAGCATGACCTCGCCCTCCGACTGGTAAATCGTTTGGCTCGAGTCGTCTCTGCACGTTTGGCATTCTACGAAATCTCGAAGTCTCGAGCCTTCAGCATACAGGACTGCGAGCGGCAAGAGAAACAAAACTTTGTAGAACTCATCCTGCAGACTTTTGAAGATTGCAGCAAGGGAAGTAACCAGTGGTCACATACAATCTCTTCTTCTTTGATCAGTGACCGGCCTACAAACGCTCACATGGTAGCTGTGGAATGGTTACGGAGCCTCCTTTTGAAGGAATGGGACGGAAAACCCGAAATGGCGAAATCAGGTGCTGCTAGCGGCTCTTTACAACTTCTTGCACATATGTATAAAGAGCGGTCTAGATTAGGTTTACAACCTGAAGATTTCTCTACATTTTTCCTCTCTGAGCGACTAGATCCCACAGAAATGCCCGTCGAATGGCTCGGGATCCTTCCAAATAACCGAACGGTGCACATCTTATCCTACCCCTTCCTATTTCCCCCGTCAGCCTTGGTTATATATTTCCGAGCTATCAACTATGCCGCGATGTCCAAGTCGTACGAAGCTGCGATGACCACCTCGAGACATGTGACTCAACCGGCATTTTCCGGTATTATACCAATCGATGACGATGTTAATCTACTCTCCCGGCTGAAAACATCTATCTCGACCTATCTGGTTCTAGTCGTGCGGCGAGATAATGTTCTTACTGACGCTCTTAACCAACTATGGAGACGAGAAAGGCGTGAACTAATGCGACCTCTTAAAGTTCAAATGGGTATGGACGAAGGCGAGGAGGGCATCGATCATGGCGGTGTCCAGCAAGAGTTTTTCAGGGTAGCTCTTGGGGAAGCATTGGACCCATCATACGGACTGTTTACAATGGATATACGAACCCGTATTTCCTGGTTCCAACCCCTTTCTATGGAACCGCTATACAAGTTCGAGTTGTTAGGGTTATTGATGTCTCTTGCTATTTATAACGGCCTCACACTTCCAGTTAATTTCCCCATTGCGTTGTATAGGAAGCTGCTCGGTTTGAGGGTTAAGACTCTCGATGATATCCGCGTTGGTTGGTCAGAGCTTGCGAAGGGTTTGGAAGAGCTGCTATCGTGGGACGATTGCGATGTTGGTGACATCTTCATGAGAACCTATGAGTTCAGTTTTGAAGCGTTTGGAAACTTTGTGAATGTCGATATGGCGAAGGTTAATCGCAATGAACCATGGCCCGCCCCTGAGCGGTTGGCTTGGGAAAAGAGAAAGCCTGGTTTATATAACCGACGCTCATCTTCGGGTAAATCAGGCCCGCTTTCGCAACGTGATAATGACGTATCGATGTTACGTGACACTACTGATGAAGGCCCTAGCTATAGGCGTGACGGGGTAATCTCAGGAATACTTAAGGGATCTTCTTCAAAAATAAACAGAGCGGCACCACCCTCTCCACCACAAGAAGCAGCCTTGGTCACCAATGCAAACCGAGAACGATTTGTCAAAGACTATATTTTCTGGCTAACAGATAAATCTATCCGTCCTCAATATGAAGCTTTCGCACGCGGCTTCTATACCTGTTTGGACCGAACAGCCTTGTCTCTTTTTACCCCGGAGGCGTTGAAACTGGTTGTTGAAGGGATTCAGGAGATCAATATCAGGGAACTCGAGTACCATACTCGATACGAAGGTGGCTTCGAGCCGGATCATCGCGTCATCCGCGACTTCTGGGATATTGTATATCGATATTCGTCGATGAGGAAGCGACAGCTGCTAGAGTTTGTGACGGCCAGTGATCGCGTGCCGGTCAACGGCATTTCTAGTATCATGTTCGTTATCCAGAAGAATGGTACTGGAGATAACGTATGTAGTCAACTTTCTTTTATATATTTTTATACACTTTTATTTCACTTGAGAGGATAATCAGAAAACTAACGGATCCGTCCAGCGTCTTCCAACAAGTCTGACGTGTTTTGGTAGACTCCTGCTGCCCGAGTATTCTAGCCGAGACGTCCTTGAGGAGAAGTTGTCAAAGGCCCTTGAAAATGCCAGAGGATTTGGTGTCGCCTAGTTCGATAGTCCTATCGGAGTCCCTTGGAGGCAGTCCTTTGCTACCAATCCGGTCTCTTTTACTGCATTATATAATTGATTCTTGGCCTTTATTATTCTCCTGTGTTTTCTTGTGAATGACTGTTAGTCGGTAAAATTTCACCGTTCAAAGACTTCTTGTCATACTAGAGATTTTTTGCTCTCCCTGTTCTATATCCCGTTTCTGAGTTTTAGACTTTGTATGTTTCCCACTTTTTTTCGAGGTTACGATTATTCAGAGACAAAGGGGGAGAGTAAAAGAGCAGGTTTGGTAGACCCGGTTGGGCATCAGCGTATTTTGCCTTTTTGCTGCAAATATAATTCCCGTTTTTGAGTGGATCCTCTATCGCTGTTGTGTTCTTTTCATGCCGATAACTTGAGATATGTTCCTATCGATATGGGCTTTTCCATCTGTGTCCGTTTTCGGGGATTTTGTACATATACTTTCAACAATACTAAGCTTTTGATAGATGCTAACGACGAGAAATACTTGCATATGGTGGAAAATAGGTCCCATGACTGAAGGGTCCGACAGCTCTATACTAAAGTTATATATATATATATATATGTGCATAAACGCATGTATTGAATAAAATACTGACAAAAGAGTCGATTCTTGTCAACACAAGTTCAAGATACTTCCCCTTGCTCTTATTGGTTGCCATTCCGATCCTGAGCCATGATTTGCTGCTGTGGGGTTGAGAATAAATTAAGAGCTATTTAACGAGGCGTTCCATACGAACGGCGTGAATAAAATTGTGGGGAAAAGCCGTTGGAGTCATATTCAAAGCAGTGGTCAAAACCTTTGACCATCACAACTTTTCTCGGGATATTAAATATTGTTTTTCAGTCATCTGCACCAGACGTTTGGAATAATATATTCACATCACCCTTGTTTCTCTATCATTTAGATCTAGGGAATAGACCCTGCATGTGTTTCACCTACGTCTCCAAAACATCTAGCCCTAAATAAATAGCCGCCGTGGAATTTGGGACATTGCTCTCCAGCTTCTCCAGCTCTGCTGACCACTGCTATATAGACGGATACAACACTCAGAATGCCACCAATCATTCACTGTGTCCGCCATGCGCAGGTTCGCCCTCATATGTTTCCTTGATCAATTCCTCTATCCATTCTTCACTCCCGCTTACCGTGTTCCCCAACTAAATAACCCCAAATCCCAGGGTTATCACAACCTCGCCTATGCCAATCACACCCTCTCCGACCCCCTCTTAACTCCACACGGCGAATCGCAATGTAAGGACCTCAGTGCGGAATTCCCGCATCACGCCCAAATCGACCTGATCGTTGCTTCACCGCTACGACGCACCCTCTACACGGCGTTATTAGCATTCGAAGATCAAATCAAGAGCAGGGGGCTGAAGATCATCGCGCTGCCGGAGATTCAGGAGACAAGTGATGTGCCTTGCGATGTTGGTAGTGATTTGGAACTTCTAGAGAAGGAGGTTACGGAGAAAGGGTTGCCCGTGGATTTGAAGCTGGTAGGGGAGGGATGGAATTCAAAGGTGGGTTAGAGAGGGATATTTTGCACCCATTTCGGGTTATATAATTACTATATGGGGATTGGGGACTGATATCAAAGTCAACTGATCGCACAGACAGGAAAATGGGCACCCACTGCTGAAGCTATTGAAGATCGTGCAAGGGAAGCTCGACGATGGCTGAAATCTCGACCGGAAAAGGAGATTGTGATTGTATCGCATGGAGGATTCTTACATTATTTCACGGAGGATTGGCAAGATAGCACGCTTTACCAAGGTATATACCCCATTTCTCCTATTTTGTCTTTCAATTCCCATTCTTTGCTTTGGCAGAAAATCTCTCTCAATGACAACCCCAACTCCAACCCCTCAAAAACAAAAAAGAGAGAAACAAGAAACCATCAAGCTTACTCACAAACACTGCACCCCCGCATAACGTATTAAAGTTACGAAAAGGAAACCCAGTCCGAATAATTATACTAATGTCCGCCCTTCTCCCACCTACCCAGGTACAGGATGGCGCAACACGGAATACCGCACCTACACATTCTCCGACTTAGTTCATCAAGATGATCTCTATGGCCGGCCTCTTGGCGGTGACAATGCTACCATCCAAGAGACTCCTGAGTCCCGTCTCCGCCGTGGGAAATCGCCCGAAGTACCCCCCAGGGCCTTGCGGAAGCAGTTTTTCATCCAGGCGATGAAGGGGTGGGAGAACCAGGTTTTGGACTGGGCGAAGCAAGAGGAGACGAAGACGGGGACAACCGCCGGTATTGAGGCGAGGTCGGGGGACAAGGTTGTTAGGGGAGAGGACTGGGAGGAGGAGAGTGTTTATGCTTGAGTGATGAGATATATCCAGGTGAGAGGGGCTATGAATAAAGAGTTGCGTTCAACTAGGATGGCATTCTTTTTCTTTTCTTCTTCTTCTCCTTCTTCTTTTTTTTTTTTAGATATTTTAATTCCCCCTCTACCATGCATATATATAATTTTTCCTTGCTTGACTACTGGTGGTAAGGGGTTTCGACTTATTATCGGCCTTCGCATTTCAAGGGGAGAACGTCCGCACCAATCTTTATATAATAAATGGTGTTTTATACACCTCTTGCTCCGAACTAGATATAGATAAACGTGCACTTCAGGATGAATCTTGGACAATGACAAAAGTTACTCAAAATAAGAAAAAGGAAAAGTCAACATCTGGTGTACGATGTGTATCAGCGCCTGCGTTGGGTTATTATTTCATAAAACATTAAATACAAATATAAGGCAACACACGTAAAACCAAAAATAGAAACCATGCATACCCAGTAAGAGAAGTCATTAAACAGTTAACATAATCCACATATGAGTGAACACTGATTGCTGAGAGATGAAGATTTCATTTTGGAGTTGTTTCTTCTGGCCTTTTGGTATTTTTGTTATCCAGGTTCAGTTGCTGAATCGTCCGGGATATTGTTTCTGTGAGTCAGTCAAATGTCTGACGGCTAAATGGCTAGAAAGTTCTATCAACATATAGTTATCGCCCATTCTTACTTCAGACCTCATCCTGCTGAGAATCAGCAGAAATTTTTCCAATGATACAGATTCATCACCCCTCGCTCCCAAATGCACATAGTAGGAGGCATGGCGGTGCGATTGTATGTGGTTGAGGCCCTAATCCCTATCGGTCACTGGTGGAGGAGAGACAGGGCCTGGCATGAAATCGACTCAAGGGAACTAGGAATAGATCTGCTCCGATTAGAGTTGCTTTTTTTTTTCCTTTCTTTTTTGGGCCTTTTTCAGGGGCGTGATTTGCAATATGCAGGAAGCGCTGTGGGAGAGCTGTCAGACAACTAATTCTGTTGATGACGCAGTCCTTTGTTTGAAGTTAAGGGATTACTTACTTCAACGGTCCTAGAACCTTAGAATTCGGGAATCAATGCAACGATGAAGACGCTTCAAGGAACACTTTGGGGCCAAATAGCTGTGCAATGCGCAAGTGCAAGATCCTCAAGTCTTGAATGAATATCCTTCCTCCTTCACCAGACTACAATCAGTTTAGCTTTGCGGGATGGTATCCTGGCAGGAAGTAGCTAAACTTTCTCAGGGGCTTGTCGATATCAAGAGCTGAGTTCGGAGATAAAGGTTTGCGTAATCATTACATGGGACTAAGGTATACCTCGCATGCAAGGCAGATACCCATTCTTAGCGTTGCCAGAAGTGTGAACCTTTCTCCCAGGGGTATCCAGTGTTCCATGACTCGGTACATATATGATGCCACTGCAGATGGGGTCTCCGTTGCCTATCCCCGCTGCATATAGAGCAATACCTAGGGGCCAGCCACAGCTTCGAATTTCTCCAAACAATTTCCACCTTTCGAGAAGGGATACCAACACACTACGGCGATCCGCAACGAATCTCCACATCCACATTTGGAGTTCAAACGAGGTGGAATCCCAGGCCGGGATATTTTTAGCAACGGCGCATTGGGGTTTCGTCTGGGCCAATTAAATTATCCGATGCCTCCCTGATCTCTCACTTGGCGTCCAACCTGCTGACATAATGAAGTGACGTCCTGCTGTTCGTTTAACTAAACTGGATATAAATGTTTACAGCCCTCGGACCATATCAGAAGGACGACATCACTCGTGTCTCTGTATTTTTAGGGCACATTTACTTTTCGTTCCTCTCCCTCTCTGAGAGGGAACCTCTTCATTTGTGGAATCCTAAAGTAGATTCTCCCGTCCAACCATCATTCCGCACCACTACGTTCACTCCTGTTATCCTGCGCAAGGAACGTCCCTCCTATTCCAAGATGTTGGATGAGAACTTACCAAGTACGGTCGGGCCCCACTGTTGTTTAGACAGAATCTATGGAAGTAACTGAAGACCTAATGATTCTTAACAGCATTCTTTCTCAAACCTGCCAACAACAAGCCCAAATTCAACTCCTCGTTTTTCTTTGTACAGCATGGGGAAGAACCCACCCCAGCTTATACTCTCCGACATCTTGATCCCTCATTACCGGGATCAAAAAATCGATATGCTGTTGGTATCTACGATTCATTTTCTCCCGATGTGCTTTATGCAGAGGTGCTGTTGATTCCAAAATGGACGCTCCCAACTCTGTCGCAAGAAACTATACGCCAGAATGGTGGCGTACCCCCTCCCCCAGAACCAATACTTCCCCATGAGTTCATTATTCAGCTATACAACCCAGACCAACAGGTCCTTGTTCGGCACAAACCCAAGAGCTGGAATTCTGTTGCTTCATGGGAATTTGAAGTGCCGCAGCAGACATTTAGACAGCCCTCCGTATCTACACTCGACCGGACGTTGAGTGATCCTGCTGCATCAGATATTACTCCAAAGTTAAAATTTATTTGGCGCAAAGATGGAAAACTCTCTAAGGACCTTGGGTGTTATATGTCTGGAAAGAAACTGGATGATAAGAAGGGTAAAGAACCAGACATCACTATAGCCATCCTACGCGGTTTTAAAGAGGTGACCCTATATGAGCCTAATCTTTACCGGGTGGAAATCGAAGACTTCAAGGGCCTAGAAGTAATCCTTCTTCTGGGCGCTGTAGTGATCCGCGATGTTTATTTTGGCCAAATAAGTGAATGCTTCCACATTTCTGATCCACCCAACCCGGCGATCCCTGTACTCTCCGCGCCACCAAACAAGCCACAAAGACCTCAAATATCTATCCCGCAACGGGAAACCCGTCCACCCCCAGTTGACCCTCGCACTCAATGGGAAATAAATGCAGAAACCGCCAGGCTAAAACGAGAAGCCGAAGCGGAAGCGAAAGAACGCCGCCGTCGTGAGAAAGAAGCGGAGAAAGAGACAAGAAGGCTTCTCGAGGCGGAACAACGGGAGGCAAGGCGACGGCAGGCCGCGATCGACCAAGAAACAGAACGTCTCAAAAAGCTATATGCTAAGGAGGACATGGAGTACCGCAGACGGCACGCACAGAGTCTGCATTTGCCAGGACCTAATCCGCCACCTCGACCTGCATCTAACAATCAGCACGCACATGCAAACCACCGCTATTCGTCATACCACTCTGCTCCGTCTTTCCATCTGGCGCCTTCTCAGGTGGTGGTTCCCCGGCCTGTCTCTTCCATGGCAAACCCTCAGTCGTCTAGTGCTCCATTAAGGGAGAGACGGAGCATATTTGGACTTTTTAAGAAGGACGATGATCGCTCCAACACCCTATCTAAGAAGAAGAGTTCGGAGTTTTAAGCACATTTCCTTGTGATCCTTCAATTCTGTACGATACCTGCGTTTTTTTTTTTTTTTTGTTTTAAGGTTCAGGTTACATGATGGTTCGTATATATATTGCATTTCCCTAGCCATTTCTCTCAGTTCTTTTTGCTTTCAGTTTCTCCAATCCTTGTCTCCTCTGCAACGAACCATTTTCTCCTACCAATGATACCCAAGAATCATTCTGGTTTTATTTTACAATTTTTCATATCTGAAGAGGGATGAAGATGTGATCTTCATATAACCCTCCGTCATCGAGTATTCATGACGAGGGTTGAACTACACCTCTCCCCAGAAAACCGCATTTTATGGAGCGTCTCATGGTTTTTTTTTTTTTTTTTTTTTTGGATAATTTCAAGAATGTAAAGTTTTTGAATTGAATTCTATTGAATTTCGACCTTCTTGTCAACAAGTTTTATTCATGCCACCTCCTTTGTATTCCTAGAGGTCGCGGTTCCTAATGCCGGGGTTTATTGGCTATGATAACAAGCCTGATGGCTTGACCGTCCCCAGCTTCAAGCACTTGATTTCCATAAAATGCATCCTGTTGTCATGAAAAATATAAATCACCCTCATCAGAAAAAGGTCAACAACAGCCAATAAAACGAAGGAATTTTTTCCAATCCTTGGACCATTACTATATTTTTCTTTTCTTTAGTTGTCTTTTTAGTCAATATAGTCCAGTAAAGATGGATATCCCCAGATTTTCAAGGTCTTCAGAGGTATCCTAACAGCCTCAGTTACACTTGTGGAGCAGATCTTGTGCCACTCATCTCACTGCTTAAAAGGTGCAAGCTAACAACTTCAGTTCACTCAGTGACTTTTTTGCATCGGTTTAAGTGCTGGCTGGACATCAGGTAAACAGTGAAAGAAGCTCATGGAAACTTCAATAATGTTTGATTATCCAATGACAATGTGGCTGATAAAGATTGCTTTTGATGTTATGTTTCAGTTTCATCAGAATGAAATGTGAGTTAGCCACTCTCCCCCCCCCCCCTTTTTTTTTTTTCTTTCCTCCTGTTTCTCTTCGACAGGTGGGAGCTTCCAGCACAAGTCACCGAGTTGCTTCTTTGCTGCGCCCAATATGTGGAAAGCGTTAACGGGGCGCCTCAACAGAGTGTCATCTTTCGCCAGGACATCCATGCCTTGATGGCGGCTGCTCAAACTGCCAGTGTAAATACTGTCGATGTTCGCGCCATCCCTAAAAGCAGGTGCCCAACGTTATAGGAGAGAGAGTTCTCCCTTTTTTTTTCCCCGTGTGTTCCGTGCCTGATGCGACTAACTAGATGGGCGTCGGGATATTTCTCTATACGGACATTTCACTACCGCGGTTTGATCCAGCATGGCTACTATCAGAACCTCCGGGTGGGCTGCATTCCTTTTCTTTCTGACATTTGCTTTTGCGCAGAGTATTCCCGCTGTTGATTACGACGCCATAATCGTCGGAGGCGGTCCCGCGGGCCTTAGTGCGCTGAGCAGTTTATCCAGAGTACGAAGAACAGCTTTGCTGGTCGATTCGGGAATTTACCGTAATGGTCTAACAAGATTTATAAACGATATCATTGGCGCAGATGGTACGTGTTTAGAACAGTGCATATATACGCCCCCCCCCTCCCTCTCCCCCCAAACCAATCTTTTCTCTCCATACACCTCCCAGCCTTTGTAGCCATCATAACAATTGTTCAGGCGTCGCTCCCTCTGCCTTCAGAGACAAAGCGCGAAAACAAATTGCAAGATATGCGACTGCAGAAATGCGAAACGGGACGGTATTGCATATCACACAAGTGAACAATGTCACCGGCCAACTACCATATTTTAAAGTAAACATCAACTTCACAGACACAATACCCCCTTCAATTGTCAATAGGAGGGCACGGAAGATAGTCCTCGCCACGGGAATTGAAGACATTCTCCCCAATACACCAGGTATCGACGAAGCCTGGAGTCGAGGCATATATTGGTGTCCCTGGTGTGATGGCTTTGAGCACCGCGATCAGCCCCTTGGGATCATAGGAAATGCCACACGTTTTCGACACAGCATAATGGAAGTCGCCACCCTAAATCACGACATCATGGCATTCATGAATGGCACCGAACTTCCGGACGATCAAATCAAGCACTTCGAAACCCATTACCACATCCATTACAAGTTCGACATCATCAAGAACATAACTCGCGTTCAGGATGGCTCAATAAATTTCAGTGCTCAGAATCGATCCCAATTCGACATCTTTACAGTCCATTTCCACGGGGATACTCAACCCGTCAACCGCTCTGCTTTCGTAACGAACTTCGAGTCAAAGCAGCGGTCCGACTTGCCGTACAAGCTAGGTCTGAAAATGGCGGGTATAAATATCGACAACGACATCCATGGGATGCTAACCAGTGCACCTGGAGTATATGCCGTGGGGGATTGCAATAATGACCGCAGCACGAATGTTCCCCACGCAATGTTCAGCGGGAAGCGAGCTGCTATCAGCATACATAGTAAGTTGTCCACACACTCTTTTACTCTCTCTCTCCTGTAGGATTGCAGTTCTCAAAACCCATTGTTCCGTGCCTTTTCCCCACCAAAGATCATGATGATCGCGTTGTTGACTTTCCTTTCCTTCTCTCTCTTTTTTCTTTCATTGATTCTCCAGTTTCCATGGAAGAAGAAAATTCGACAGCCATGAGTACTGAAATCGGGAAACGTACCCATACCCAACCCTTGTCCAGTCGAGATCTGGAGGCGTTAATCGAAAGGGATATTGGAAATGAGTTTGAGGCTTTGTGGCCCATAAGACGGGAATACTGAGCGGAGATATATCATTCCACAACTGCATTAATTATTAAGGATAGACGGAATAATAAATGAATCAGGTAGTAACTTGGTGTTGAATCAATAAATGTCCCCCTTAGGGAACTGGAATTCAGACTTACAGGTGGCTAGCTAGGCAAATGGATAACCAAGAACACCGAATTTCTAATTGACATCATAGATTAATAAATTTTAAATAGCATCGATAGCTTTTTGCCAGCAAGTCCATCCAGCTGTCATAGCAAACGCTGGTTATGCCAAAGGAACTTTGATGTTAAATTGTTTGCAATTCAAGGCTTGGGGCTTTGGAGGGAAGGAGATGGTACAGACCGGAAACTTACTATAAACATATCCATGAATTCATCATATTTAATATCATGATAAAAATTGGAATAGCGTTGGGGAAGTAAAACCAATAACTTAACTGCCCATCATCTCAACTCGCCTGTAGTTATTGAACCCCGCTATATCGATAATTGCTGCCAACAGCGCCAAATGATACAGCCTCGTCCATAACAAACCTCCCGTTAAATATGTTGGTTTGATTCCTCCTCCTCCTCCTCCTCCTCCTCCTCCTCCTCCTCCTCATCGAGGTTCTGATTTGTCTCTTCGATCCTCTTTTTCATTGCCGGGCAGTGGTCATCATCATTAGCACCGTATTTACTCCAGTAGCAGCTCGACTACTATGCCGCAGTAATAATCTAGATTCCCAACTGTAACTACCTCGGCCGGATTCCGATGGGCATTCGAAGACTTTGCCAGAATTGAAGTCAAACCCTTCTCGAATACAGCCTTAACTCTTGAGGACCGAGCCAGTTAGTTCCCTCATGTCAAGAAGAATCTGTTCAGCCTAGTCCTAGAGCTCCAACAACCTATCATTAGTTATTGATTCAGCGTGAAGCCCTGTTTCAGGCTCGTGACGTTCCCCGAACACCAGTCGTTGGCTGTAATTTCATTGAGCAGTTTATCCATTGCCATGAGAAGTCGGAGTTCGACGGCATCTCACGGGATAGATTGAGGACGCTTGAACAGGCTTTCTGACCACATCTCAGAAGCATAAGGACCGAGTGCCATGGTTGCCCATGCCAACCAGCGTCGTAAGACGCTCTTTTTTAAAGGTAGGGATCTCCACGGTAAGCTCTTATAGACTCCCTGCATCCTGTGCAATTTCTGCGTGTGTTGTACAATATTTTATCGCGTAGCCAAGTAGGAAGCTTTCCCGAATATTTAACTTCAGGGGGGCAATCCTGCTGATCAAATTGCATAAGGCGTGCAAAATAGATCCAGCAAACTGGATTGTTAACAGCTTCATCCTTGGAATTCCAACGAACTTCATTCCTCTATATTCCGTTTATATCTGACAACATAACTACGCTAGGAAGGTCAAATAAAAAAGGGCGGGGGTTCGATTCGATGTAAGAACGCTCACGGTTTCTTCCCGGGCTTTCGCTCGAGGATATCGAAGAAGTATCTTCCAGCTCGCTCCTCAACACTGGGAAAGTCACTCGTATATCCCTCCGTTCCATTCCCGCCATTTTCACGTCTCCCTAACTCAGTAGTGCTAGGATCATGAGACAAAGCGGAAGATAACGACAAGGGAATCGTCACATATCTAACCCTTTCCTCCGCATACCCCCTCTCTCGACCCCAGAAGCATGCATTCCGCATTAGAGAAACCATTTCCCCACCCTGGCGTGCCAATACCGTTTCCCCGTCATCCTCTAGGGTGCGTTTACGGGGAATGCGTGAGCGTTGAGAACACGAGGATGGTGACGTTGGGATTGGAACGACTTCTTCCGTAGACGGTGCACAGTCGGGTTCCATCTGCTCCTCGACTTGACTAGCTAAATTGCCGACTCCGAAGTTCGAAACAGTCCACCATTTCTTATCCCCAGCAGAAAAAGCCGTATTCGCGAAAATATCCACGTCCGACTCCGGAGCTGGATCTAACTCTGGACCAGAAGCCAAGTTACTATGTACGAATATACGCACATGTGGCAAGTTAGGTTTAGTACTCCATAGGCCTGCAGGTTTCACCCCTGGTCTTTCTGTGTGTTCCAGGCCATAGGGTGGCCATCTGGACAGAGCTTTCCTGCGCCGGACAGGATTTTCAAGCATCTCAGGGTCAGAGTCCAGATTAACAGGTGGTGGTACTAGATCCGGGTCCAGACCTTGGAAGTATCGGGTAGGGTCCGGACTGCTAATTATCTCTTTGGGGGAAACTTTGAGCACGGGAATGGGGTAGTCTGGGCCTGTATGATACGCAGGGAATAGCGTGGGCGTATCTTTTCCTGCAGAGCGGAGAAATAAGGCAGGGGAAGCAAATGAGTCAAAATAACTATCTGGACTGCGGAACAACGCTCTCCGGGCTTCGAGGAGGGGAATGAGATCTGGTAGAGGAGCTGAGGTTTTCCTCTTTCGTCTGCGGTTTTTAGCTGTTTCCTCCACTAGCATCCCGTTTTCTCCCTTGCTAACATTGCCCTTGTTATGGTTCCCGTTGACAGCAACACCCTCTTCACATGCAGGATCAGTCTTCAAGCAATAATCATCCAAGCTAGTCCAATCACATATCGGCTCATGTGCAGCTAAAGCAGCAATGGATCTCGGCTCAGTGAGCGCCAGCATCACAGCCAGAGAACCCCCGATATGCCTCCCAAACACACATAGCCGTTCTGTTGTCAGATTTTCAAAAATCCAGTCAAATCCTGCCAATACATCGTGTACGGGACCAGGGTAGTAGTAGCGTTTTTGTTTCCCATATTCATCCTGCTGACCGGCCCGGTAGTTGACCGTTACAACGGTGGATAATGTGGTTGCAGAGAGGGCATGCTGTGGTGACGGAAACCAATCTTGGTGGGTGGGCCTCTCAGTCTCGTCAACAGCACTGTCTGCACTGTCCAATTGGCCGGTTAAGAATAGAGGCCCTGGAGGAAGGTAGAGGATTACAGTTGCGCGCTCAAATGGCGACTGCGTTACTGGCTGTAGAATGCTGCAGCGCTGGTTAATTAGCAAATTAGAAAGAGATAAGGCATTCCTTGGAAAGGGAAAATAGAAATAGGTAAAACCGGTAAGAAGTACTTTATGCAGATATTCCCCGAACCCCCAACTGGGGTTTGGACATTGGTTTCGCGGAAATCGGTGAGAGAGACAAATCGTGGGACATAACCAGAGGAACAAAATTTTCGGCTCGAAAAACGGCTTATGCTCAAGTTTATTCCATTCTTAGAGCGTAATAACAGGAAAAGCGCTGAGAGTGGTGTGTATTGAGAGCGCATAGCAGAGAGATAGAAACTCCTATGGCATGCGGCGATTCGTTGTTGGGTTTATGAGAGATGTATGACGTTGGTAGGCAACTTAACTAAATAGTTGACAGGTTCGTGCCCTAACCCTAAATTCGACCACTCAAGTCAGGATAATTAACCCGTCACCAACTTGGGGACATGCGTGCATGAATTAGCTATGGCCAAACAACAACTGTTGAAATAAATATATATGTATGCCAGTCGGAATTACTGATTGCGTGAAAATGAAGGCCACATACACTTAAACTAATTAGGTTACAAAATGGCTCCACCATATACCATACACGGCAAGCAATCTTTTGGTAATGGGTCAAGATTTGAACTTCGAGAATGCTAAATCAGCAGCACAGGCAATGAATGCTACCAAAGATTCCATCTGGCCAAGTGAATCACTCCACTGCGGGATCATCACAATCACGTTGAGGTTCAGAAACCGTTTGCCAAAGCTTTGGCTTCACCACTCTGACAGTTAAGCCCGAATCCTTGGAATAAACTCGTAGCCCGATAACACAAACAGCATTCCAAGGTGGTTGTACGCTGTACTCCCCGTCAATATCGCCTTCTTCCTCTTCGTCACCTTCACTATCAGAATCTTCAATCGGAGACATATCAATTTCGGAATCAAATTCAAAATCTGACCCCGAATCCACACCACTATCTTCCTCGACCTTTTTCGCGATTTTAGCCGTAGGTTCGGTGGTCTGGTTCTTATCGTCCGTCTCGTTCTCCTTCTGTGTTTGAGGTTCCTGTTCTTTGGCGACTTCGGGGGTGGGGGGTATAACCTTTGCTTCCTCGTTGTTATTTTCCTTACCGCTTTCATCCTCAGTCACCGTGAGGGGCCTGAAAGATTCTAAGCTTTTGTTCCCTAGCCCCTCGTCCTCTTGTAATTCCTTCTTGTTTCTAAGATTCTCTGACTGGTGTTCGGAGACTTCGCCCATTGTCTCCATATCCCCACCTTTCTTAATTTCATTGCCTTCGAGATCACTCATCTGAGGTTCAACGATTTCACCATTCTTCTTCCCTCCTCCGTTTCCGTTGACTTCTTTCTCCTCAGAATCTCCAGCTTCAAATTTGATGTCCATATATTCCCTTTCAATGCCTTGCTCCTTTACTTCATTTCCGTTCAAATCCTCCCCCTGGTGACTAACATCCTCACTCCCCTTCTCCGTATCTTGATCCTTCTTTGTTTCCTTATTCTCGACAAACTCGTTTCTCAGTTGAACTGCTCCTTTCTTGTCCGCTCCTTTGTCATTCTGTCCTTCTTGTTCCTCGGGATCCAAGTCTTGGGATTTCGCATCATCGTCTTTCTTCTCTTGGTCCCCATGCTTTTCTCTTTCTTGTTTCTTGGCATCCTCCGCCCTCAATTCAACGTTCTCCTCTTTCACTTCAGGGCTACTATTCTGCTGTATCTCCTTCTTACTATGGCCATCCTCACGCTCCTCATCAGCTTCCCCGCCTTGTTTCTTTTCCTCGGTTTGCTGTCCCTCTTGATTCTCAGCATTTTTAGTTTGCTGTCTGGCTGCCCTTCTTTCCCTTACCTGCTCCGCCTTCTTCTTCCTCCTCTTATCTCTTGCAGCGATTTTTTTCCTTGTAACCCACTTTCTCCGCGACCGGACCTCCGCAAGATCCCTTTCTTTTTTTCTCAATGCTGCTCTTTTTTCCAATTCTTTATTCTTCCGTTCCGCCTCTTCTTCCCCGGATTCCAAATCCACGCCCTTCGCATGAGCCAAGTCATAAGACTGGCCGATTTGAACAAGTTTCTCTCGCTCCGTAGTGGCTTTCTCTTTGATGACCTCCTCTGGAGGGGCGGTTTTGGACTTTGTTGCCCTCACTCTCACAAGAACCGTGTAAGTCCCTGGCTCCAAAGTGATATCCGCACTCACAGAGCGGGACATGTAAATGCTATTTTGGTTGCGGACAATATAATCATCTTGTCCATCTTTCTCAAGGCGAAATTGAAGTTCAAATTTGTATTGACCGTCTAGTCCTTTGAAGTAGCGATAGTCCAACTACACGAATGGGATGGGTAATCTTAGCTATTAGGTCTAGAACATGTCAATTAGGCAACGTACCTGGGATAAGACAATTACAACTGGGCCTTTCCTTGTTATTTCGATAACGAATTTTGTTTTATGATACTCCAGCGTCCAAGGCACTTGAAAATTGGTCCACTTCTGCGTCACTATCCAATCGTCTCCAAACAGCCGAGTTCGATCGAGAAACTCATATTTGTGAAGAAAGTCTTCGTAGGAAATCCAGAACACCTGCCGGACATTTGGTCAGAATTGGAACACAAGGAGGGTTGAAACAAACTGTGTGCAGATGAAACCCAAGGTACAACATACTCCATCATTTCCAAATTTATGCTGGAGTAGATTCATCCATTCAGGGGTCCATTGCTCAGATCCATCACTCCATGGCCCAGACCATTCCTTATGACCCCAGGGGTTCCTATAACAACGCAATTTAGGTCCAACTCCCATCTTAATAACAAGAGGAAAAGCATGAAACATACCGAAGACGGAGTAACCTCTGTCCATTTATCTCCTTAGCGTCCATCACAGAATATGCATGGCATTCATGTATGCCTGATCTCTCCTTGGAGTCATAGTAACTGGGGTATAACCAGCGACCGTATAGACCCGTGGCGCATCCGAAAACGAATTTCTTGTTGACATTCATAAGATCCTCGTTCCAAAATCTGTCCTGGTCGAGGACATCCCGGGATATGATTTCGGACGTAACACCCCCGGTAAGGTCCTCTATAGCTTCTCTGATCGAGGGGTTAGTCTAATTTTCATATGCGGGACTGATTAAAACAAAACAAAATGACCCAAAGTTACCCAACAAACCCGCCTTCGATGCTTGAATAGTCCCCGTGGGCTTTAGCGTAGGCCTTTTCCAGCAAGGGCAGCCATGTTTCGTTGTCGTCGCTGCACTGAGCAAAATACAGCGCCCTGGATCCAGTTTGCCAGGTCTTTCGGTAGTTTAATTCGGTATCGGAGCGACCAATATCATCCCAAACCTCCCTTTCCCAAGCAGCATCTTCATAATCCGGGGCTCGAAGATATAGCTTGTCATCAATGATAGTATGACGCCACTCGCCATCTAGTGAACATGTTAACAATGGTGTGCTTCGCCGAAAAAATTAGCAGATGCGGCTTGCCTCTATAGAAGACAAATCCGTAAACTCCGACCTGCTCATTCCGTGCAACGCAAACCCTATTAATGAGGCCCTCCATATTTCCCAAAGTACAGAGCGCAGCCATAAGCCAACAGTCACCATCGTTTCCCTGACGTACATCACCCGCGGTAGCATTATTTACGTAGAATTGAGGTTTCTCAAAAATATCCTACAGAGGCGTAAGGAAATTGCGCAAACAGTGAAACAACAACATGAGACTTCATGAACTGGGGAAAATGGCAACAGGGAACTTACCGAGACTCTCTTCACGCCCTTCGGCTTCATCGACACGTTTTCGCCCCCAAGGCCGTCGAGACAATTCCGTTGCCCAGACTTGAGATCCGCCTCAATATCAAAATGCGGATCAACATACTTTTGGTTGATTCGCAGACATTGCTTTGCAATGCGATTCACCGCATGTTCGCATTCCTTTTTGGCGCGATTGTACGAGTCAAGCGCAGATTCACCGTGTGCGATATTTGAAATGGGCTGCGGAGGAGCTTTGCCTGGTCGTCGGGGCAGAACCTTCAAGACTCTTCCTGGAAACTTCGAGTTGAAGGATCCCCAGAATGTGTCCACAATGTTTTGCGGTGTTGCACGTTCTCTTGTGGTCGTCGGAGCAGTTTCAGTTCCAGGTCGGTCACTTCCGCCATCCGAAACAGATGTGTGAGCCATAAGATTTCACTATCGTCCGCCGTGATGTGGAATATCGACATGCAAAAATAATTTACATATATACACACTACATGCATACATGTAGGTCTCAAGTCTGGCCAGTTTGGAAAACTGTGTCATGGCTGGGAGATCGTGGCCTTTTAACATTCCTCTTGGGGGTTTAGGTGCCTAATAATAACTCTGAGCCTCCATGCAGGCATCTGCAGTCTGAGACCACCCCCAGAGCAATGTAGAGCTAAACTACGGGATAGATGCCTGCTAGCGAACGGACGGATGAACGTAGGGAACAAAAGGGCGCTTGGTGATCTGTCCTCATTTGGCTTTCGCCAGTACGTTCCGTTATTTATAAAACGACAAGATGCCGTAGGAAAACCCGACCCTTCAGCTGGTCGGGCCATGTCGCGTGGCGCGGCGATTTGGTAGTTAACTACCAAGCGGCCTCTGTCTAACAAGCCTAACTTACCCCCATCCCATAAGGAATGACAGCGTTGGCACCCGAGCATGAACAGCTCACGAATTCTGGGGGCTCTTGGAATTTTGGGCGGAATACTCCCCCTGTTCGGAGTTCCGGACTGGCCCTCACCTATCGACTGGGATCCGTGGAGGTTTAACTATCTCTAACGGGGGCGAAAGGATCAAAACGATTCAGTTTCTCACATACATGCACACCTCGTTAAACTTTGGTTAGTAGTTAGTAGTTAACTAGCCCTGTCTACAATCTTGTTACCAATTGGAGTGGACACTTGGTTTCTCTCGAAGTGAGAAATTTGCACAAACAGGAGTTAATGCGTTCAACATATCATCCATGGATAATATAGCATTGGAAAAGACCACCGGTGTGTTGAGGCAGTTATTCCGTAGCCTTGACCATCCAGAGTGTTTGTGCTCTGAGAACTACCCACCAGTCCCACTATGAGGTTCTCCAAGACTCCTCGAGGTCGATCTGCCTCCGAGACAGACTGCATCGACTAAGAGCGGAAATACACACTTCCTATCGACGCTCCGTCGTATATATCTCAACGGTAAGCTCTTTGCTTCACGTTTAGCGGAATTCATGCGTTTTCAGCTGGTTCTTCTCCAACTTTCTACAAAATTAGCTGTAAAGAAGTTTGACGGATATAGTTAGTTACTAAAGCTAATGGATATCTTGAAATCATATTTATCCCTAGGGCGGCAAGAAGGCAAACATAAACGACCGATATGTCTGCACTGTTCTGAAACGGCAAATGTGGGATCGCGGATATAAACACGCCTTCCCATTCGTATTTTCATATGCAGCGGTTTCAAGTTGCTGGTGACTCTGACGACGCTGGTTAGCAGCCAACGGAGTTCTTCGCAAGAATCTTGTTGTTTGAACTTCTGAGAGTAATATTGTCCGGACGGTTCGGGCTCGTAAAAGCGAAAGTGAATTACTCTTGCTGGGTGACTTCAATTGCTGTGCAGTAATCCAGGAAAACGAGAGGAATAACTTGGCTTGGGTTCTTTATTTAGAATCTACAGTCCTACTTAGATAGGCTCAAATCCTGCTTCCAATCTGATTCAAGTTCAGATGGGTGAATTCAAATGGGCAATTTAACTGTAGTTACAGCTGAACTTAACAAAAGTAACCGAAACGTGCGCATTGCCGGAATGATATTTTTTCAACAGAATCAAGGGTCAAGTACCGGAGTAAATCACTCAACGATCCACCGCATCCAACGATCCACTGCCCCATGATCCACTGCACCCAACGATCCGCCTCTTCCCATGCATATCTGGATATTTCAAAGACATCGGTGATACCCTTAATAAAAAAAAAAAAATTTGTGTGTTTTATTTTATTTCTAACTTTTACCCGTAATTTTACTGGTAATCCTCCATCTGATTCTTATATGATAGAAAAGTATCTTTCAAAAATTGTCAAACATTTGAGCTTATAATACAGATTGTGACAGATTGCAGAGTTAAGATCTTTTCTCACATAACTAACAATTATGGTATAACTAGTTTTATATAAGAATCAAAATGCCGAATATTAATAGTATTATAAATGCGAGACCCTTTCCTCAGCCACGCTAGTCCTATTCGGGACAGACACGCTAGATATTCGCTGCGTACGGAGCAGAGAAAGCTCTCATTGTCATATATTATTTAGAATATAATAACCAATTCACTTATATTCTATCCCCCTCATCTGAAAGAACAAGGGCATATCAGCGTACTTTTTCTGGCAGGAGGCTTATGAGCCCTAATTGGCTCCTTACTGCCACTGCGGTAGTACATTTGGCAATTGAGTCGGCGAAACGCGAAAAAGTACGCTAATGCTGCCTCGCCTCCAGACGAAGGAGATTGATCGACTCATTAAACTTTCATAACTAATTAGTTGCAAAAATAATGAGCAGTGGAAGATGACAATACTGTTGTTAATATAAATAAATACATCCTAGTTGACCGATTCACAATGCGTAATTTACGAGAAAAGTGCATTACCCTAATAATGTTAAATTTTTATATTAAAAATTTAGTTAATAATTATTGAGATATTTAAGGAATTGAAAACGAGTTAATTTATATGGGAAAAGGTGGAACATTTGGGTGGTTTTGGCTACGTCACTTGCAGGCCTGCTAAAGAGAAGAGAAGAAATATTTATCACAATAACATTAAGAAAATTGATCTAAGCAAGAACAATTATTTTGCTGGACAAAAGAAAAACGTAGGCCTCGTGCTTCCGGCATAAAAAGAGGGGGGGTGGGGAGGGGGGGGGGGAAAGAAATGAAAAATATGAAAAATCGATAACCCGCGCCTCAATTGGTTTGAATAGAGATATACAATGCAGTAGGAAAATCCTCAGACGTCGAGGAACAGCAATAGTAAGCGGGCGAAGGGAGAATTCAATGCAGTAGAGAGTGAAAGAGGCGTGGGGCAAGGGACGGAGGAAAGGGAAATCAATTAGCGGCTAACGGCATTGTTGCTCCTGGATACGGAGGCAATCTTTCGCGGCCAGAATATGCAGAGCTGCCAGCTTGGAAATACGGGTGTATGCAGGCTTGTTTTGCGGAGATGCGCCGTGCGGGATCATATTCAAGCATAGCATCCAGAAGATCTAGACCGTTGCGTTCCAGGCCGGGAACCAGCTTTCGCGTCTCTTCACGCTTCCATTTAGGAAATGAAACTTTGAAGTCGGGGAATGAAGTGACACCGGGCCAGGTACTCTCATCCGGTGTACCCAAGAGTCTTTTATTGTTATGTGCGTCAGCTTGCATGCATATAAAAGGAGATGGGATAGGGAGATTTAGGAAAGGGGAGGCGGGTGGTCTTACTTGAAAATCTTGAAAATCTCGTCAATTTCGGAGTCTCCTGGGAACAGGGGCTTGCGGGTACACATTTCTGCGAATATAGCGCCGACAGACCACATGTCGACACCAGTGGAGTACTGGCGCCCGCCTAGAAGGATTTCCGGGGCGCGATACCAGAGCGTAACAACCTCGAGAGGGGATTAGAAACGCTCCATATCAGACACAAGGAATGCTTACCTCATGGGTATATGTACGCAATGGGACACCGAAGGCTCGAGCCAGGCCAAAATCCGCCAGCTTAAGATTTCCCTCACGATCGATTAGGAGATTTTGAGGTTTCAGATCGCGATGGAGAACCCGATGGCTATGGCAGTAGCGAATGCCCTCGACCAGTTGAGCCATGAACTTCTTGACCATAGCCTCTCCGAGTCCGAGTCTGTTCATATCCAATGTCGATCCATCTGGCAGGGCTTTTCCACGACCACCCTCGCTCACGGGGAGTGCCTCCATGTACTTTTTCAGATCCAGGTCCAGGTATTCGAAAACAAGATAAAGCTTGTGGCCGTCTGCATGAACAATGTTGAGGAGTTTGACTATGTTGGGGTCATGCATTTCTTTCAGGAGAGAGATCTCTCGAATGGCGGTGCTGGGGACGCCTTCATCTTCGGCCTCCAGGCGAATTTTCTTCAGTGCGACAATTCGATTGGGGTGGGTAAGATCGCGAGCTTTGTAGACCACACCATATGTTCCTATAGATAGAAAGGAAAAGAAAAGACGATGCCCCAATTAGCAAGGTCACTTATCCTGATATGTTGGGGTACAAGGGTCCAGCTCTGCTCACCCTCTCCAATCTTCTCAATCTTCTGATAGTTTTCCATAGTTGTGTGTATTTGCTGCACAGGTCTCTACCATAAGAGGGTACGGATGTTTTTTTCCCGTACAAAAACGTTGGTCGTATGTTGTTATCAGTCAAGACCCACTGCTTGATAGCGGGGAGCAGTAGTCAAAAACGAGGGAGGTAAGTAAATAATGAGGGGTAATGATACAAGCAAGAAGAGCTCGATTGAGGTTCGAGGAAGTTCAGTGTACTCTAGTGGTTAGTAATAGTAGAGATCCTCTCTGGAGAACTCGGAGAGCAGCTTGGTGCTATGACTTCATCGTCGAGACGGTTTCCACGGTCAGAATTCTCTTCCTGAGGGTGTGTGGTTGGGCTTGGTGGTGGCGGAGGGGAACAAACAAACCGTGGAAGCTCTTTTATTGTGTCCCAAGTATTTACGATTCGCTAACAAGTTGAACCCCAAACAAACACTGCGCCGCGTTAACGCAACACGCGCCTTACCGCCCACGCCTCCACAGCCACTCACAGCGATACCACCTGGCAGAATAACCCCGGTGCTTAAAGCAGCAAGTGATGTGATTCTTTTAAAGCCGGATCCATCCTACCTGGGGGTTAACATCATCCGCTTAGGTTAGCTAAATATCCATGGAGGGGGGCGTTACTTACACCTCATCGTGTGTCAAATTTTAATACTAATCTCAATACCCAAACCCCAGTAGTTACTTTGGGAGGTTTCTGAGTGGGTCAAACTGAACGCTAAAAATCCGACCCAACGATATGCTAAAGTTTTGAACTACGATTGAAGGTGTAGTTACGCCCGCGCGGAGAGAGAATTAACCTTGGACAACTCTCCAAGGGCTGGCTGGCTCTTTCGGCAATCCGACAGACCGCAATGGTGGAAATTGTACGGATTGACGCCCATGAACGACCACCCGATGTTTTCCGTCAGCTGTTCAAGGAATACCGGAGTCTGACGCCCTCTGAGATTGACTCCCATCCGCGGGTTCGGGATCCCCGGAGGCAGAATGACCATGGCCTTTCCAATGGTCTGCAGATGGAGGGATATGTGCCTCGTCAGTCCATTTCACTGGCGTTAGACCGGTTTCTGGACCGTAAAGACTCCAAGGATGAGCTGGATGACATTCCTATCTACACACACCAGGCCACTCCAGGTGAGAAGCATTCCAGTCCACGTACGGAGTATCCGGGTATTTCACATGGTGATTGCTAACAAATGTCAAGGTCTACGCATTGTACCATCTCTTTTTCCTCCTGCTGCCCAGGTTGAACTGCTTTCCCGCATTTTTCATCGAGATCTATCAAATGAACATCATAAAACAAATATACATCTTCATTATCACTTGACATATCCTGACCCGCAAGAAGTTCTCCCTCAGGAAGGTGGCTCAGCGTCTCAGGACCAACAGGATTTTTCCTCGCGGAAGAGAGGCTCCTTTTTTCAAGATAATCTGGGTCGAGAACTAGCTCCCAAGGACCCTTCAGTTCATCAACCACTCTCAATTAAATCACTGCTTGAGAAAAAGCTGCGTTGGATAACACTTGGCGGGCAGTACAATTGGACAGACAAGGTGTATCCTGTTGAGGTACCCCCTCCTTTCCCAGAAGACATAGCGAATCTGCTGCACAGTATTTTCCCTGACACTAGAGCTGAGGCTGCCATTGTAAACCTCTACTCTCCCGGCGACACACTCAGTGTTCATAGAGATGTAAGTGAAGAATGTGACACAGGCTTGATAAGCATCAGTTTTGGATGTGATGGTCTTTTCATGGTGGGCCATGAGGATGGTGGTGGTTGCGAGGTTATCCGCCTCCGTTCTGGCGATGCTGTTTACATGACTGGTCGTTCAAGATTTGCCTGGCATGCTGTACCCAAAATTATTCCGTCAACTTGCCCGGACTGGTTATCTGATTGGCCTGGCACCTCCAGTCCGTACGAAGAATGGCGGGGCTGGATGGCAAACAAGAGAATCAATCTCAACGTGAGACAGATGAAGGAATGACGGAGGGTGTTGACGCTGACTAATCGTCATATGGAGAAATTCTTGTATTGTCTCTGCTGTACAACCACAAGAATAGATTTGATGACACCTGACACTTCGAGTTCTCAGGGTTGCAGCTGATGCTGATCGCCGTCATTGCCCTTATCGGTGCTTGAAATGCTATAGTATTCTGCAGTCCTTTCTGGGCTGTACCGTGCTTGTCCCGCGGATCCAATAGTTTACCTCTCAGCAGTGGCACTGCATCGGCATTCGTGCAAATCCTGAGCACACCTATTCACCCTAAAGTTATGCCCCTCCCAAATTTGAAGTCCCTCTCAAAATCATTCTGGCGGACATAAAACTGGCTTTTCCTCCTCGAACTTCCCATCAATAGTTTTTAAGAGCTTCTCGAAGAACCCTATCACTCTACCCCCCTACCCATTTGGGTTCCACGAGAGTGAATATCCAATAGAGTGACTGGCATTATTTAGGACAGAATATGCGGGGCAGTTAAGTACCCTATCTCCCTCCGTCTTGTGGAGAAGTCTAGCCCCGCTTTTCAGCACAACAATACGCTACCCATCTCCAGGCTTGCTTACCTCTTGCGGGCCAATATTCATAGTTTCGTGAACACATCAAGAAACAGTGCGCTCACATTCATAACTTCATTGCGATTGGAACTTGAACCTCAACCGCTGGAATGGCGACAGGAACATCTTGGGAGGAGATTGCTAGAATAAAGCGAGAATCGATTCTCGCTCTTATTCCAGAGAAATGGCGACTCTCGACACCCATCCCCCCCGCCAGCGAGCTGCGAGACGTGACCCAGTATATCGAGCAGTTCCTTTCTCCTCGAGAAATTGATATTACCAAGCTGGATACTGTTAGTCTGGCACAGCGCACCACCACTGGCCAGTGGACTGCTGTCGAGGTGATAAAGGCATTCTGCCACAGGGCAGCTCTCGCACATCAGTTTGTACGTACCTATATTATTCACATCTCACTAAACGCTCCAAGTTGCAAATCCTTCAAAACCATACAGTTAATACTTAAACCTGCCAGGTCAATTGTCTGCATGAGATATTTTTTGAAGCTGCTCTTAAGGATGCAGAGAAACTTGATGTGTACTTTGCGGAGCACAAAAGGCCAGTTGGACCCCTCCATGGCATCCCCATTAGCTTAAAGGATCAGTTTCACGTCAAGGGAGTGGAAACTACAATGGGCTACGTTGGTTGGATTGGTACCTTTCAGGGTCATGAAGGTGATCCTCGACGGTTAGTTTTCGAGAGTGAACTGGTCAAGGAACTTCGCGCTGCCGGTGCCGTGCTCCACTGCAAGACTAGTGTCCCAGCAACCTTGATGTGCGGCGAAACCATCAACAATATCATCGACTATACGTGGAATCCGAAGAACCGCTATCTATCGTCTGGAGGAAGCTCCGGAGGCGAAGGTGCCCTCATTGCCCTTAGGGGATCTGCAGGTGGGTTTGGCACTGATATTGGTGGTAGCGTGCGAATCCCAGCTGCCTTTAATGGCCTATATGGCCTCCGGCCCGCATCGGGCAGAATTCCCTATGAGGCGGCTGCTAACTCAATGGATGGGCAAAATTCCATTCTTTCTGTTGTCGGTCCCATAGCGACTACCGCGGGGGGACTGAAACTCTTGTTCCAGTCTGTGCTTGATCAGAAGCCTTGGCTTCATGATCCCCTTACTATTGAACTTCCATGGCGGGATGAGAAGGAGCAAGAAATTATTGGCATGGTTAAGAGTTCTACTGAGGGCAAAGGGAAGCTTGCGTTCGGGTTATTGAGTTGTGATGGTGAGGTTCAGCCTCTCCCTCCTGTTGCTAGAGCTTTACAAATTGTGGCGAATACGCTACAGAAACTGGGACATAAGGCAAGCAAACTGGCATAAGTTTACCGATGTTAGGCGTGCAATGATGGGCTAATAATCATAAACAGATTATTGAGTGGAATCCGCCCTCGCACCTCAGGGCATCAGAATTGGCAGTATGTCGAACCGCTATATTATACATTTTTTCAAAACTGACCCTTAGTCATCTTTACTCACCACGATTGATTCATTAGAACGCTATCTACAGCTTCGACGGCGGTGCAGACGCACACCATCACTTTGGAATATCGGGCGAAACCTTCATCAAAGAACTGTCCCTGTTTTTTGGCAAGGAGCCGAGACCGCAGAAGAATGCGGAGCAAATCGCGGCAATCAATGTCGCCAAACGGGAGTACCAAAAATTATACTTGGAATACTGGAACAGTACTGCAGATGTGACGGGAACGGGACGGCCCGCGGATGGCTTTTTCTGCCCTGTGGCTCCATTCCCGGCAGCGCGACGAGGAAAGACTAACTACGTCACTTATACTACCTTCGTGAATATATTGGATTACAGTTCGATCACCATCCCAATAACACTTGCGGATAAGGCCGTGGATATTCTGGAGCTGGACTACAAGCCATTGAATGAACGGGATAAGAAGATTCATGATGAATGTGAGTCTAGACTACCATTGTCGATTGATTATTTCCTCATGCTCAAATTTTGACTAAAATTTTTCCCACCGCTCTGTACAGATGATGCCGAAATTTTCGATGGTGCCAATGTCAGCCTGCAGCTTGTGGGAAGGAGATTCCAGGAAGAGAGGCTAATTTCACTGGCGGAATATGTAGGGGGAGTGGTCAAATCAGCATAGACTTGGAAGCGTGAATGTTAACAATTGACGACGCAGTTTATTTATACTTTTCTCTTTTACTTTGAAATTTTGCGTTGTTCTGCTCCAGGCAAACCGTCGGGATATGTTATGTTTACCGGCTGTCAAAACCGTTGCACTGTGCCTCAAGGAATCGGTGTCCTTACAGATGCGTCTCCACGATCTCTGTAGAATAATGGCATCCCATCCCATCACTTCGACTGTTCAACCGAAGGGAAAAAGTGGGAAGAAAAAGCAAATATGTGGAAAGGTAATGGAAATAAAAAGAAATTATAAGCACTGGTTCGGGCCTCCGAGTCGCACAGTTCAAATTTGGTGCAAGTTGCCTTGAATCAATAGTTAATAGAGAGACAAGTTTCAGAGTGACCCCTGCATTGTTTTGAGATGTCGCGAGGAGATGTGATGGGGTTCGCATCTCACAGCCAGATATCAATTAAGAACAAACACTATTCAATAGTCACCAACAAATAAACATGCTTGAGGTAAGTATATGAGATTTTTTCTTTAGTCTTCAATATTAATCAACATCCTCTATAACCTGGAGAAGAAGCCTATGTACCATTGCAAACTAAATAAGACATCATATCACCATTTATTCAGTAGCCAAGGAAAGACACAGAAAATGCTTCAAGTATCTCTCCGTCATCAATCAGGAGTTGAAGAGGAGCGCAACGTGTTTGAAGCAACTCGGGATTTGTCTCAAGAATTCTCTGCTTAAATTTGTTGGTATTGTAATTTTTGTTGTTCCTGCGCGGAAATTCAGAACACACAGCCCGATGCCTGTGGTACCCGGTGGTGCCAGTACCTATGTACTGTGCAGCAAGTACCACGCCTGCCAATGAGGTCGCCCGCCTTGTCGAAATATACGTCGACACACTTTTTCCCCTTCAACCAACCAACCTCAAGAGTCAACACCCGCTGAGAGCGCAGAGCTGCACATGAGGCACTGTCAGTAGTCAGCCTATTTTGTATCCTGGTGCTCTTTGTATTTGTTTACCTGCTCCTCCCTTTCCCTCCTAATTCAACGGTCTTTTTCCTTTTCGCCGTTCCTCTCTCTCCGAGAGTCTTCCACCTACAAGTTCCGCTACAATCTCTCCCTTCCAAAACCAAGTATACACGACCAAAAGGGCAGACCTTCTGAATTGGTGCCTCAGCCCAGTCCGTGGTAACAGTGCGGATACATCGCGCCGCCAACAATGAACGAATCTGTCGCCGGCCCGACAAACACTTCCGACGGGTCCAACGCCGAGGAGGGCCGTAGCCAAGCTGGTACCAAACCCGCCGCCATCAAGGATAAGCAGTGCCAGTACTGCCACCAGAACTTCACCTCCTCCTCCCTCGGCCGCCACCTCGACCAGTACCTGTTCAAGAAGAAACCAGACGGTGTGCATGATGTCGAGGAGATACGCCGTCTGCGCAGCGGCATCACACGGCGAACAACACGTAACTCCAGTGCGAAGCGCGAAAGCCCAGATGTCGCTTCTATGTCGACTACTCCGGGGAATGCTGCTTCCATCGAGTCTAGGAATGAGAGTGGCCCGCAATTGAATGGCAAGTCGAGCAGAACCGGGTTCCAAGTGTTGCTTAATCAACCTACCTGGCATTCCACGGGTGTGATCAATGATATTCCGAATACCGCTCAAATATCACAGCTGCGAGTGCCAACGACGAGTATCGACTATTCCATACGGCCATCGGATAAGTCTACCCCAGAAACGACCAGAGCTTTAGAGCTGGCGCTGAGGGAAGTGTTGGATAATGTGAGGGCAGCAGTGTGAGTTGTTTTACTTCCTGATCCTGCATTGTCTCTCCCACTTATCTTTCCTTTTTTTTTCATTGCTCTACCTCTCTGGCTTACACTGCATCTATACTTCGTTACATGTTATTATAGTGCTAGGACCGAATCACGAGTGAATCCCTTTGACTTCGACCTCCAACGTCAGACGTTTCCGGCCCTTTGTCTCCAAATTCTTCCCCCACCTCCTAGTCTTTTTTCCACCCATCCATTCGCGACCCCGACTTCTTTCCCCCTCGATCCTCCCGGATTTGACAGGAGGGACATTTTAAAACAGGCTCTACTAGTTCAGATACAACAATGGAAGTCCGATCAGCTATCTGTGGCAGCTTCAGCTGCTACAAATCAAGGAACTGGTGGTCCTAATACTGTACATCCATCGACACTGGACCCGGAAATGATCGAGAGGTCTGCTCAGCAACACGAAGAGATGGCTGTCAGACATCTCGAACTATCGTTGAACCATTGGATGTCCACTTCCCCGAATGATCGAGTTAATATCTGGCAAAGGGAGATTACCCGTGCGTTTGCACGGGAGAAGGAGAAACGGCAGGAAATTGAGAAGCAGTTATTACGGACGCAGCAAGAGGCGAACCAGCTACGGGGACAAATCGAACGACTGGAAAATTGCCAGTGGCCCCGAGAATTTTCCATATTCCCCCCAGATATGCTCCCGATTTCACACGCTGTGTCCAGAGAGCTAGCCGAGGACAGCAATGTGATCGGAATCGAGTCTTCTCGGTGGGACTATGACAATATAGTGGCGAAATGGAAAAGAGTGGTAATGCATGATAAGAGCATGGGTAGAGCTGGCTCGGGGGTGGCTACGAGCATATTCTCCGATAATAGCAACTCGCTGCACAGCAATAATAACAGCGACAAAGGAAGCATCCCCAGCCTCAATAACAACCGGAATGCATCAAACAGCGGGGGTTTTCACTACTCGCAACACAACTATGGGACGAAGCCTCCCTCTCCGCAACTCAATGCCCCAGTCACCCCTGACACGTCGGCCACACAACCCTATGCACTGAACAGCACGCAGTCAACCCCCTACCAAACACGTGACCCAAATCGTACAGACGAACCCTTCAGGCCCCCCAAGCGAAGATGCACAAGCAACAATGCCTGCACCCAGAGTTCCACGCATCAAACAGAGGAAAAGACAGGCAATGCTAGCCGGAGCTTGAACCCCCAGCAAGCACGACCATCCTCATCTGAATATTCGTCACAGCAAACCCACTCCTCTCCCGTTGCCCTCCATCAGTACCGCTCCACGTACCCAACAAATCCTTCCTCAATAACCACAGGCACGACCTCTCCAACCCTACACTCTAAACCTAGCCCGATTAGTGGCTCGGGCAAGGACAAATCCTATCACCGTCCTACAAATAATGAGCCGGTCGGCACAACTACTAAGGACACTCATAGCAGTCTCGGTGACTACAATCACAATAACGGCATGAAAGTGATGTCCCGAATAAGCGGCGGTGGAGACGATTGGAAGTTCTCATACATCAATAACGACGATGGTAACGCCAATGAGGCGGCGAACAATAATAATAAACATAACATGAATGGTCGCAATGGACATAGCAATGGGCTGGAGATGCTGATGGGAGCTTGTTCGCAGCAGCAGGCAAATAATGTGCCGTGAGAAAGATAATCTCGACATTTTCTGATTTACATTGTTTGTACTTTTACTGATTTGGGTTGTGGGAGGTCAGGAAAGCATTGCACATTTCCTTTATACACTGTTGAGTAGAGCATGCATGCATGAAATTGTTGCCATTTCATCATTCCGTCTGTTCCTTTATTTTTGATATCATCCACCTACAAACACGCATACATAAATACTTGTCTACTTCATTTTCACTTTGTCTCCTCTGCCTAGTTTTTCAATTTTTTATACTACCAACATCAGTGCGTCTTGTTTAAAGTTCTTCACCCTTGTGGTTCCATTGACAAGGATCTTAAGAGACGGCGATAAAACTCTCTCTCAGTCAGATATAATCACCAATGGTGAGCCTCTCAGGTAACTCAGATGTGTCAATAGGCTGGATCTCCATTCCATCCCATCGTCCTCATGACTCGTTTTAACTCTGGAGGCGGTTCTCGGAACAATTTACATTTCTAATTTCTTGTTAAATGGGAAGGGTATCAGGATATTGCGAATGCTTTGAAGGAGATGATGCATTTTGACAAGAAAATGTCAAAACTAGGTTTGCTCTCGATCGGAATGGAAAAGGGGCGGGCATGGGAGAAGGCTCCGTTGTCATTACCAGTTTGGAAATACTCGCTAAGCGGATTTCCCTGGTGTATCTTTTACGTGTATTTAATGATATTATAAGAAGGCGGAAATGAATGAACAGAAACTTACATGTACAGTAGGTATAGGCTATAAATAAATCAAGCTTGCTGGGAAGGATCCATGTATGAGAAGTGAAATTGTGCTTCTGCATCAGAGTGACAATCTGTAAATTCCTTTTCTGAATGGACAATGAAATAAATAACTAATATTCATCAATAGTTAAATAAAGTAAGTATTTCATCATATAAGGCCCAAATAAAATCAATCACAATCCCTGTATCCATAAAACGCCACTAGCACCCTTCTATATATATATTTGTTTTCATTTCAGACATGGGAGGTGATATAATAGATCGACAATCATTATGCAAAAAGAAAATCGTCCGGCAAACAAGCATGGGGGGTATATTTTTGCCGTACACGAAATGCAATAAATGCTTAAAATATGAGTGGAAATGACCCGCTTCGTTAATGGTAATGCGTCTGGCGGAGAGAGAGAAAGAGAGCAACCGTGTGGGTGTGGGGTGTGGCCTATTGATATCCGTGTCGAACGTCCAAACGATTCTGGGTGTTGTCACGTTAAAGTGAACCAACAAGTTGTTTTGCGGGGATAATCCTAGGTCGTTCCCTTTCTCGACAGAGTATCAGAGGCATGGACACAGCAAAGAGGGATGTACGCAATGTCGTCTCTCCATTGGCCCCTGATTCCACTGCTTTCCATTTTTTAAGGCAATCAATTGATCGATCATTCTCCTTCTTCCTCGTCGAGCGCTCTCCTGTGAGCGAAAAGGAAGAGATTGTTCTTGATTGCGTAGATAGCAAAGCATATTGCCGCAAGAAGAATGAAGAAAATTATGAGAATTATGGCGATGGCGATGTTTCTCTTGACCATTTTGTCTGGATCTGTATTTGTTTATTCGTTTGTGTTGCCTTGGGCGAGGTCCGAGTGCGGGGAGGGTAGAGGAACGGCCGGACAGAGGGAGAGGTCGAGTGGGATGTGAAATGGGCGAATGTTTGGTATGATATTTATAATCCTTAGAGAGGAGAGGAAGAAAAATCTATATCAAAATGAACCAAAGATGATCGATTGCCTTGGTTATATAGGAATGGGAATTTTCTGGAGAGATAATCTGTTAGTCAACTCATCATCATTTAGTGATGAGGATGTACCCGCTTCACAGTAGTTCCCTGTAAATGTATTCGACTTTATCCCAGTTCATCACACAGGCCCAAGGAGGATACTGTGAATGAACTTGAAGGAGTAAATATTAGTAAACAAAAAAACAGAGTTAACTTACTTCTAAACTGCAAAAGATATAAAATGTTTCAATCAAACCAACAAACGAAGTCTCTTGAAGAAAAAATGCAATGCGCAAATGAGGGGAAAGGATATCACAAGAGCGCAAGACAGTGATTCTCCGGGTTCAAGGGGCGTAGAGCTACAAGTGCCACAAAACACCTATATGTGGCGAGCGCTGCGAAAGAAATATGTCCACGACAAGGAGGTGGAGATGGAACAAGGAACAAGGAAAGAAGGCAAAAAGAAATCAGCTCAAAGCATCACGATATATCACCCCGATCACTCTGGCCCCAGCCATGTCATTAATCAATGCCTCAAAAAGCGTTGGGTACAAGTTGTAGAAGTGGCTGGTCGAATAAGATTTAACTTGACAGGGACAGGGGCAGTTTAAGGTTCCCCAGCCACGTTAACTTGACATAGGAGCGTTGATTGGCTGTAGATGGGAACAACGTTTAAAGAGCTAGTATTTTTAGAGCTTAGTGCAACCCTATATCAAATTGTGGGGACGCGGTTGCTGACGTAATTTGAAGGTGGTCTGTTTAGAGTTTTTAAGGTTCTTGGGTCAGAGGGAGGCTCTAAGGATAAGATATTAAGCTTGATGTATATGGATACAAGAAACTCGCTTATCAACCCAAGGCGCCGCATCACCCTCTCATAACAAAATATGCGTGCTACCGGACCCGTCGTTTTCTCTAACAAAATGGCTGAGTTCGTCTCAATAAGGGAAGTCAAATATATGCTGTGGTTCGGTTCTTCGCTCTACAGATGAACAGCCAGATACTTTGCGAAAAGAATAATATAGCCAGATCAGAGGGGAGATTACACAACTGTACTCCAGAGCTTACAGATACAAGAAAAAATATTAGAGATCCATCACTGGTATATTTTGCTTGCTCAGATATTTCCATTTAAAATCTTCTTGGAAAGGAGAATATAAGTTTCTTAAACTCTTATCTCTGAGCTGTTGCAGCCGACTGATTACTTATTTTCGGTGTAAGAGAATGCGGGAAACGACCTCTGTTACTAACATCATAAATGATTTAGTCCGCGATCCAAACGACGCAGGTCCTTCATGTGGGGAACATGCGGAGAATTTAGCAATAGAAAGCATGCTCAATTCATAGTGAGCAGGTGTTAGCTAGTCTACCGCCCTCTGGACCATAATATGCATTTATTTCTATCTTCGATTTCTCATATACCAGGTAGAAATGATAACCGCAGCCCGTAACTGAGAATCCAAATATCGCTAACCAATCACATATACTTCTCAATTTTCATCCTGCTTTTTTCGCGTTCGTCTTTTCCTTGCATTCTTTCGATTTTGTATCCTTTGGTTTGACCTCCTTGGGCTTGGGGTTGGGATTTCCCTTCCACTCCAGTTTCCGGGGAGTCATATACTGCTTCAAAAGCTCATCCGTGACATGTTTTCTCCGCTGCTGGAACTCTGCCACATACTCTTGCAGCAGATCAATGGCCATTTTCTTCAACTCTCCCGTCAGAATCTCTCCTTTCCGATACCCTTCCTCTATCCGCTTAAGTTTCTCGTCATCTTCTTCGAAGTATGAGAGGTCTGTTCGTCATGTTACGTTAGGAATGAAAACATATCTATAGCGTCAGGGTGATAGATTTGAGGAGTTACTTACACTGGAACGAAACGTCGACGTCAGGGTTGCCGCCTAATCTCCTATGCTCTTCTACAGTGTCTCTTCCTCCGCTAAATGCGTGCTTGTTGATTTTATTCTGTAATGTGTCAATAAACACTCCAAACGTGATAGAGAATGGGGAGAGCGAACCTTGATCTGATTTGGTGTATCCGTCATAAAAATTGCAGAGCTGCGGGCGAATGGTGTGAGCTGGTTTCCAATTCAATATGGCTTTAAAGAGATTGTCAATCTTACTTAGGATCGCTTGCGCTCATTTTGCCCCCAGTGCCTTGCAGAGCGGTAAGGAATTTGGAATGGATTAAAGCAGGCTTTGGCCCTGGATATCGCATACGAGAAGCGTTGTCACGTACGAGCCGGAAATATGGGTCCTGATCAATAGCCATCGGAATTAAGCACGGGATTTTCCCTATAGCCTTCGTCCGCTCTGTTGGCGGGTTATCGGACCAGATTTCTGGATATGATGTTGCAAATGCGGCCGCACTAGTTTGCAGTTAGCGGGATACATGATTCAAACGTAGAACAACGTACCATTGCACCGCTGGAAACACTATCCGACCAATATTCGTGCTGCAAAATGTGAGCACAAACCTCACTCTAAAGCTATCAAAATGAATGCAAGACAGAGAAGTACAGGAGGGGGAGGGCAGGGACAAGGCCACGGAAAGATGACGTATCCAAACGTCAGCCACACGCTCATCCCTACAACGACTGCATGTATAGCGTCGACCCGTCGCAGGAGAGAGCACGCCGCAGGAGGAATTGCTCTCTCCCGCTGCCTCTATCATGATGTGCCACTCTCGGAAACTGGTGAACTGGCTGTGCTCACCTCTCGTTAAACCCAAAAGCTCCTCGAACCTGGTTGAAGGTTACGAGCTTTGAGAATTCCCAAACGTTCATTAAAAAGTGACCTTTAACATAATCCAGATCACTGAATATAAAAGTCTTCTTAAGGTCAAATCCGCAAGCGATTATATCCTTCGCATTCTGCAATCCAAATTTATGGGTATCTTCGAAGTTGAGATTATCCTTGAAGAGGGCCTTTTCGTCGTCTTCGATCGTCAACATGTACTCCTAATCGAGTAAACTGGATGCGGGCTCACCTGTAAGCATAATCACTAAGGAGAGTCAGCAATGTTTAAATAATATCAACTTATAAAATGGAAGAATGCGGTCTCAATCCTTCGACATACCCAGTGGGACATCAAATACATCCTGCAGCCACTTTGTAAACGAGAAGGGAATTGTATGACCCAAATGCAGCGCATCAGTTGACGGGCCTCTCCCAGTGTACATGAAGAAAGGCTCCCCCGCTTCGTATTTGTTGAGGATATGGTCAAAATCGCGATGCGAAAAGAAGAGACCGCGTCTCAACCAGCGATGTGGCTTGTGGCCCGTAAGGCGTTCGAAGCGCTGAAGGAGCTCGTCGTCTATTAATTTGGTCGCCCATTTCCTATATACGATGAGTCAGAAGCGCAAATCTTCTAAAAAGGAGGAATTAGGCGAACTGTGAAATGGCCACATAATCAATGGCAAGAGTATTTCCTTGCTCATCATGCCCTGCTTCAACGTTCCAAGGGTCAATTTGTTGTTCAGTGGCCGCTTTTTTCTCTCCGTCGAGTACCGGAACTATGACTTCCGCCATACCAGGAGGGGGCGGGGCAGACATTCCGATCAGCGAAGATATGGAAACACAAAGGACAGTCTAGAAACCTATGTCGAAGAAACACTATTTAGCGGGATGCCGGTATGCAGGAACCGTGACAAGCAAATTGATGATGCTCTGCGGGGGACAGAACGAAAAGTGTTTGGCTACAACAGCAATCTTTTCGCAGAGTCAGGGAACATATCACGTGTCGATAAGCTAAAAAATTATGCTTATCACAAACTTTATCCAATAAAACTATTATAATTCCCAAGCGAGCGGATCACCGATTCATAATATCTTCTCATTTTAACTACTCATCCACCTCAACGCGCAATTATGCCACCAATTCGCAATACAAACACTTCAAATTCTCTTGAGAGAGAGGAGAGGCTTGAACTCGCGATAAATGCTTTAAAAAAGCAAGAAATATCCTCAATTTGTGAAGCTGCACGCGTATTTAATGTTCCATTTCTGTACTCTAAATTATCGACTCAATGGCCGGACTGCTCACATGAATCTACGTGCAAATTCAGTCAAATTAACCAGGCCGAAGAGAATAGGCCAGTTGAATGGGTGCTGGATCAAGTTAAGCGAGGATTTTCCCCACGGCCCGCATTCGTTGAGGATACAGCTAATCATCTTCTTACTATACGGAATTCCACCATCTCCACCACTCCGCGTTGGCAAGAACTGGGTGTCAAATCTAGTGGCACGCCATCCAGAGCTCAGACCCGCTACTCCGGACGCTATAATTATGACCGGGCCAAATGTGAGGATAATAGTTAACTAGTTAGTCAGTTAGTCAGTTACAACAGCGTAACTAACTTCCACAGGTCATCCACATCCACATCAGACATCACCAAACACTCAATTCTAATTCCCCTTCAATGTTGAAGTGTGGATGCTATATCTTACCAGCGAGAGCCGTGAATCAGCTATTAGCAAGAGGTTTATATGTAATGATCCCGTCTATTGCTTTGGAGCCCTTGAATTGGCTTGATCAACCAATTTCCCATTTATGATCTCCGCGAAAACGAACAGCTTCTTCTGGTTCTTCTCAGACCCGGATTCCCTTTTACTATTCTCATGTTATGTGTCTGCATGAAACTTTCAGCCTGAGGGCTCAGACCGCAGGACTATCTATCATTGGTTGTCAGCTATTTCACACCGACACTTAGTGAGGTCATACGAAGAGTGCATACCAAATTTATAGTTACCTTCTTTGTTTTCAAAACAATGGAATACAACCTCTACCTCCATCCATCATACTCCGTACTCCCTAAAGAAATGAGCAATAGCTAACTTGCGAACGAGGAATTTGCAATATTTTGACACTACTCCAGTCAAATCTAACCTTCTTGAGAAATCTATGAGATGTTCGGCAATCTAACAAACATTCCACCCGGAGAATAAAGTTGGGTATGTCTGTTTTCGGGCAGATATGTGATGTCTGCCAAGGAGTAAGACAACTAGACTTATAGCTCTGCCGGCATCATATATATATTAAGCAACAATGTGTTATCTGTTGTTGAGGGTCTGTACGGAGTGTGAATCTAAAATAATAATTAATATCTTTCTTCTTTTTATCAATAAGCTTATCACCTACTCTAATAGTTATCAGTTATTATCAAATTTCATAATCTCATTTATCATAATTATATCAATAATAATTTTTAACATGTTTAAGCTTAATTTCATACTTTATTATTCATTTATTATGATTTTTTTTGGTATTTCTCTTGCTGAACATGAAGCTTAATAGAATGAAAGATGAGAAAAATTATCAAGTCGGCAGTCAGAGAGAGTATCTCTGGTATAAAGATCTCAGATTGCCATCAATGTTCGTAAGATACTGACCAATACAGCCAAGCCTTCTAGTGCAGAAAGGAGGTGGCTGGGACTTTTGATCACACCTCAATTGCATGATGTTTTTTATTATGTGATTGTCGCTTGCTTCTCTTTGTGACAGTGACTGATTTATGTTTGCTATGCTTTTCCAACTCACTTGGAACAGAATGTCTTTGCCAGGAAGATTTTGTTATATATATCTGCTGGAGCTTCTCAGATAGATCTTCTTTGAACCACTTGACTTTTTAAATCTTATATCTTGTCTACGACGTTGTTCATTTTCTGTTGCAACGACTATTGAAAAAGACTTCAGCCTTTGTGTCTTATGGTTTGTTTGGTGATTATGGGATTTCTGCCAGTGAGCTCTCTCATCCTCTCATCCTCTCATCCTCTCATCCTCTTCTCTTTCATTCTCTCACTCTCTTCTCTTTCATATCGCACAATCCTGCAAGTGGAAAGCTCATCAGGTATTCCAGAAGGAGCTAACACAAGACATGAACAAGTTCTGGATTATTATTCACTGGCACAAAGGTTGATGTGCATATATTCATCAACATACTGAGCACTTTCACTTTTTTCGAGCAGATTATTGGTTTCCTTCCATCTTGTGAAAGCAGTTCATAAGATTCTTATCTCTGAATCCAACCTGTTATGAATCTATATTTTGGTATACCGCTTGACAGAATCCCGGTGGTTGAAACCCCCCATTTCCACTTGTCAGTTACGCTCTTCATCGAATTCGCTTTCCTTTGAAGCATTTTTTTTACAAACGATAATTCCCAGAGGAAACGAGGCGATTCGGTCGAAGCACTCTTTCAAAATTCTCTTTAAAGCAGTGGATCACTGTAGAGTCGTGATAAAAATGAATCCAAGATCTCAAGGTTCCGTGCCTAAAGTCACAAATACACAGGATGCATCGTCCCCCACCCCATCATCAAATCCGAGTCCTATAATATCACCGCTTATTAGCCTACCTTCGTCATCCACAGGTTCTCATTCACCAAGCCCACGACTTCCTGAAAGTGATACAGATCAGCTTCCTCCACCTCCGCGGACACCGATGGCCTGGATGTGGAAATGTCACTTGTGTTGTTCCAAATACCCGCTTGGGGTGACTAGTCGCTGTCTCATCGATGGGCACTGCTATTGCTCCGGACGCCCCACAGACAGGAATAAACAGCAAGGGCAGATATCATGTACATCTAATTTTGATTATGTCGGCTGGAAATCGATGGTCGGTTGGCAGAAACAGGTAAGGCGTGCGTCTGATAATGAGGGGATTCGGGAGCACGGATGTTGGGCAGACTGTACATTCCCAACTTCGTGTCGACATACCCTGCGGTTCTTGAAGTTAAGATGTCCGCGGGTAGTCGAAAAGAACCATAATGGCTGTAGCGATGAAGCAACTTCGCGTATGCAGGTATGCTTTATATCCTCTTTTATTTATCTATCTGCCTGGCTCCATCAAAGGTGTCAAATATATGAACAGACTTTTTCTTTTTTAGAGCGATACTGCCCCTGCATCATCTTTCCTTTCGGGAAGTGAGGCAGAGAATAAAGATAGAACAAGAGCGAAAAGACCATTGCCAGAGGCAGAGGATTCCCCTTCAGATGCTCCATCTCGACAACGTCGAAAACTCACCAAAGACGAGCAACAGCCCTAAACAACTAGATAGTTGCAACCTCGACTATGGCACAAGTCCGTAAACTCTCTCAGCAACAGAGGTATAGTACATGGGAACACGCCATACCCAGAGGCGATAATATATTGTCTGAAGTCCTTCCGTTTCTACAACACAGCTGCCACCGCTACAATCGATCAGGATATGACAACTCTCTCCAACTAACCAACATCTACGCAGACTGATTTCACGACGTGCTATTTACATTGACCACCGAAGCCCATTGAGGATTTTAATGATGCATTTACGGATGTCTAGCCATCTCACTCCGATGCGTTCACCACATACGGTGCTTCTATTTTTGGCAATGAGCCTATTTCTGCGGCTCATATCATTATCATCCTTCTCATAAGTGCAGGATACATCGCAGGATCCCTACTTTTGGTTCTTTTTATTGTTCATTTTGTCTGTCCACGCACATGTTTGTTTTTAACAGGAGAGGTGTGATATGTCCACCGGGAGAGTTTTAGTTCAAAGAAATTAAATTTAATCGTCCTATCTAGAGAGATTTTGTATCTAATTTCTTGAGTTGAGGATCAACAAGATCCGAGCAAAATGGGAAACGCTAAATATTAAATTGATCCCGTAGATATTCTAAGACCCACAAAGACAAGAAGGGGGGCGTGATGTTGAAGGATGGGTGTCACCTGGATGTGATATATGGAGGTGGATACCGTAAATGGCAAGCAAACAAATCAACTGCTGGGGAGAAAAGTAATTGTAAAATGTCGTACGAAATATTTCATGACCAGAACACCATGTGCTCCAACCATCAAGAAAAGAAAAGAAATAATGTTGCTGCAAGCTTTAGAAGAAAAAAGGCGAACAAACAAGGCGAAATAAAGAAAATTACATACCCCCCAAATCTGCAAGCCAGACTCTCTAAAAAACTAAAAGGAGACCCATCACCCAATAACCCTCAATCCCCCTTTCGTTTTGCCCTGCTTCTTCTGTATACCACCATCAACAACCTTCGAACCGCCACTGCCACCACCACCCCCCCCTTTCCCACCACCAACTCCACCACCCTTCCCGCCGCCTCCAATACCCGACCCACTCCTCTTCCATCCTTTCCCCCCACCAGCTCCCGCACCAACCTTCGACGCAACCACCGGTCTAATCTCTGTCATCGCCCTCCTCAACAAAACCGGATGACTCCCAATATATTTCCCCTGCATCTCCCTCGCAGCCCTGAAATAATCCTCCCCATCGCTAAAGCTCACAAACCCATAGCCCTTACTCTTCTCCGTGCGCTTATCGCGGATAACCCGCGCCTTCTGCACGGATGGGTACTTGGAGAAGGCCTTCAGGAGTGAATCGTCCGTTACTTCTCCAGCCAAATTGCCCACGAACAGCCGAAAGTGTGCAGGGTCCCATTCCAAGAGTGTGGAGTCTGTCCAGCTTTGCCCGCCGCCGGAGCGGATGACTGTCTTTGCCGGTTCAATTGGGGTGTTTGGTCCCGCCGGGACGGGGGTGGATGTTGTTGTGTGCGGGCCGCTCGGAGGTGTTGATGTGGTCGACTCGTGGATCCGTTGGAAGGCGCCCAGGGGACCTGTGTTGGCGCCCGTCGCGGAGAAGGCTCCGTCGCGACGGCCCGGGCCGCTGCTTTGACCTTGACCGGTTATGATATTTGTTGCGGATTGGGAGGGGTCTATGCCGCTCTCCTTGCCCATGTATGCGCTCTGCCATTGTGCGATTTGCGCTTCGGTGTCGGGATCCAGTCCGGAGTCTTGCTGGCGGGGATACCCCCTTCCGGCACCGGCGTATGCATTGTTTTGCACTTGGTTTGAATATCGGAATGGGTTTTGGACTTTGGAAGCGGCGGTTTGTCCATAAGCTGACGTTGCTGCGACTGCTGCTGAAGCCTGCTGCTGTTGTCCGTAATATGCTATGTGGGGTTGCTTGTAGGCCGGCTGAGAGTAGTTGGGGATATGATTTTGCGCATGGTGTTGGTAGCCAGCTGCAGGCGCTGGCAGAGAAGGGCTGTGAGGGCGGAAAGACTGACTCGCAGCTACGGCACGGGGTTGAAAACCTGTGAAGGAATTGTAGGCCGTGCCGGGTCTAGTGTGGCTGGTAGTAGAAGTAGGATTTGAAATAACGGGAGCGCCTGTCGATGTCGATGAGAATGAAGTCGCAGGGGGTGGTCGGGGGGGAAGAGATGTGTACGGATGTGATTGCGAGGATTGAGGACGCGACGGCTGCTGTTGGAGACCTGGAGGTGGCGGAAAGGACATGATGAACGGAGGCTCGTCGAAAGTGGTATTTTTTTTATTTTTATATTTTATTTTGTTTGTACAGTACAGGAGAGCTATCTGGCTGGAGGTGTGCAGTAACAATGGACACACGTACCTTGCGCACGTCCAGGGAAACCGTGGAGCTCCAGGTATAAACTAGTGCCAAAACAGCTCGAGTGATGCGCTGGATACCAATGCAGTGATGTGTCAGTGGACGTTGTGTTGTCAACTGTAATGTGAGAAGGATCTGAGAGCTAAACGTGGCGGGTAGATTTGGAGCAGGCAAATTACATGCGAGATTCGTTTGCCACAAGTTATATGACGGTGTATTGTTCGATGGATACTGTGCCTCTCACTTCGAGTTGGAGATGAAGCCGTATTTGTGACAGAGGCTGCTTGTTCAGAGGCTTAACGAGATGTTGTGACGACATTGATGAATCTCGAATGATGTTGGACGGACTCCCAAATTTCGATAGAAGTTGATAAACTAATAGCTATCACGTGGGTTGTGGTTAGTCAGATTTCTTGGAGAAGGTTAACTAACTAACCTAGTTAACTAGTATCTTTTGCGCCGGTTAGCGGGGCGCCGAGACCGCCGAACGCCGTCGTCATTGGCCCGCTTCCTGCGCTAGGCCCGTTGAGGAAGCACCGTTGCCGCTTCGGGGATGGCGCGCCCGCTCGCCGCTTTTGCACCCCTCTCACGCCGCTTCAACGGACCTGCTCGATCTATAAAAACCCATCCCATGCCCCTCGCAACGACCACACACTCTCTCTCCTCCTCTTTTCTCTCCCTCCCTCTTTATCTTTCCCTCTCAATCGCGCGCGCCTGGATGCACTGCCCCCTTCCCCTCCTTGCAGGGAACCGGTGCCGTCTTACCCGCCCGCGGAGTCGCCGAACGGATGTCTGATGGGCTCGCGGGCTGCTGCTTCAATTGGTTTCTGGACCACCCATGCCGCCCCTCGCGGTGGTGTTACTTCGCTTGATCTGAAGTCTGGGCTGCTGGGACATCTACAGCCGTCAGCCGTGTTGTACGGTCGGCGACTGTGAACCGCAGATTGCCAATGGTCTATCCTTCTTTTTTTTTTTTTTTTTATTTAATTTTTAATTTTTAATTTTTGGTTGGGAGGTCGAGAGTTTCCGCTCCCGCCCTCTCATTTTCCCGTTTTTCTTGTGGTTTTATCCGGTCGATCTGTTCTCCCGTACTCTGTTGTCTTGGGGTGCCTTTCGTCCGTGGAGATCTGTGCGGAAAAGCAACAGGCGACGATCGATCGAGGCGCACGGGGAAGACCAGCGGGCGAGCCTCCTGGAGCCGGAGGGCTTGCTGAGCCCTGAGTGATGGAGGGTTGCATCGCCGTTTGACCCACCAAGGCAGACTGCCTCATTTTCTTTCCCCAGCCAATAGCAAAATTGCCGCACTTCTTTATTGGTATCGGTGTGCGCCTGCAGGTCGGACCCGGGGGGGTTCGTCAGCATTGCATGCTCGACATTGTCAAGGTTGGAAACATTATAGCCGCTGGAGAAACGCACAATGCCCAACCTGAAAGTAGTTCTGGTAAGATCTTTCTCCCAGCCGAGCCGGACTTGCCCTTTGCTGATATTAGGATAGGCGACAGCATATCAAGAAAATTCACACCATATTTGAAGCAGAGTCCGGCGAAGATCAGGGACCTACAAGAAGAAGTGCAGCGCCTGAAGAAGTGGAACACCGAGCTAGAAATCAAACACCGTGCAGATCAACAAGGAGATACGCAGGCTTAAGGCTGAGGTCATCGAGCTGCAGCATCGATGCCGATGCCCAACATGCTATACCATCCCTTCAGAGTGGAAAACCCTCCTGTGCGGACACAGGGTCTGTCCAGGGTGTCTCTCTCCTGAGCCAGAGCCCTGTGGATTATGTTGTCGAGATTTCACTGGCTATATAAAGAGTTATTAGGTAGCAAATGCTTTGTCTGCAGCACTAGATTCGTACGATCGTAGTTTTGTAATAGGGACATTGGTAGGAGAAATGGTAGAGCCTTTATATTTGGAACGCGTCTGGGAAAAGTTCGAGCGGTTCAATGCGCCTGAACCGGGAAAGCCAAGAGAAAGGAACAGGGGTGAAACGCAAAGAGAACAAGGGCTATGGACCAATGAGGAGTGATAGCGGTCCTCCTGCCTTGGTACCAAAGCCTCACCCTACTCATAGAGGACGGCCATCCCTCCGTTACACTCCATCCTCCTTTTTCTCTTCTTTCCTTTAATTTTCAGTCCCGTCCCGCCTGGCCTCTCAACCTACACTGGACTTCAATTCGTTTACTTTACCTTGATGCCATTTACCCTAATGGCGCCCTTTCTCCCCGCCGAACTCATCCTGCATATCCTTCAGCATGTACCGGATGTCCCCAGTCTCTTTTCAGCAATCCTGACCTGCAAACACATTTACGCAGTGTTCGAAGCCCATAAAGATCACATCATGGAATCACTATCCCAGAATGAATGGGGCGACACACAACTCTATAGACATGTGAATGAGGGACTGAGGCCTAATGTACCGTGGAGTGGGTGCAAAGGTGAAAGAGAGGCCCGCAGAGTCCTGACAGGTTTTCATGGTCAACATTATCGATTTCTCCAGAGAGACCACCAGATGGTTCTTTGTGGCCATATGGCAACTGTTTCGATCGACCAATGCTGAGGAGATACTTATACCGGTAGCGATACGCCTTGCCCAAACGTTTGTGCAGGCGGAACGAAAACCAGAAGCTGTTAGGCTATTTTAGGCTATCTGGAACCGCGAGCCTTCATTTATGTACGTAACCCGCCTTTTAACGCTGTTCCCTCTGGGGAACCAATTGATGGGCCTACTTGGCCAAGAGCATAGACACTTCTCGTCGCTGCAGAAGTCGACTGCTGAGATGAAGCGAGAATTTCATTTTTTGCCGGTGGTGAAAATTGGGCAGCAAAATTTCTATGAAGTTGAAGATCTTGAAGCTCTTACTTTGCCTGACGCAGGCTTTGAAAAGGATGGGATCCAGTTTTGTTATCCCCGTGAAAAGCGCAATAAATTCCAAAGGTGCTATCTTCAACAAAAAAAAAAAAAAAAAAAAAAAAAAACTTGGCTGGATCCTGCTCCGGTGCTGGTAAAGGTCGGAGAAGAATTCTTGGAGTGAGGTGCCCATGCTTTCCACGCTTGCTATGTAGCTTAGTTGTAAATATCTCTGGATCAGACTCGAGAGGAATGTAATGCTTTTTGTAATTCATATTGCGTATTGCTGGACTAAAAATGGCTACGGCCAATATGTACATCTCGTCAGACTAATTGAAGAACGTGAACATGATAAATACTATTTTCTTGCATGTTCATACAGAGGGGGTAAGAACACCGTAGACCTTATCATGTTCGACGTTGATAAGCTCTCAACCCCCAGGTTCTCCGACTAGGAAGAGATGGTTGAGTAACTTGGTGGTTGGCATTCGCCTTTGAGGGTTTTGCTGTAGCATCAACCAAAGAAATGATGCAAGGTGCTCTACATTCTCAGCACCGAAATCATATGGGAGCCTGTCTGTCAGGTGTTTTGTAAAGTTCTCATGCACCTGACCATTCTTACCAAGGAGCTGGCTAATACGGTAAGCGTGCTCTTCGTCAATCTGTTCCGCCGTGAGGCCAAAGGATCCCAAGGGAAATAATGGCTCGTTTGTTGCCAATTCAAATACCTTTGCACAAAGATTAGATGGGAAAACTGGGTTTGGGTGCAGGGGGAGCATACCAAGCAACCCAAGGCCCAGATATCGATCCTAGCATCCCAAGTATTTCGGTGGATTAGCTCGGGTGCACGCAAAGCTGTCGGCGTTACCGGCCACCGATCACATTGTCGACTCCATGCAGCTAGGTAATGATATGAGTTCTTGTACCAGGTTTGGGATATAACAAAGGGTGCATCATACCTCCACCCAGATCACCAATCTTAACCAAGATCGTGGTGTAGTCTGCGTCGTCCAGTTCGCCCCGGCGTCTCTGTGTAGCCATCAAATATTTCGGCGCGCTATCATTTACGTTCGTTCCTTCTAGCCACCTAACAGGACTGAACTCCGGGGGCTGCAAGAACGCCTCGGTGTGCGCAGCCCCAACAATTGAAAACAGAACATTGGCAGGTTGTAGATCTGCATTAAGTCAGGGTACTACCAACTTTCATGCCTCAGGCGCTGACCTACCGCAGTGAGTGATGCCTAGCTTATGAAGAAAGTCGACACCCAACAAGACTTGTTTGGAAATAGCTCGCACGTAGGCTGCCTGGTGCGGCTTTCCGTTGACGCTTATTACTTCACCGTCGGATATCATTGCAGGGAGCACTAGACACAAGTGTGTCCCATTTGGGCCATCATGCTCGAAATAATCCAGAAGTTCGATAACATGCCCTTTGCCAGGATGATCTAGGCCCGGAGCAGATAATTTAAGGAGCATAGCAAGCTCTTTATTGTTTCTGGAAACATCCGCTTTCAGTATCTTCAACGCAACATGTCGCTGGAGCCTTAAATGGAGTGGTTAGTTGTCATTGGGGAAAAATAGTCTGCTGGGAGAGACTCACAATTGGTCATGTGTGAGCCATACTGTTGAGAATTGGCCAAACGCCAACTTTCCAATTACCTCGTACCTCTCATTGAATACATCGTGGAGGTGTACCGGATGATAGCCTCCCTGGCGATACTCTTCAACAGGCTCAACGATGTCGTGGATTCTCTCGAAACGCCGCATTCTGAATCACAGGTAACTGGTCTGGGCAAAGAACATATCCAGGACGGTTGGCTCAAGTCCATACCAGATTTCCAAGAGGATTTCCGATGTCATGTGACGGAACTTGAATTGTCCAATAAGAATTTGACAAAACAGCAACCATTCCTGGCGCTTAGTCGCGACGCTTCACATTCTTCAAACAAGGCCGGGGTCAACCCGCAGCACGATATCGGATATCAGAACTGTTATACAAAAACATCTTAATCAATCCTGATCACATCCCTATAAGCTCTCTCCCATCCCCTCAGGCAGCAAGCCTGATGGCATGCCGACGCAGCGCCGCCAGCGCGCCCAGCCCCCCAACACCACCGAACGCATCCCGAGCCTTGACGCGCATCTGCTCCCCCATACGCCGTCCACCCAAGAGACTCCATCTCCTCACCCCAATCGCCCGCTGCACATGTGAACTGAATGACATGGAGCCTCCAAGCTCCCCTACACCAGCAGGCAGCTCAAAGAGCAGAAATGTCACACCAATACGTCTCAACCTACGTGGCCCGATGGCTAGCGATCTCCTAGCTGCCCATGAGGCTGAGGCACAGAAATCCCATGCAGAAGCACTAGCTGCTGCAAATATGCTTGATCAGATTGAAGAAGACCTAGATGTCATGAAGGCAAAAGGCCTATCAAGGGCACTGGCCCTTGGAGCCGCTGTGAAGGCGTTAGTCAAGGACTGGTACAATGGAAGTCTAGAAACAGCTAAGCAGTCCACCACAATCAAGCCTGCTGGCTCCACTGGTGCAAATGATGCAAGAGCTCCTATCTATGCAAAGACAGCTGCAGACAGCACCAATGTAACAAAAACACCAGCAACCATACTGCAGAAACCCCTGCTTAGAAATAACCCCAGAGAAGGAAAAACACCATGAATCCTTGCACACCTGCCTTCAGATCATCTAGCTTGCAAAGCAAGCTCAATTGCTACTCTTAGAAAGCTGAAGACTGAACTCCTGGGGTCTTTGGCAGCAGCCATCACAGCAGTTCAAGCCATCCCCACAGACATTGCCATCATTTCTAGAAGCTTGCAAGACATGAAGGCCCTGCTAGCTCAAAAGAATGTTTTAGCAGCCACTCTCACCAATGCTCAGATAGAGAAGGAAGAACATTGAATCATCTGTCTGATTCCTGAGCTGTTCATGGAGATTAGTGACTATGGTGGTGGAACTCTGCATCTCTTAGCAGAATTCATGACAGAAGAATTCACACTTCAAATCAGAATCAAGTCTGTCCAGAGTCACTGAGTAAAAATACACTCTGAAAACTCAACAGTCACTCTTATATTACACTTTTTGCAAGAGACAGCAGTAAATCTGCCATCAAAAGTGAAACTATATGAATATCAAAAACCAGTGATCAAAAAGACATCTAAGATCAAAATACAACAATGCAGCAAATGCTGAGAATTTCATCAAGAGAGATACTGCCTCTGCATCCCTCACTGCAAAAAATGCAGTTCTAAGAATCATGTGAAAGAAAATTCATTCTGTCATAAGAAGAATGAAGTATGTGAATGCCTCAATCACTGCACTAACTGTCTTGAATCACATGCTGCAGATGATTCATTCTGCTCCATCAGATCAGAAATAAAGAATGAGACTGTTCAAAGACACTCAAGAAACCAGCTGAGAAATATCTGCAATGCACAGAGTAAGGCATACTTGGCCAAGACAAGTAACAGCAAATGCAGTGGTCAAGATCCATCAGCAGACCTGAGGTTGAATGATTCTACTGAGTGTAGATCTAACCTCATGCTGACATCAAACACAGCATCAAGCACAGCATTGAGCACAGCATCAGACACAGCATTAGACATGGCACTCAATCCAACATCTAATGCAACACTCAACATATCATCTCACATAACAACACTCTTCTTTCAGCTACTCAATGAAGAAGAACTCTAGATCTCCACAATTCCTGCAGATTATGCAAGTCAATGTAGAAAAAGAGGGCCCAGCACATGAGACAGCTCTCAATCTAATGTTTGAAAGAAAGACTGACATTCTTCTCATACAGAAACTCTGAATTCACAGAAACTTAAGTCAACACATCTTCAAAAAGCATTCAGCATTCAACTGCTTTGCCCCAATCAAAAAGTGAGACAGAAAGCCATGGGTCCTCATCTATGTGCATAAACACTCATAAATCCATGCTCATGCAGTCTCAGGCCTCTGGGCAGAAAACCAGGACATTCACATGCTGCACATACAGGCCTGAGGTCTACAGCTTCAGACAGTCAACATATACAATGCACCCTCAGATGCAGAGAATCCTGGACAAGATGTGAGCTGTTTTCTTCTCTGATCTGTCCCAGCACTTCTGTTGCTCCTTGCTGGTGACCTCAATATCAAGCACCCTGTATGGCAACCAGAAGTGCCTCCAAGCATGTGGGTGGAACCATTCCTGCAATGGATCATGGATTTCAACTTTACTCTCACCATGGACCCAGACACCCCCACACATGGGCATAACATGATAGACCTGGCCTGGGCCACCCTGGAATTAGTTATCAAAGAAGTGGACACACAGGTGGACAGATCTCTTTACACTTCCTCTGATCACCAGACTCTTCTCATCAAAATCAGTCTTTCACAGGGTGCAAGGCCTGACAGACCACTCCATTTTTTCTGTCTTGACACCATGAATGAGAAGGTCTTTAACCAGATGCTGGAGGTCTATAAGTCAAAACTAGACAAACTATGTGATATCCCAGAGTACCTCAATACAGATCAGCTGGATGCCCTGGCTAAAGATATCACAGATGCACTAATAGCTTCCCTGGAAAGTTCCACCAAGAAGAGCACTGGGCAAGACACAGGTCAGCCATGATGGAATGAGGACTGCCAGAAAGCAGTGATAACACTACATCATGCACAGTGCCTAGGCTCTAGTTTTTTACAAGAAGCAAAAAGCAATGTAGCTAGAATCACCAGGAAAGCCAAGAGAGAATACTGATGAGGCAAGATAGCAGAGGCCTCAGTGAGGAAAGATATCTTTAAGATGATCAAATGGGCCCATTCAACTGACTTCTTTCATTCCCCCTCTCTTGTAGATGAAGAGACTGAGCTAACATGAACAACTCCTAGAGAGAAAAGAGACCTTCTGCAACAGATGCTCTTACAGAAGGCTGCAAGCAGAGAGGATATCCCAGTTAGCTGGTCCAACCCACCATCTGTCAAATTATCATTTCCTGTTGCCTCAGCACATGAGATACAAAGTTCTCTGCTGAACATAGATAATACCACTTCAGAAACTGATGAAGTGCCAACAGAGGTGCTATGAAAGGCATGGCCACATATTAAGATATTGGTGGAAAGGCTGTTCAGAGCCTGCCTTAGAGTTGGCTGGCACCCAACCTTCTTTTGAGATACCACACTGGTTGTGCTGTCTAAGGTCAACAGAGATTCAACACTTCTGCGATCCTACAGGCTTATAGCCCTTCTCTCAATGTTGAGGAAGGGACTGGAATGCCTGATAGTCTGTAGACTGGCCTGGACAGCTATACAAGAGAAGATTGTCCACCTCCAGCATTTTGAAGCTCTCTCTGAATGGGCTGCCTCAGACCTAGTGGCAGTGATGGTTCATGATATAGAGAAAGCCTGGGCTCATGGAAAAGTAGTCTCTCTTCTTACTCTGAACATCAAGAGTGCTTTTGATGCTGTACTCAGAGAAAGAATGCTGCAGAGATTGCAAGAACAAGACTGACCATCAAATTTAATTAGATGGGTGAAAAGCTTCATGACAGAATGCACAGGCAGGATCAGATTGAATGGACTTCTGAGAGAGCTCTTTGATATCCCAGCAGGGCTTCCACAAGACTCACCAGTCTCACCTATTCTATTCATGCTGTTTATTCAGCCTCTGTTCTTTCTAGGAACTATACAAAGAAGATGTGCATGCTCAGACTACACAGATGATCTAGGACTGCTTAGTGCTGGAATCACTCTTGAAGAAAATGTTGTTACTCTTCAGAAGGATTTCAAGTTGCTAAATGATTGGGCCAGCAAAGAAGAACTAACATTTGATTTTGTCAAAACTGAGATAGCACACTTCACATGGCACAGAATCCTTTCAAACCCTTCAATTGATTTTGAAATAACATCTGGCACTCACTCTATTACAGCAAATGCAGTGAAAAGCTCCATAAGATATCTAGAAATCTGACTAGATAGAAAACTGAGCTTCAAGAAACACATGAAGACCATGATGGCTAAGGCATGACAGATGTCTAATGACATACAGGCACTAAGCAACACAGCAAGAGGCGCCTCAGTACAACTGCTTAGACAATTCATTCAGATCTGTGTGCTCTCTGTGCTCTGCTATGGAGCAGAGGCCTGGTGGCCTGGAGCCACATGAATGAAGAAGAGAAAGGAAATCTCCAATCAAATGAATTGCCTAGTCAAAAAGCTAGATCTAGTCCTTAGAGATGCTTTGTGAGGGGCACTGCCAGTCTACAAGATCACATCCATTTCAGCTCTACATCATGAGCTAGGAATCATGTCAATGAAAGAGACACTAGACAATCAGTGTGCTGTATTTGCAGTAAGAATCAAAAAGCTTGACAAGAGGCACCCACTAGTGAGGCACTCTAATAAAGTAGCTACCACCAAGCTCTATACCACACATCTGTCTAGAGTGTCCAGTCATGCTGGTGGGATAGAAGCATATGACCCTCTACTCACACTTTTTTGAATGAGATTTCTCAGGAAAGAAAATCTGCAGATTGAGTATGAGGCAGACCACACAAAGAAACAGACAGCACAAGACTTTAAGAGCTGGCTACAACAATGCAATTCCCTGGATCTGATGGTCTTTACCAATGATTCACAGATAGAGCATCCTCAGTGTGTGACTGGTGCAGGATGGGCTATATGCTGAGGTAGTGAATACTGTCTAATCTTCACAGGAAACCTGCCAATGAATAAAGCAGAGGTCTTTGATGCAGAGGCAATGGCAGCCCTGCAGGGCCTAAAGAAAGTCACCACCTCATCTCAGATGAAGTTTGCCAGCAACATCTACATTTGCCTAGACAATTTGGAGGTAGCACAAGTCCTTGAATCTGTGTCAAACACCTCTAGCCAGCAGGTCTTTGTGCAGTTTCTGAAAGTCATAAAGGCCTGGCAGAGCAGAGATAGGCTCTCATTGGCCACCCAGAGCAGAGTGGTCATTAGATGGGTCCCAGGCCATGCAGGTGTGACTGGTAATGAAAAGGCAGATCTTGAAGTCAAAGCAGCTGCAGCACAGGCAGCAAGTGCAAGCATGGTATCTCAACCCAACAGCATAGGCACTCTAGCTTATATAAAGCAGCACACTATGGAACAAATCACACAGATCTTTGAGAACTACTGGGCCAAAAATCAGCTCAAACACTATATGGAGCTGGAGATCTCACTAAAGAGAGCCTCAACAGAGGTAAAACTTTCATGCTTCACATTAGAAAAGCTCTATGCTGTCTGATCAGATCATGGAGACTTTGCAGCCTATCACAGCCACCTTAAGCATGAAGATGCAGAGTGCTACTGCTGGTGTGAACATAGCAAAACCCCAGAACATTTCTACTATTGCACTCTTGCAAGAAAAGCAGCAAAGTGGTGCTGGCCTATCTACAATCTTTGTGAGACACTGGCAACCTCGCGTGGGGCCCTAGAATTCAATAACTGGCTAAGAGAAACAGCCTTCTATCAGAATATCTGTCCAATGTGCTGTCGTGCATCTTCAGATCAGATTCCACAGACCATCCTCTCCTCTGTCTTGCCTCTGTCTTCCTCACCACCTCCTCCTTCCTCCTCTCTTTCCTCCCCTTTCTTTCCTTCCTTGCCTTTCTTTCTATCTGCCTTCCCTACCTCCCTCCCACAAACCTAAAACCTCTCAAAACCTCTGCTCTATGGCAACTGACCCATGGGCTCTGCCAGTGCAGCAATACGCAACCCTTTTGCCTCATTTGTAAGATAGCTACTAGATAGGTAGTCGCCTACAGGCGCAGCTCTACCCGCCCTATAGTTTGACGCGGACTCTACTAGATCACGTGCCCATAAGGCACGTGGACTAACCGGGCGTTAAATAAAAACACACACACACACACACACACACACACACACACACACACAAGGCCGGGGTGAAAATAAGCTAAGCCCAACCAAAAGTTCCATTTCTCTCCGAGATGGTGGGCCACCTGTCTCTAATATTTAGATTGCTATGGCGACTCGCCGAGTCAAGTCGACACACCTCGCATCAATAATAGTATTATGGCTTGAAGTTATGCCTCCAGCATTTGTGATCTGAAAATATATAACCTCGCTGCATACCATGATGCCGTTCTCTTCTCATCATTAAAATCTTCTACTTATCAATAATCAAAGCACTATCCAGGTCTCTACTCCATTGTCCAGCATGGTCCTTCCTGTTGAATTCAAGCCTCCTACTATGTACTCCACCCAGCCAAACGTGAGGACCGAGATCGAGGAGCTGGTGCGAGAACACCACCGAGACAATTTGCTGGGGAAGGACGGAAAGATCTATGACAAAGCTGTTGTCATGTAAGGATAAGCTATCCCGTCGTACGCTGACTTCGCTACTGGTCGCCAAGCTGCAACTTCCACACTAGTAGCCATAGTGGTGACCCAAAAGAACATTGTACCGTTGAATATTATGCTGGAAGCTACGTGAAGACTCAGCACGTCTACCACAAGGATTGAGTCGAGGTCCCGTTTGGAGGCTGGAGTCAGGGACCCTTCCACATCGTTACAGACTTACGGGCCCCACGAATCATTGGTTTTGGATGCAGCTGAACAGGGAAGTGCTAGTTAAAGATGACGAAAAAGGAGAATCCTAGGTGTATGTGTTACTATTCTGGATTCTTCAGGGTCTTCAGGCATATTTACCACAAATAGAATGAACTTTTCGTTGGCTCTCTGGTTTCTCTTGCAACCATCCACATCGATATTCTGCGCTGTGAGTATATCTTGTGGTGCTCATGGATATAGGTCATATGGCTACTTCTCGGTGGGAGTTCACTATTGTGTCATCTTCATCAGCATTTTCTCATAGTGTGCGTTAAAAAGCTTCTAGAAACCAACAATGCCTTTGGGCTTCGACCACCTCTAGATATTTAGTTGTTCAAACTTATTGCTGCAGGTGTAATGGATAGCAATGTTCCCACCCCTCCAGGAGACATAGAATATTTGCTGGTATCCATATTTCCAGCTTAAAGTAGATCATGTAAGCTGACTTAGTAAGCTGTCTAAGAAGTGGAGTGGACCTAATTAGAGAAATAACTGGACACGTTAAACCGTATGTATTGGGCAGGCTAATATATATATAATACTTATTCGCCAGAACAGAGCAATCACTAATCCTATTAGGTTTCAATCAGAGCTATCATATCATCATACGCTTTAATAATAGGATCATATAACCTTTTTGGGTCCTGAGGCGTTCCAACAATAAGTCCTTCCTTCCCGTAAGGAAACAGTACGCCTCGTATGGTCTTGCAAAGATGCTTGACGCGCTCGAAGTCCGGCGGAAACTCCTGCAAAAGGTACTCAAATCCGCCAGCTTCCATGTTACCTCGTTTATAAGTTGCAATTTTCCTTATAAGTTCCGGTATACCATTCTCTCAGCATGCTGTCTTTGGGCGGGTCCTGTCCCTGTCTCTGTAGCTCATTTAATTTTTCCCAACCGTGACGGGCACACTGCCAGATAAGCACGTAGAAAAACGACTCAAGATCATGTCGATAGGTGTGGTCGATATTAAGCAGCACCTCGATCGCCATGAACTCCATCGTGCCGGTCTGGTGCTGTGCGCCGCTTCGCCCGCTACCGACTTCCTTGGCAAGATCCAGATCGATCAGCATGCCGGAGTGACCATTCGCCTTTTCCGGATCGGTTATTATTATGTTGTTCTCCGAAATATCCCGATGTAGGATGTTCCCATCCAGGTAAAAAGACCGATGCGCCTTTATTGCATCGCGAAGCGCCGTGAGCAGTTCTAAGGGTGACTCGTACCTGTAGATCGGCCGCCCAGCGGGCGAGATCACCAGACAGCGGAGGACACAGTTGTCGTAGAGTTCCTCGCTATTCCTGTCAAAGAGGCTCGGCTTGCGCGCCGACTGAACTGAGAAAGTTAGGTCGTTCTCCTGCTGGGTATCCCTCGACAGCTGACCGATGGAACGCGATCGTTTGGACGCCTGCATCCCTTTATCCGGAGATCTGCGTTTCCTGGAAGACGACTTTCGGCTGATACCTAAGCTACAGAGCTCGGTGAGCTGCTGAGATTGATGAAATGAGGAGGTCGCACTAGGGGGTGCGCTTTTGAAGTCGTGTCGCTTGTCGTCGAAGGTCAGGCCGCAGCGCATGTCGGCAATGCTAGCGATGGCACTATGGCCAATGATCCTGGCGACCCCTTGGACATTTTTTTTGACCCGCTAGCTCGAGGAGTTCCGCCTCCGACCGCCGCTTGTCCGACACCCACGAGAATTTGGCTACGCCCTCCACTTGTCCATCGTTTGCGAGAAAACATGTTGTCCCGTGACACACGATGGCACGCTGAAAGGAAAGCATTTCACCCAGCCGCAGCACCTTTTCCTCCAAGGTCCCAGGCCCTTTGACGGTTATTGATTTGTTGCCGCCTTCATCCCTAGCAATAAAGGTGTCCAGTCCCAGCTCCTCGTCGCTCATCATGGTGTAGCCCACAAGCACCTGAAAGAACCGTCTCGAGTCCGCGTAGACGTCGATGATGCCCGAGCTGTAGGGGCCCGAGCGGTCGAACACCCACGCCTCCATCTTGGTCCCGCAGACGGCGAATGCGTGGACGAACCGCCGGGTAGGCTGGGCGGCAAAGACCTCGCGCACGCAGCGACCCATCTGCAGCAGTGTAGTTTTGGTCCCAATCTTCTCCTTTGGTTTTTTGAGCTCGCCAACAACCAGGATGTCTCTCCAGTCGTGTTTGTTCCGCGAGGGGCTCGCACCGCTAGCTCTCAGAAGGAGGTCGACTTGCCGTTCCGCATTCGAACCGGTAAGATCCGCTTTGCTCACCGTGGTGTAGTAGGTGCCGCGTGATTCCGAGAGAAGGTCTTCTTGAAGACGAAACCACCAGGCAAGGACATCGTCCTGTGTAGGAGGATCAGGAAACTGGGCCCAAATACCGTCGCTGTCTGGGGCCAGTACGCGTCGACAGATGGCATCTGCTTTGTCGCTCCAGTCTTCTCCCTCAAAGTACTTCGCAAAGAAGCCCTCGACGCCTCGAAATGTGCAGCCACGTATCTCCTCGAAGATCCTCGGATTCACCAACTCACGCGTCTGCTCGGAGCCTTTCTGTGATGACGAGGTGGATTTGACTGGCGTGCCGTTAAAGGAAGGGGGGGGGACGCTCGCCGGTGGTGTCGTTTGAGGGATTGTGACAATGAGGTTAAATATAGCTTCCCAGACGTCGATGTTCCATTTTTCGACGCCCTGGGATTCAGTGGGAGGCCTTTGAATAACCAGGTGCACCAGCGGCTGGTAGTCGTCGTACCTGAAGTTTCCTTTTGCCTTTTGGAGGCGCTCGAATAATTGTGCTAGATCACACGCCATATTTCCATCATTTATCCGCGAGGGAAGGCTGTAGGCTGCACCCTCTCCCTGTAAAGTATAGACAAGTTTTGAAATCACATTTTGATAGAGTTGGTCAAGGTTATCAACAGCGCCATCGTAGGAAATTAGACGCGACTCATAGATTTTTTCAGCTTCCTAAAGCACGCCTCGTAAACTATCGACTGAGTCGGTTAGAGGATGGTTCTTGATAATGTCGCCATCTCCCTGTGAAAGTTCCGCCATTTTGACGGTATAAAGGATCCTTAATTTGGTGCGAGGTTAACAAGGAATTGCAAAGAGAAAAAAGCCAGGCTGGTTTGCTAATTTATCACCAAACATTTTATTCGCCAAGCAAACGACTAAGCATGGAGTAACTAATTCCAAGACAACAAGAGGAATATCATCACAAGAAGATATCTTCAAATTAAATTGCTAATATCGGATTAAACCTCGTGAGTCGTCAGTAGTAGCATTAATATTTTATTGGAGGAGGGAAGGGTGTGGTGTATAGTCAGAGGACGAAGTGGTGAGATTTCATCCAACCGAGCTGCGTAACTTAATTTAAATATTTGATTTGTTCTTTCACCAGTTTAGCTAAGAAAGTTTGAAACTGCTCATGTGACTTTATCTCCCTGCCTGAAATATATTGATGTCTGCCAGTCCTTTTTAGATTGAGAAGGAACAATTGCTATGCCGCATGCACTTCTTCACAACTGGCAGCAAGAAAAGGTTGTCCAGCGTCGCTACTGGAGTCTTTTATTTTATAACTTTGCAAATTCTATCAAAACAAAAAAAGTTGAGTGTCAAGCATCATGTCCATTTTATTTGTGACTAAAAGGCGCCTAGATAAATTTCGGAAGGATCGAAAACCAACACTGTTCGAGGAGTGAACGCCTTCCCGTTGTTACAGGAAACCGATATTGGTCTGAAAGCCCAGTACTATTCCTGGCGAAACGACGACCAACATACCTATCATTACGAGAAGCCAGTCGGCGCGAAAGCATGCCGGAAGAGATGCGTTGACACACGCACATTTGGACCTAAAGAATCTAACCAATTTGCGTGTCCCAGGCTGGTGCCACCGCTTTAAAGGAGATTGGGAATACATCAAAACAAAATTGTTTCAGAAAGTGGAATATGATCCGAGTACAAATATGCACTCTCCGCCATACTAGGAATGGGAGTATGAAAATACGGTCAACACATCTGACATTCCTGCCGGCCAAGGACAACTGGAAGGTATTTGAGGGACCTTGATTCTTCTGGAGAGAGCTTAAATGGTCGGTTGGGGTTGATTGATGCACTCATTGAGCAGGCAAATCACACCAATTCTGTTTGGGAGCCTGTTTTCCGGACTATTCCCTGCGCGTCAACGTCGACGTCCACCTGATAATGCTTGACAAAGGTGCGAATATCCGCGTGTTGGAGCATGACATTCTGAAGAGCCTCTGTAACTTCCTCTGTTCATTGTTAGCCTTCCAACATGACTGAAACATGAAGAAAATGGAGGGGTACTTACCACTGTTGTTAAATGCCTTTAGCTCCAGCATAGCGGAAGTTGTACAGATGGGCGACCTCCTCAAAGCCCATGATCTCACTGGCCTGGCGCATCCGGGAACTCATCATGGATGGAGTCATCCTCTTATCCAGGCAAATTTTAAATCCAGTGGATGTTAGCTCTGTCTGGCAAAACACAAACTTATCCAGTAATTCATCCTTCAGTAGCAGCGGCTGCTGTCCCTTGCCATTCAGCACTTTGACACTGTAGAGTTTCTCTGCAGAATCCAACACTGGTCCAGTTGTTGAAATTGACTTGAATCCTCCAATGTGAAAGAGCATAGTCAGCAGGCAGATATGCGGGCTGAGAACCAGAGTTGGGTCAAAGATGATTTCTGGAATCTTAAACTTGTTCCTATCATTCTGTCAGTCAACCAGCCCATGCTGTGAGGATCAGAAACACATACAGTTCCTTATCTCCAAGAAATCTTTTGGTAAACTCTGGTTTTAAGAATATGAACAATTGGGGGTGTCCACCATCTGGAACTCAGATCAGGGTTAACATGATATCTCAATACTGAAGATGAAGGATCACCAAGGGATGGCTGGCAGTGATGACTGCAAGCTGCAAGAAGAAAAGCATTTGAATGCGCTGCCAGCCAGAGACAAATGTCATCTCAGTGATGATGAGGATGACTCAAGTGAACTCAGCAACATCTTCAATATACATGTTCTTCTTTGGCTGTCTGACAAGAGTCAGCTCATTTTCTGTGGTCATCTGTGCAACAATCTGCAAGAGATTAGCAGTGCTTCTGGTTTAGTGACTTGAGGAGAGGGTGCTCACATCTTCCACCTTGACAATTGTATCTTTGTTGAGTCCCAATGCTGTTTTCTGTTTGAGGACAAGATGTCACCACTTCCAAAATGTCTCCAGTGAGCTTTTGCATTTAATGCCCAGACAGTATTGATTATTCTTGCCACAATGGATATCACATCATCAACTGAAGAATGCATACAGGAAGTGAACCATCTCCTCTGAATCAGAGGTCTGCTCCCATTGCCACTCTGTGTTAGTTTTGATGTGCTGACAATGCCTGCCCAGCACCACTGGTGAGCTTATAACACTGTTTAAGGGACAAGTGAGCCACTGCCTACCTCTCCCAGTAATTGCAGGTCTCATCAAGTTTTTCCTGGGTTTTGGGGCTGTACCACTTCTGTCAAAGCTGAGTGATATCAAGGCTCTCTGCTAAAGTCAGGTAGTGTTCAGTGGGAAGTTGACCGTCATCATCATCTTTGTCATGGCTGATGGAGCCACTTTCATACCCACTGTCTGAAATGATGGCATTCAGTGTGGAGAGGGAATCCAAAGCAGCTAAAACATCCATCTTGCTGCTGCTCTGCTTGTCAGATCCAGTCAAACAAGACAGAGACACCATGATCAGAGCAGTCCAAGGAGAGCCAACAGTAGAGAGGGACAGAACAAGTAATGAATGACTTAAGACACTTTCATGAATAGAACTGGCAGGGTAGTGCTGTGAAGGAGGGGAGGAAAGAGAGGTGTAGACAGCATGATGAGAGTGACAGAGACTGGAAGCAGAGAGAACAACATGATCTTGGGGGGGGGAGCCAAAACTGACAGAGTGAAGTGTCAAAAACAGCTCCCCCCCTCCTTCCAAAAGAAGAGCAGAGGGTGAATGTGGGTGAATGAGAGTGCTTGGAAGTGCGCGAATACGCAGCAAGTTCAAAAATCATGGCCATGCGTGGAGGGAAGCGTCGCAGCCGTGGGGATATATTCACGTGATGATCGAGGTTGGGCGGTTGGCAGGAGGCCAAAAGCAGCCGCGAAAACGGCCATTTTCAGCCGCTGGCGAACCGTCGCATCGTTATATGGAGTTAACTATAACTAGTTAGTTTAGTTAGTTAGTATAATACCAAAATTACTAGTTGGTAGCTACGAAATCCAATTACGGTTGCCAAACGTTGTTGTCCCCAACTGACGTCCTGCTGGCGTATTTGCCTTGTACTGACTGACAATGGTACCGCACTCCAACCAATCAGCGCTAAGAATATCCTCAGTTCTGGGCGCGGAGTTGTCGGAAATGACTAAGCAACACATCCCCAAATGCGATCGATCCCTTAAACTAGCCCAATAACTGGCTATTTTACGAGTAGTTTCGCAGCAAAATCTACAACTATCGTCCACGCACAGCCACAAACGTGAACAACATGTCTGCAGCATGCCGCGTAGCCTTGGAAGGGGTACACAGGAGCTGCTGTGTGGAGGCAACATTGTTGAAATCATTTTCAGGGTTGAAGGTTGCCCTTGCTCCGGGTCATGCATGATCTCCAGAGGGGGTGCCAACCTACCAATTGATGGGTCCAACTATTGGAAATTTGGATAGAATTCGCTTGTGGTGGCATGGATGGGCTTCACGGGCAGGATTCACACATTCAAACTAGTTAACTACGCATAGGGTGCTTTGTCACGATTACATGTGGGAGTTCAGTCAGCTTGTTCCGTAATTCCCCCACGGAGAATATAGAACCTACGTTTCTGCTCTGTACGTGGCGGGTGGAAGCTGTTTTTGTCCCGGTTAATTCTCTGAGGTCCATGCCCCTCATCTTGCGCCAACCGCGATCTCATTTCGGCTGGTGGTAGTTACCCCGCCTCTCACTGCAACTTCTGCGTGTGAGAGGATGAACTGGAGACCGACGTCAGACCTGCCCCTGGAGATCACCAAGGGATCAATTATAAACAATTAATTATACATGCATGTTTGATACTGATACGGTTTTAAATAATCTATTAATTGTCACAGCGGTAGCTAGGTAATCGTAGCTGTAGTAGTCAACAACATCGAGTCGATCGCGTTGCATTAAGTAGTAGTTATTGATTGTGCTGTGATTTAAGCAGCGTCATATTATTTAGTTCAAGCACACACCAATCCCAACATCCCACTCCTCTCCCATTCTCCTCTTCCCATTCCCCAATTCCTCTCCTCTCCATTCCCGTATATATCTACTATCTCCGTATCCGTTGTTTCTACCAGCTATCTTAATCAATTTCACTTCTCGGCCGTCAGTGTCACCTTCGTTCCAATACATCCTACCTGCCCCACAGCTTGAAATCTTGGGAAATAACCACACACATCCTACCAGAGCCATCCACCTCTCCAAAATCACCAAACCTCCTTTCAATCTCCATAACAGATCAGTTCTCTGAAAATCTCTCTTCACAATGACAGAGCAGGCAGTGTGAGTGCCCCTATTAGCATCGACTTAATTTCTAATGGTCTACTTCAAATTTCCGTGCTCGATTGCTCTCCCAAGATGGTGCTCGACATCCAGGAAGATAGACAAACGCATACTATATATCCTTAACCTTCCCCTAAATAAACTCCCGCATTGAACTGAAACATTTGATTGCTGACTTCAGTGCTCGCCTGACTGGCATCAATGTCGGTCCGTCCACGCATCCTGCTCCCAGTGGTGATTTCGGCCTCATTGGTTTGGCAGTCATGGGCCAGAACCTCATCCTCAATGCTGCAGATCATGGTTTCACTGTGGTAGCATTCAACCGTACTGTGTCTAAAGTCGACCGTTTCCTAGCAAATGAAGCGAAAGGTGCGCAAAGGAACAAGAATGAGATCTCTCATTTACAAATTTACCAACCCAAACCCAAAAGTATCATATTAACACCCATTTTCCACTAGGCAAATCGATCGTCGGCGCCCACTCCATCGAGGAATTTTGCGCCAAACTCAAGAGACCGCGCAGAATAATGCTTCTAGTTATGGCTGGCAAACCAGTTGACGATTTCATCGAAGCACTCCTCCCCCACCTCGAAGACGGCGACATCATCATCGATGGCGGAAACTCCCACTTCCCAGATTCCAACCGCCGCACTAAGTACCTGGCCACCAAGAAGATACGCTTTGTGGGATCTGGCGTCTCTGGCGGCGAGGAAGGTGCTCGATATGGACCCAGTTTGATGCCTGGTGGAAACGAGGAGGCATGGCCGTATATCAAGGACATTTTCCAGAGCATTGCGGCTAAGAGCGATGGTGAGCCGTGCTGTGACTGGGTCGGAGATGAGGGTGCGGGCCACTATGTGAAGATGGTTCACAATGGCATTGAGTACGGCGATATGCAGCTTATTACAGAAGTACGCATATTGAAAAACCAAACTATTGTTCAACTTCCATTCCGGATACTCTGTGTGACTAAAACAAATTAATGAAATACTTTAGGCCTACGACATCATGAAACGAGGTCTAGGCATGACCGGCGCAGAAATGGGTGACGTCTTCGATAAATGGAACAACGGCGTCCTAGATTCCTTCCTTATCGAAATCACCCGTGACATCCTGCGCTACAACGACGACGACGACGTGCCCATGGTCGAGAAAATCCTCGATGCCGCCGGCCAAAAGGGAACAGGCAAGTGGACTGCGATCAACGCCCTCGATCTGGGTATGCCCGTCACTTTAATCGGGGAGGCTGTCTTCGCTCGCTGCCTCAGCTCTTTGAAAGCGGAGCGTATCCGGGCCAGCGAGGTTCTTCAGGGCCCCACGCCCAACTTCACAGGAAATAGGCAGGAGTTCATTGATAATTTGGAGCAGGCTCTCTATGCGTCTAAGATCATTTCATACGCGCAGGGATTCATGCTGATCCAGAATGTAAGTGTTAAAAAGACATCACCCAACCAAAAAAAAAAAAAAAAATCTCCCACACTGACACACCAACGACCAAAACAGGCCGCCAAAGAATACAGCTGGAAACTCAACAAGCCATCCATCGCCCTAATGTGGCGAGGCGGCTGCATCATCCGCTCCGTCTTCCTCAAAGACATCACAAACGCCTACCGCAACAATCCTGATCTCGAAAACCTGCTCTTCGACAAATTCTTCAACAAGGCGATCCACAACGCCCAGGCAGCCTGGAGAGACGTTGTCAGCAAAGCCGCGCTGTGGGGCATCCCTACTCCAGCCTTCAGTACGGCTCTAAGCTTCTACGATGGATATCGTACACGCGATCTTCCGGCCAACCTCCTCCAGGCGCAGCGGGATTATTTTGGTGCGCACACGTTCCTTATCAAGCCTGAGTGGGCGAATGAGAAGCATCCCGAAGGCCAATATATCCATGTCAATTGGACGGGCCGTGGAGGGAATGTTTCTGCATCTACGTATCAAGCATAGGATGTCGTGTGTTGAAGGAGGAGAAATCTGGAGGAAGAGAGGGAAGGGGGTCCTATCAAGCAAAACAGCAGGGACAGACGGGACAGACGGGAAGTCATATTTATCTGCCGTCACCATCATCATTATCATCATCCATCCGTATTCAGAGGGGCAAGAAAAGAAAAGATTCCACCTGACCCAGATTGTGGACAAAAAGGTATAAAGGGGCAAAGAAGGGATATGGCAAAAAGGAACGGGAAGGGTACGGGAAGGTACAAGAAACATGGCAGAGTGAAGTGGGGTAGGAGTCGTGGGGAGCACCCTTAGGAAAAGCGAATTTGGAATAGTTTTTAATTGCTTGACTAAAAATAAAAATCGAAATTGAAGTTTCATGTTAGAGAGCCATACGCAGCGCTGTAGAGAGTTACCTCGTAGATCTGCGGAAGCTGTTCATCAGCCCAATGAACCAAAAAAAAATCAACCATTATCAATTAAGAAATTAGCCAATTTACATAACGCATTCCACATTCATCTATTCAAACAAAAAACAACCCAAATAGAGAGCCGCTTCAGATGTACCGAAAACTTACACTCCGTATTACCCCGGTCTCAATATCCATTGGGATGCTGCTCACTGACTGCCGCTGACTAATCTGCCAAGCCCATCCGTTTCCCTCGAATTTCAAACCCTCAACTTCAAAAGCTCAGATGAAGTTTCATTCCAAAAACAATCTCCAAGACTTCAACTTCTGCTGCATTCAACAGCAGTGACCAACATCGACACCCATTCTAAGCATTCAATTGCTTCCTTGCTCTGGGCCACATCTGTTCTTGGTCTCTGCATCCCAAGCTCAGGAAGCTGTCTCACCCTATTCTGCTCTAGCGTACCTTGCCCGGTGGCGGAAGAGCCGCTGTGCCTGTGCCGTGACTGACCTGGCCTCACTGCTGCTTGTCCTCTTGATTCATTATTGAAGTTCACATCTTGCTGGACCCTTTTATATCTGTCTCTTCCTTCTCTCGGCCCCTTTCTTTTCTTCTTCTCTCTTTCCATTCTCTCTCCTCTTTTCTTTTACGTTAATATCGCCATCTTCCCACCTTTTCTCCCCTCCCTCTTTTCCTGTCACTCCTTTCTCCATCCCGTTTTAATCTTCGTCGGTTTGGCTGGTTCGGGGTTGCAGTTTCCATTTTTGCCGCCGTGCTGCTTATTTATCCTGCCCAACGAACACATAACCGCCAAATATCAACCAACCACGGCATAGTATTTCCGTCCAGTACACACGCTGCGGTCATCTTCTCGAGGAAGCGTGCACATTAATTCCACATCAGGAAGACGTCTATCCCAAGTTGGCTCTCCATGACCAGCATCAGAAAGCAGTGATATACGGACCCAGATTCTCTCACGCTGACGCCTCGTTCGCGTTGCACCTGTTGCACATACAAACGCATCCGTGTTTGAGCTTCGAGGGTTGTTGCAGTTACACAGTTGCAGTTGAGGGTCTCAGGTCGAACATGGCTGCAGAGAACAAGCGACAGAGCGTTGGTGGCAAGGGCCCCGCCGGTTTGGTTGCGTCCAATCTCGGACCGTCAGGCACTGTCGCGATGGAGATGGCTTTGTGTGGAGCAATTGGTGCCCGGTGGGTTTTACATAGATCTTTCTCCTAGCTTCCCAGCTCTAGCTCGGTGTGTCGTTGGTTTTAGAAGTTTTCCAACTATCGTTCTGTTACTCGATGAGATGCAAGCAAGCTTGAATCGAAGGGCACCGAGCAACGTCTTCCTTCCGTACAAAACCAAAACCAAACCTAAGAAATAGGAACATTTTCCTATCCAATTCCAATGGATTATACTGACATGAAGCTATTTCATCAATAGTATACGCGTCACTACTGCTTCCCCAGCATCCGTTACGCATGAAGGAACCCTCTTCACAGCATGCCCCATCACCAATCTTATCGCAATCAACACCTCCCCTCCACCGCCAACCCCAATGACCTCAGGCACCCCCGCCCTTTCCCATCCCAGTGACTACCACATAATCCCTATCTCCCGTATCCAGAACTTTCAACTCCTTTCCGTAGCCCCACATTCCTCCTCCTCCTCCTCCTCAAGTCCCGTCGAACAGCTACAGGGCCCATCGTTCACCAACGCGTACCCATCCATCTACCCACTCGACATCCGCGCACTGAAGCATCGCGAGGCCACCGCTGTTGCGAAGCTACATGAGCGCGAACAGCGACGCGGGAAGGGCGTTAGCAAGGAAGCGCAAGACCTGTTCGATGCGTTTAGCAGGACGATGCCTGCCCGCTGGGAAGGTACGAGCATTGTCGTGGCGGATACCGTCGTAATTTCCAAGCCGTATCAGATAGACAATTGTCGTTCCCTAACCCATGATGATGGTGGGGTGAGCGCAGCTTTGACAAGAGTCAGGAAAGTTGTAAGTGTCAAATATTTCTCTCTGATCCAAAAATCCTTGGCCCTTTCTGTTCTTGTTGATACGAAAAATTAAATGCACGTGCTTGCCATGACACAACCTTACTAATATATTCCGTCTTGAACACTGTTTAGCTTGAAATGGAACGCAAGAAGATTGAGCTCCGCAGCGCTAGTGCCGCAATAGCCAACTCGACCCATTTTTCCCACCAGTCTCGCAATAGCAATAATGCCAATAGTGTTACTAATAATGCCAATTCGAATGCGAATAACGGCTCCGTTTCAACCCCAAAGGATCGCGATCGAGATGCAAGAGCCTCGGCCGTCGCCGTCCCCATTGCCAATACCGTAACCCGCTCTTCACCACCTGGAGCTGCTGCTGCTGCTGCTGCTGCTGCTCCTGCTACTGCTGCTGTTGCTGCTGCTGTCGCCAACCAGAGGAAAGGTGGTTAGTTTTAATAATATACATCCACCTATATCTAGTAACACAAAGGGAGCAACAAGCAGGGAATTTTAAGTTGTTCATTACTACCATACATTTGTTTGCATTGTTGCTTCATGAGGATACGCGATTTGAGCATCAGCACCCAAGTCAGATTTCTTGAGCATGATGGCGTTGTTGGTGTGGCATGGAAGCATTGGTATTAGTCTTTTGTTTTCTCTTTTCCCTTTATCTAGCTTTTAATATACATGGCATGGCGTAGATGTTTTGGGTTCACAGTTTACGTGCGAGCGGTGTGGATTGATATATATATATATATATATATATATATATATATTACGGGGGCAAGGGAAAGGGAATTTGTACCTGCTTTGAGGGGTAAGAGTTAAAGTTGCAGAGGGGGAAGGAGTGGCCGAGAAGGGGTTGGGAGGTTGGGTGGGGAAGGAAGGAAGGAATGGGGGGAAGGAAGGAGACCAGGACGGGGTTTACAGCGGTTAGGGGGGATTTGAGAACACATCACATTCCCGCCCAACCGGAAGGCTGGCTTATGGCTGTGTTTGACACTTGGTAGCCTGTCAAAGAGCTGGTGACGGAGTTGAGATGGGTGAAAGCAACGGACGGAGAAGCGGTAGACGACCCACTCTGTGAATGGATTGAACAGGCGCGTAAACGGAGAGAGTCTGTAAGATTGAGCAAGTTTTTAAGTGTCAACGTACTCTTCATCTCTCTACTTATTATTGCCTTGATTGAATCGAGCAGCGTTTGCTTTAAACATAGATCGTATTTGCACTTGCACCAACGGCAATTGTGAAATCTGTGACTTGAAGTGTTTTTTAGGACCTTCAAACGGAAAATTTAAGATTTCAGGATGACATCTATTTCTAACGGTACCTTTTTGAATTAGATGCTTGCTTCTTGATAACAAATATACTTTGGAAAGAAAGAAAAGAAGAGAGAAAGGAATGGAATGGAAATAAAACAAAACAAAATAAAAATATATAACGTGAAACTGCTTACAATATCTAGGGACACTTTTTTGACATGACGTGAAAATTTAAGAGAGCAGGTGAAGTGAACTCCACAGCCTCTTGGATGAATCGAACGTCCAAATGGATTTCCACATCCGTAAGGGATGAACGGTCGAATGGTTCTAGATATCTATATATGCCTAGGTTTATCAATTCCAAATTCAGGCAGCAGGTTGTACGCTTGGTAAGGCAGGGTATTGGTAAAGATAAGGGTAAACCCAGAAAGCAAAGCCAAAGTTTTATATGAAAAAGAAGAGACCCACCAGAAAACGAGGGAAGATAGAAAAGAAACATAAGAAAATGAACCATGAGCTATGCAAAATCGAATATTATATGGACAATATATAAAATTCTCTAATAGGCGGGGTGGCATGGGTAATCAAGAGAAAGGCAAAAAACCGAGTCAAACAGTTAACGTAAAAGGAAGTGGGATGATGGAAGATTCGCGAAGGTCAAAAGCTAAGATAGACTTGATGCGCGCGTATGGACAAGAAGTCAACAGCGACAACAGCAACAACACACCATCTATTACCGCGTTGACCGTAGAGTGAGTAAAGGGTGGATATACAGAACATTTTCGAAAGTAAATCATAAGGAAACAAGGGCATCATCACCTTGGAATATCCCTATACTCCAACACTCCATGCCCTGGAAAATGGGTAGGAAACAAGAAACTAAAGGGCACACACACACACACACACACACACACATCCATCAAGCCTCCCAACAATCAACAGGCCAAAAACAAGACAACAGTGGGGGGAATAAAAAAGGAAAAGAAAAAGATAAAAAATAAAAAATAAATAAAAAATAAAAAATAAAAATAAAAAATAAACCAGGCCCAATATACGAAGAGAAGGAAATGGGGGAAAGAATGTTAAACCCGGTCGTGAAATCAATCCTGACTAATCTTATCCGGGGTCGTCGTCTTTAGCAGCGGCATGATCGGTGAAGCAGATATCCCCTTCCCACTCGCGCTTCTCTGCAGAGCAACAAGCCCCAATCCAATCGCTGGAGGCGGTATCACACGAGCAGATGGTGCCTGGTCACCGGGTTTACCATGCGTAGCACTGGAACCGCCAGTGGGAGTGTTGCGGAGCAGAGAGTGGAGGGACGGGTCGGCTCCTCCTGCTGGGGAAGAAGAGGTGCCAGGACCAGGCACCCTGGCGCGGACGGATAGGTAGCCACGATCTTCACCGCTACCGCTTGGAGTTATCACTGTGTTTTCATCACTGTCGTTAGTGGTGGAAACTGGTGTTTCTATGGGGCTGTATGTACCATCTCTAATCGTTGTGGAGGTGTTGAGGGAAGGGCCGAAGCGGGTGGCCAGGCTGGGCAGTGTGGCATTACTATTACTATTACTATGGGCATTATCGCTACCACTTTGGGGCAGGTTACTTCTCGTGGCGGAGGGCAATATTGCTTCTTCTTCGTCGTCGTCGTCGGGGTCCCTGGAGATCTTATTGGTGTTCTCTGCAACGTCGAGACAGGCCTCCTGTCGCATCTTTGTGACTTTCATGTAATTGTAGGACGCGATGGTCCCAATGGTGATGATGAGGCCTGAGACGTTGATTGGAGTCAACGGATCGTGGAAAACGATACCGGCAGCACTGATGGTGACGACTTCTTTGAAGATACCGCAGATACTTAGGGTAACGACAGAGGAGCGCTTGAGGAGCGCGAATTCCGATGCGATCATGCAAAACGCTAGACATCCCGGGAAGATGAGGATGCCAATGCCACGTAGGACACCGTTTGAGGTTAGCAAGCGGATGCCGTGGAAGATATTGAGGGGTCCTTCCACGGAAACAGAAAGTATTATTAGGCTGATGAACATTATCGGGGTCAGAAGGAAGAGGGTGGAAAAGGGGTTTGAGGTGGCGGGATGGAGGAGGAGGAGGATCTGGGTGAGCCCCCATCTAAAGCCGGAGAAGAAAGCAGAGGCAATGACGAGGCTAAAGCCGAGAGCGTTGAATGCTGTTTCTCCAGCTACCATCATAACTACGCCGATGGTCATGGTAAATATGATGAGGATGAGTTTGAGGGACATGGTCTCTAGGCGGAAGAAGAATGCAAAGAGGAGGACGAAAACGAGGGAGGAAGATTTGCACATGGTTAGGAATGTGAGGGTAATGAATTTGAGAGACATATTCCCCAATCCCACGTCAAGAGAGGTTGCAACGCCGCAGGGTATTAGTTTGGAAAGATAGAAATGTCTTGATACGACTGGCTGTGGCGGCTCTCCGGTTATCGCCGTGTAGGAGGCTGCAGTAGGGTCATGCGGTCGCAGCGAAGGGAAAAAGTAGAGGACAACTGAGGAGAGGGTAAACTGCACCACCATATGTAGACTAGTGGTGAAAAGGGGAAATTTGAAATCGAGATGATCGGGTGAAAACATCCATTTATTATACTGTAACAATCAATACAAGTCAGCTGAGGGGAGAGAGAGAGAGAGAGAGAGAGAAGAAAAGAGCTGTTAAGCAAGCCCTGGGGAATCCATACAATTGATATTGACAACGAGAAGATATACCACAATCCAATCAGAATAGCATTCATGCCCAGCCTTTTCAAGACGGCTATATCCGCCATCCGGCGGTCATCCTTGGAGATCTTAACATTAACGATCCTGGCATCTAGCTCCCGGCGATGTCGCTTTCGCAGCTTCCATCTCCGTCTGCGCTCCTTGGCTGTCAATCCGGTCTCTTCGTCGTCATTGAAATCGTCATCTGATGCAAGAAAGTTCATTTTCAGCACCTGGCTCTCAGCAAAGGACGAGCGGCGGAAGGAGTCGGAGAGACAGTCGGTTCCCGGCTCCTTATCCTCTTCTTCCTCCTCTTGTTCTTGTTCTTCTTCCTCCTCTTGTTCTTCTTCTTCTTCTTCTTCTTCTTGTTGTTGTTGTTGTTGTTGTCGTCGTCGTTGTTGTTGTTGCTGCCGCCACAGCTGTTCCCCCGCTTCCTCACTGCACCGATCCTGATCCTCGTCTCTGGCTTTACCCTCGTGCTTCTCGTTGTTGTTTGCAGTGGTCAGGTGATCGTCACTGCAGGTACCAGGAGCACTGGGATCGTGAGGGACAAGGGGTGAAAGGGCTGAGCCGCTCTGGACAGCTGTGAGGGAGGTTCTGCGGAGGGATTTGGAGCCGCTAGATCTCTCGTTCATGCTATGATATTATGGCAGAATGACTCAGGAAGGGTTTGCCGTTGATCCTACATTCATGGATTGAGGTGAGCTGATGAGTAATACCCCCGAGGAGGAACCTCTTCAACCGTGGCCCTTGGTGGATATGAAATGGGAAAGGAGAGAAGAAGGACTGGTTATGATGCTTGCGACGGAGTCCGCTAGGCTTTACTAAATAGCAGCATCGATAGCCTGATTTAACGTCAAACTCTGCTTGGCAGCAATCAGACGAACTAGCACAAACTAAATCAGGATTTTTCCTCAGCATGCAAGTCGCGTGGACCCAGAATTCGAGGGCGAGGGCATCCGGGCTCTCTATTCCTCAGCCGGAGAGATGCAAATGTATCTTTATTGGTAAGTACGTGGATGTTGAAGATGACAATGGAAGATGAACAGAGGGAGGCTTGTTCAAATGGTTTGATCCAGTTTATCCAAGCCCTCGCCATAAATGAATTGGTAAGTGTGTAAGAGCGAAGCTAATTATATTCTCTCTAACTATAAAATGAGAGTTTCTTTTTAACAGAGCAGTTAACGCAATGAAGCGATCAAGAGCCAGCCGCTGGTCGGGAAGGCCAGCGTGGGAAAGTTATATGGGAAGTATGAGCGGGGGCCAAAATGGGACTTGGCGTGGCCCGCTCTGGGCAAATGGTAAATCCTCACCAATGTTGAACATGTTTCATATCCTGCTGCACCCTCGATCAACGCCCATACACCGGATGTTGATTTCGCTCAGACTGGATTCGATATCCAGGCTGGTTACACAAGAAATTGGCCTGCTTCTCAGAGCATAGCATGGGTGGTATCCGTATCGCTCTAGATTCTCGGGGCTCCATCAAAGTCAGGTACACACATGTCTCGCGTAAGAGGACAGAAGAAAAGCTACGTGTTTTCATATGGAAGTCCGTTCTAACCCCTTGGGATCAACCACCTTTAAAACATGGGTCGTTTCGCCAAACCTCAGGATGGACGGCAACCCAATATTGCATTAGCCGTAGAAGCTCCATTTGTCCGAGTCAAACGACCTTAAGAGGGGTCCAGTGAAATATTTATGGACGATTATATCAATTATGTCCATTGCCAATTTCAGATCATATCGATCCCAACTCGAATATCCCGAAAACTTGTTTATGAAAACAAGCCGTCAATCGCGGCGTGTGAAATTAATATTTCCCTCCAGTCCTTAGGCAAGGCACAAACATCCCCCTCAGCCAAACCTCGTCTCCTTATCCCTGATTGGAAGCTCCTTTCCTAAAAACACCCGTACATATAAGCAATTGGTTGACGAGATATATATATATATATCGGGGGCAGAGGAATGTAGTCTTACCGGTAGTGCTTTTATACTGGCCGCGGATAAAGTCCGAGATCTTCTCATCCTTGGCCTGTTCGAGCGCGCTCTCGTTGTTCTGCGGACCCTGACCCAGTATGTGTTCCTGAACGAAATCGATGCCTGAATATTCGCAAAATGACACAACCAGAGATTAGATAAGCGGTTTCTGCCGAGGAAGAAGAGGGAATGCAATCTAACTCTATGAAATATAAAAGAAAAGGATAATGTAAATATATGTACATACCTTTGTCAAGCATATCTTCATTTTTCTCGCTCTCTTTGCCACCACCCGCAGCGGTGTTCATCCTATCTCCAATGCCTGAGAAGAATCCCCCACCCTCTTTCTTGTCTGATAATGATTCCTTTGGCGGCTGCTGCTGCTGCTGCTCCCTGCCGGTAAACTTGTTGACAAAATCCATTGCTCTCTCTTGCGTGGTGGTCCCGTCTTGATTTAAGGTTGAGTTGTTGAGTTTTGTGTGATGGAAGTTCAGAGCCGTAGATGTAGATGGCGTCTAAGGGTGAATATATCAATTACGTATGAGCGGGGGATGCTCGAGTTATAATTCAAAAGAACATTCGGAGCTAATTGTAAGAAAAGAAGGTGGGGTAGATCCAGCTACGTTTTGTCTTTCTCGGACTCCATACAATGAACTAGTTATTTGCCTCCTGGACATTATTATCCGAGGAGATGGAGTCATTCATCATTATCAGCCCATCCTTCAATGATAATGTTCAATCCACCAAACGTCACCAAGGGCGAAAACAAAAGTTGGCAGAGAGAAACAAAAATTTGCGCAGCTGCCAGCTCCAATGCTTCCCGCTGTGCGACCGCGGGCCGAACATGCACACCAACGATCGAGCAGCATTAATGTGGCTAGGAAACAAACTTAAATTTGCCACCATGAGATCCCGCCGGCCACAAAATAAAAAAAAATGTAATGGAACCAAAATTGTGCCTCTTTTTTGTATGGAATCGATCAACCATCCCGGGGGAATATTGCACCCTCTTTTCCCCCCACCCCGCCAAGTAATAGATGTGTCTTACCACATTACACAGAAAAACCAGCTTGACTGACATGAGATGTAAGTTGAGTTTAAGTTAAGACATGTTGTATTTATTTATTTATTTATTTATTTATTTATTATTTTTGACATAAAGTGGAATTCAACGCTCTGGTTATTTAATGAGATGGATATCTCCATAATAATTCTTTCTCAATCACATGCAGCAAAATGACTTTAATAGAACTGATTATTATTTCAGTTCACTATGATCATTCCTTTCATACTTCAACATGCATTGATGAAAGGGGAAAAGCAATGTACAGAGATACTTTTGACTAAATTAGCCTTTTTTTCTGTATTTTTGAGATAATTTTGTTGCTCAGCATATAAACTGCCAACGTGGTCATAAACTTTCCCGATAAAAGAATTTTCAATTAAACGGTCTCTGTGGCGCAATTGGTTAGCGCGTTCGACTGTTAATCGAGAGGTTGGAAGTTCGAGCCTTCCCAGGGACGAAGTCATTGATTGTTTTTCTAATTTTAGGGTTTTTTTTTCTATCTTTGGTTGGGGTCTTACTTTGCGTTGTGGTTACTCCGTAGTTGGATACGCTACTACAGCTTCGGTATTTTCTGGGAACTTCTGGTTTGGAGACTTGGTATATCTTCGGCTTTAAGATACCTCCTCTAACAGGGTTTAACTTTTCTTTAGCAGCAAGGGACCCGAAAAAATTTCATTTTATCCAAGAACCTAGCTAGTGGCTATTCTCCGGCGCATTATTCCCGATACAAGTGGATACCGTCAATCCTCGTCCTGGCCATTTTGTGCGGAGTTAAGGTATCGCTTATTAGAACTGACAGTAGAGCCCAGGACGAAGGGGAAAAAGTAAAAGGAAACCCGTCCTTGGGAAGGCTCGAACTTCCAACCTCTCGATCAACAGTCGAACGCGCTAACCAATTGCGTCACAGGGACCTTACTGGCGAAGTTTTTTTTGGGCGCAAAAAAGGGCTTCTTTCTGAGGATGCACAACGGCGCTACTAAGACAAATAGCTGTGGGAAGAAACCTTGGAGAAAATTTTGGGACTCGACAGGCACTCGAGACAACAGTTGATATACATCAGAACTCCTCCAAGCCTGCAACATCTCCTCAAAAGAGAGGGCTCTTGTATATAGAAGCGTTCTTGTCAATTTTCATTGTGTAAAAGACGAAAGCTATGGCTCCATTTGCCTCCAAAAAAAGACGTCGCGAACCCGTCAATGTGGACGTCAAGCTTGTAGAAATCTACGAAGACCTGGCCAACGAGAATGACGAGATTAGATTAAAGGCGGCTCAAGATCTAGTGTCTCGATTCACTCCCGATCAGAATCCTATGGATGAGCAAATCGAAAAAAATCTACAGCGGCTCTTTCGTGGCCTCTGTAGCGGCCGAAAGGCCGCTCGAATCGGGTTCTCAATTGCGTTGACGGAGACGCTGGCTCAAGTTTTCTCACCATCTAGAGATCTGTCATCGTCGAATTTAGATGTTTCGAAAACAATTGGAATTTGGGAAACGCAATCGAATCCTGGGGGTTCTGTATCCGGACAGGTGCGGAATCGCTTTACTTCCCTTTCAATGTTCTTCAGAAAATCAATAACCCCTTGCTCACCTGCATGATAGGAGGAGAGAGATCACTATTTTGGTCGAATTTTTGGAGCGGAGGCTATCATCAAGTCCTCCGTGCTATTCCAGCCTCAAACTCCATTCGAAGAATGGAGTAAGATTCTTTCCATGCTATTCGATTTGGCCAAAAAGAAACCATGGCTACGCGAAGAGTGTGGTTGGATAATTTTCTGCTCTTTACGAGACATTCAGACTCACAAATTTGATGTTAAATATGTTGAGGCTGCGTTAGACTCCCTTTGCCAGAACGGCCTCGCCAAATCACCAGAAGGGGTTGCTATATGGACGGTGGCGAAAGATCTCTTTCCAGCGATGAAATTCCCTGAAGGGGTATGGAAACACGGCAGTCCTCTTGACGTTCGAGAAAAAGCAACACTTGCGAAAATAATGAAAGAAACGTCAGAGTCGGAGCCAGAACCTGGGAAGGAGAATGGTGTAGCGAAAAATTCCGGCGTCTGGAATCCAAAATTACATTTCACGTGGGATGTTGTTCTTCAGAAGCTGTATGCACAATTGCCAGAGCTGAATGGATCTCTAAATGATAAGAATTCAAAAGACACACAGGCCAGTTTCATGGACTTTTGGACTGAGGTCATTGACAGTGAGTTCAACCCTATATGTTGCATGTATCATGTACTCTAACATTGAATAGATGGATTATTTGCTGCAGCATCCTCTGAAGAACGAAAGTATTGGGGATTTCTTCTTCTTGCGAAGGTTATGAACGAAGCACCCGCACATCTTGCTGCATTGGTCTTCACAAAAAACCTCATGCGATCCTTCATGAACCAGCTGGCTGTTGAAGATCGCTATCTACACCGCATAGCCACGAAAGCGCTGAAGTCAATCCAAGCACGCGTGGGAAAGGAGCCAGATTTTATTGTGCCTGCTCTCGAGGGACTAATGGGTCCCACAGGAGCAGTTAACTTTGATCAAATTACCAAGACTAAAACCATTGAAAAGATGATATCTGCCATCACTGCTAATTCTTTGAAAGATGTCGTTCCCCTTTTTGAACACATGATCACTAGACCCGGCATGCATGATGCAAAAGCTGCTGCGTCGACTCGACAACAACTTGCCAGTCATTTGCTTTCGGTTGTGAAAACACAGGCGTCCGCCATTAATAATACTGCCGCGTCTGACGAGCTACAGGCGTCAGTTGAGAGTGTTTTGCTCCTTCTGGCTCGTTTTGCCTATTTTGTGCCTGACAAGAACAGCAAGCTCAAACACACCATACCGGAGCCCCCAATCACCGAAGCTACCCAGGAATATTTTCGTAATAGGATAATGTCCTGCCTAAATGTTGTCATCAGCGGCCGCAAAAATTCGGTGGCTGTTCCTTATAGTGTCGTCCGAAAGATTCATGAAATGGACGCATCAGGGGACTGGGGAAAATTTGTCATAGAAATGGGTAAAGACATCAATGAATCTGTTGCCTCAGCGTTCAAAACACTGAAGAAATTGACACGCAAGGTAGAATACATCCTCAATGCTCCCTCTTTTTTTTTTTTTTTTTTTTTTTGATATTTGAGACTTATTTTCTGACCTGGAACAGGAAGAAAACAATGAGAAGAAGGGTCCTAGCATCCAAGCGTTTAAGCTTTTGTATTCAATGACCATATTGCTAGTGTACAATGGAGATGCTGATGCAGTCTCCATGCTGGATGAGCTCAACTTCTGTTACTCGAAATTCTTGAGCCACAAATCAGATCGTGACGAAGCGGAAGAGGCGTCAGATGCGCTGGTGGAAATCCTACTTAGTTTCGCGTCAAAACAATCGAAGTTGTTCCGTCGGACAAGTGAACATGTATTTGGAACATTTGCTGATCAGGTCACAGCGACTGGGCTTCAATCCTTGATTGATGTATGCCTAGCCAATACTTTAATTTAAACATGCGATATACTGACATTTACTTAACAGGTGCTGGAAGCAAAGGACACCTTGGCAGGCCAAGAGGAGATGTTCGAAACCCAAGAAACTGGCAGTGATGTTGAAATGGTGGATGCTGAAGACCCCGAAGAAGATGACGATGATGATGGCGATGTTGAGGAGATCAGCCAGGCCTCGTCCGGAGAAGAGGACGACGAATCCGAAGATGAGACAGAAAATCACGATTCTGAAGAAGCAGATGATGGCGAACTGGAAGCTTTTGAAGCCAAACTCGCTCAAGCACTAGGGACTCATCGAGCTGACAAGGTTCTGAACCCTGCCTCATCTGATTTAGATGACGCTTCCATGAATGACGATGAAATGGAAGCCATCGACGGTCAAATAGCAAACGTCTTCCGCGCACGCAAGCAAGCCCATAGCAAAAAGCAAGAGAAAAAGGACGCAAGGGAGACCATGCTCAATTTCAAAACCCGCGTGCTCGACCTGCTGGAGATATACGTTAAGAAATGCCATTCAAGAATCCTTGCACTCGACCTTCTCATGCCGCTTTTGCAGCTCAGTCGCAAATCAAAAGTCAAACAGATTGCCACTCGCGCTAGAAATGTGCTAAGGGAATATGCAAAACAGTGCAAGAAAACGGTCGACATCCCCACCATCAAATCCGCGGAGCCTGTCTGGGAGCTGCTGAAAGCCGTGCACCAGGAAGCTACTCATAGTGCGCCTGCTGGTCATGCGTCATCGTGTAGTCAGGCAAGTTTGCTGCTTGTGAAAATTCTCGTAGCGCATGATAAGAGCTGCTTGCCGGATATTGTAGATGTCTATGGCGATACACGCAAAAAACAGCTTACGAGCAAGAAGTGCCATGTGCAGCCGTCGTTCTTTTCGGATTGGAATAATTGGTGTGTTTCCGCGAGTAAGCATATGAAGGAGTAGCTGGTTGATCGGTCGTAATGGATTCTAGAGCAGAGGGACGAATCTTTGACAAAATTTCTCTTTTGTCCCTACTTCTATAACTACCTCATTTATCTCTTTTTGATGGCCACCCACTGTGCATCCTTCCATATCGTCCTTTTCATACTTTCATCTTCGATATCAAAATAGACTTCCGCCTTGTTTCGCGTCCTTTCTCCCTACCGTATAATTCTAATTGAAAGAGTTTCACCGATTCTGCCTGTACTGTATCCTGAATATCCCTTAACAACGCACGATTTCGCACATCGCAACAATCCAACAACGCCAAAAATTTAATCTTATTGGCCCTATGTTAGGCGTTGAGCAATTTACGCTTTTGTAATCTGAACACTAGTTAACTAGATATCCCCACATGTACCACGGCTCTGACGGTGTTTCAATAAGTTTTATTCGCCATTCCCCAACTCCATAGTAGAACCCAAAACCTAACGAATAAAATACGATAGCGTTGGTGGTGTAAAAACAAAAAAAATCGAGCCGTCCCCGGGAAGGCTCGAACTTCCAACCTCTCGATTAACAGTCGAACGCGCTAACCGATTGCGCCACGGAGACTCAGTGATGATGCTGGCGACCACTCCCACTGCTGTTGGAGGGAGGGTGCCATGACTGTCTAAGGTACCAAGGGGCGGTCTCCGGCAACCCCATGACGGCTGTCGTTTGTTCCTTGTTGTTTCTAATTGAAACATGTGAGCCACACGCAAGGAGTCGTCCTTCGACCGTGCAATCACAAAGATTTTGCTTATAGATTTGGCAATGAAGCAAAGCCCTAGGAGCTTCTAGCAATGTCAATTCGGGAATGGGATATGTTGACTGTGAAAGATATATAGGAAGCATGTTACCTCCAGGCTCGAAAGGCCTTCTGGCGATGGTGTCAAATGTGGAAATTTTCCCCACCGACAGGCTAGCGGGTTCTCTTCGTGGTTGAGATATCCAGTCCTGACAAAAGGCTTTCTCCTCCTTTCACCGGTTTGAAATCTGGCGTTCGGGATATTAGAAGAATTGGGCTGAAGATTCGAGCTACCCATCAACCATCTAGAGACTCTTCATGAAATATATTGCGTCAAACGTGGTAAGAGCGCCAAAATTTATCAAGGCCTGATAAGTGAGGGGAGCATAGATACGCTTCACCCTCTTCCAGCATGAAAACCGGCTGGAAGAAAACTAAGGAATAAACCCCTTAATTGAAAAAACAGAAAATAAGAGAAAATATGTATACAAATAAAAAAAAAACAAGATGTCAAGGCATGCAAGACAAAGTGATTCTCTCGATTTCGCAAGTGTAAGTCTTAATCCGAGTCATCAGAACTCTCCATATTGACCGTCTTCTTCCGTTTCCTAGCTCCCGTGGTGTTAGCTTTCCCTTTGCCCTTTCCCTTTCCGTTTGCACCAAACATATCTCTCAGATCCCTTTGCTTCGACTCCTTTTCCTGTTTCTTATCAAACATCGCCTGGTGCTTCTCTCTTTCCTCCCTCCCTTGCTCTGCCAATTCGGCCTCCAGTCTAAGGAATTCTTTACTTTCGACATCCATCCCAATCAGAGATTCGAGAAGTTTTATCTCCTTCGCCCATACGGATTTATCCTCAATCATAGCGGGTTTGCTGGGCTTTTGTTTTCTAGCAGGCCCCTTTTTAGCACCACCGGTTTTCTTGGTGGTAGGCGTTGGGATTGAATGATCCTCCTTACATACTCCAAATTTGTTACCAGGTTGTCCACTGGCGGTCTCGGCTTCAATGTTAGCAGGCCGGTCAATAGGGGTTTCCAATATCATCGGAATGCCCTCCAATCTCTTTTCATTCATCACGTTATGAAAAGCCCTGAGGCCTAGGAACCCGGTCCCGATATTGGCGTGTAAATCTCGTCGACTACCCAGTGGAGTTTTGGAATCATTCAGATGGAGAGCCCGTAGGAATTTCAGGCCTATTTCTTCGTCGAATTCTTTCATAAACTTATTCCAAGCACCAGGGCTACGGAGGTCGTATCCTGCAGCGAAACTATGACATGTATCCACGCATATTCCGATGCGAGCGTGGTAGCTGTCTGGAATTAGAGAAAGGAGGCTCTTGAAGTCCGACAGGGAACCGCCAATCGTGGTTCCATGTCCACACATTGTTTCTAGAACCAGGATGACTTTGGTGGTAGCGTCTAGGGCGGACGTAAGGGCTTTTGAGAGTCGAGATAGTGAAGACTCCAAAGTGGTCTGAATGGTTGCACCAGGGCTGTTATGGAAGGTCGAATATTAGATGTTCCTTGTAATTCATGATAAAAGGGAATATAGATCTTAAACATACTGGAAGTTGTATAAGGAGATACCAAGCTCTTCGCAGCGCTTCAGATCATCAAGAAAAGAATTGTATGCCTGCGTGGCTTTTGTTGGATCCTCTTGTGCTAGATTAACTAGATACGAGCCGTGGGGAAGAACATGTCTGTATCCGAGTTAGCATATTTCCCGTTTGATAGTTTTAAGCCATATGCTATGTTACTTTGAGGCATCGTAATTGTGTTCTGCACAAAGTTGCCGAAACTGGTCTCGATGTTCCGGTTGGAGCGGTGGATTATCCCATTTTCTCTGAGATTTCAGAAACAGCGCAAAAGCGTTGCCACTTTATGTACAGGCCGTTAGATGAAAAATATTTCGTACTTAAGTATAAAACTGTGAAGTAAAAAGGAAGCTTCGTGGTGAAATACTAACCCGATATGCACACTGTTCGTCACGGCATTTTGGACTCCTACATATGATAGTAATTTCAGCAGTTAGTTACCTCTTAGAAATGGTTACAAAATGGACGAACGATAGGAAAATCGAGAACAGCTATGGACATCCATTTATGGAGGAATCACACACCTTTCGCAGCGCTAATATGCGCCCCTACATACATCCGCAGATTTGCAGTTCGGGGAGCGAGCGGTCTCATATCTATAGTGACCTCCTCTTTTACCTTTGTCTTTTTCGTTTGTTTTTTAGCCTTTATTTCAATCTCCTCTTCCTCGTCTCCCTCGATAGCATACTCTTCAAGCTCAGGCGAAGCCACTTTTCTTTTCGAGCCACGTTTCAATATATGAACACTCTTTTCTTTCACGGTGATTGTCTCAGGATGTTCAACTTCTGCAGTTGCTGCAGTGTCTCCGATCTCCGCTCTGTTAGGTGTTCCCTTTGCGCGGGGGCTGTTGATTTTATTATGGCTGTGATTGCTGGTGGGGGAGAGCTTAGATCGTTTGGATGGATGCACTGGGGAGCTTGGAGAATCATCAATTGATCGCTTTGTCCTTGAGGGTCTTGTGTTCGATGTGGTTTTGGGGGCATGGAGTGTGGTGCTGCTGGTGCGTGTCGTCATTGCTAAACTGCGGTGGTGGAGTGTGGGTATTGTGATTTTCTTGCGATAGTTACAATAAATACCACATAGCACCCCTATCTGAATTGAAATGCCGGAAGTGGTTTGAAGATTGTAACCATGAATTGATGTTGTCAATGGCAGACAGACGTTGGAGAGGGATGGAGAAGTCGAAGCTCCGTTATTGGAGATGCGATGTTGGCGGCGACGCTAACCAGGAGAGGCAAGATGAACATCCATGAAACTTGTTTCTTCTTCCAAGAGCCAGTAAAATGTAACTATCAATGGTTGATCTAATAATATATGGTGTCTACCTAGAGTTTACTGATGTTACTGTTATATTTTATTGGACAGTTATGAAAGCCTGTGACTTCAGATTTTCTACTGTCTATATCATCAAAATTCCAGTGCTGAGCGTGTATCTACGTGGTTATGTAGGAGTAGAGCACCGACCGCATGGCTGCAGTATTCTTCACAGGTGCATAAGAGAACAGAGAAAAAAAAAAAAAAAAAAAAAAAGAGGGAGAAAGAGAGAAGTATCAAAATGATTTAAGTTGAAAGTTGAATCTGTTAACTGCTCTTGCTAAAGCAGACATAGCTAAGCGTTTGGAAAACCACGCCCACAAAGAACAGTGTGTAGTTACTATATAGCTGTCCTGAACTTACTGCCCTAAAGAGACATGCAGAGAAGTATTGATAGGACATCTAGAAGAATTCCACCCATCCTTATCAATCACACAAAAACTGCTTGAACCAGCTAACCGCAGCATTCTTGGCTCTCACCATTGCATCCCGTTCCCCGGGTTTCTCAGCGTCACGGACAAAAGAACCATGCTTCACGCCAGGGAAATATTGATAATCCAACGGCAGCCCCAACTTCGGAACGGTCTCGAAGGTAAACTGTTTCATCTCGGGGGTATATAATTGATCAATTTCGGGTGCCAGAATCTGTACGGGAACTGCGACCCCTTCTTTGTCAAGAGTGTGGGATGGCCTGCTGAAATACAGTCGATGAGTGTTGGTTGATATTCCTTGGCACCCAAACGGAAAACCGCCCAGCCTCCATAGCAGAATCCTATCGCGCCGACTTTCTTATAACTTTTCTGTCGCAACGCTTTTGCGCATGCGAAGATCTCAGGTTCACGTATTTCTCGGGAGTTGTTCTTCATGCTGGATGCGAGGTTGATAAGGTCAAACCTGCCAGCGAGCACGGGCTCAAATGGCACTACATATCCACCGAAGAAATCAGGTACGTAGACGGTTACGTTAGCTTGTCGTGCATAGTGATCTGCTAACAAGCGTACGTTGGGGAAAGTCCAGCCAAGAAGATCATAAACGATCATCACGGCCGCATTGGGATTATTGCCGGTAATGTAGGCGTTGTGCTGGCAAGATTCCCCACAGATCCAGTTGGGGCGCCGTCCTATTCAACCGCCTTGAGGCAACAAGAGGATACTGACATCCTTGCAGAGGATTTGAGAGTCGAGGTAGAAGATATGCCTGCTGGGGTTTGCAGTGCTCTCTGACAGGATGCGAGTTGCCTTCTCTGGGTTGGAAGGGTATCACAGAGGACGTAAAGGAGGGTGAATATATACCCACTGCTAGAGCCGTCAACATGCACGAAGCGATGAGCATTAGCAGTTTCATCTTCATTATGTAGCCGGACTAGCATGCACGATACCCTGAGCAACCACTCATAGAAAAGCCGTTGACTGCGTTAGCATTTGTGACCACATGGCAGCGGTGGGCCACGGAAGATTTAAATAGAATAGACATTTCGCGACTGGACACTATTCTCCTCGGAACAGGATATGAGATTTGATAATGTCTTATCTGGAAATAAGCCATCTCTTAAACTTTATGGTCCGATATCAACCTCGACATTAACTTGGTGTAATTTATTTTAATGGTATATCCACCATCGAGGTCCCTAATCTGGCAGAGCTTGAGATCAATCCAATTAACTGAGATTGCTACCCGACCTGTCAATGTGCTGGGATGTCTCCAATTATCCGATATCACCTTAGCATCAGCCAAAAAACTTGTAATTTCAACCTCACTTACAACTTGCTTCTCGAGAGAGGTTTCCACCAAAATCACGAGAGCAGAAAAGCCGATTGGATTTGAAATTGCTGTAACTCGTTAGAGTTCACACCTAGGAGTATGCTGCCGACATGCGGACTTAGTCAACTCAGCCTTTCGTTAAATCCATCGCTGAGATTTTTAAGAGGTTTTATGAGGTTTTTAAGACGATCCCGTCAAGACGAGTGATTAGATAATAACTGACTAACCATTGCACGTGCTGGTTTCCAGGGCAACCAGCGATTAGTTATATTAACTATTAACCGTTGTTGACCTGCTTCGCGAGCGACGAAAACATCGAAAGAATATGTTTTTGACATTTCAACCTCATCATCGACGTGTTCTTCGTCATCCAACAACTGTTATACTTATTAATCAACAGGCTAGCCTCACCATTTTTGGCTCCGGATTTTGCATGTCCTCATAATTTCTCGCATTATTGCCCGAAATTACAATGGCGGTGTCGGGGGACTTGGTCGATTTCGGCCTGATTGAGGCACAGAAAGAGAACGTCCAATCTCTCCCTGGAGGACGGTCAGCGAGGGCCCTTGCTGCAGTTCTTTCTGGGGGATCGGGTGGTGCCGCATCGTCTCCAGGATTGAACGAAACGAGAACCCTTAACGATACCATTCGACAAGAATATGAGCTCGAACTTCAATCCATTGCAGAATCAGATGATCCATTGGACATATTCGATCGCTACGTGAAATGGACTTTAGATGCATATCCGTCGACCCAGGCTACGCCGCAATCAGGTCTTCTCCCACTACTTGAACGCGCAACAAAGGCATTTTTGTCTTCTAACCATTATAAAAATGATCCACGATATCTAAAGCTATGGCTCCATTATATTCGTCTCTTCTCTGACGCACCGCGTGAAACTTTTGCCTTCTTGGCGCGTCATGGGATTGGAGAGACTCTTGCACTATTCTACGAAGAGTTTGCGGCTTGGCTAGAATGTGCTGGGAGGTTCTCCCAGGCAGAAGAGGTTTATCAGCTAGGTCTACAACGGGAAGCACGACCTACTGAACGCTTACTACGAAAATTCGGTGAATTTCAAAATCGCCTTGAGCAGCGGCCAGGGGACTCCAACGGACCATCTTCACCCGCTCTGCCCAAAGTAAGGCCAGCATTGGCGGCTAAAACTGATCCATTTGCGTCCGATGCGTCGTCACCAGTGGACCCCCAGGCCCCAGCTCCAACAACCGCTATAGGACCCCCTTTGAAGAGATCGGGAAAATCAAAAATCACTATTTTCTCTGATGTTGACGGTGCACAAGATGGTGGGAAACCACTGGCCGGTAGTGAAACCAAAGGATGGGATACAATTGGATCGCTTCAAGACCGCAAGAAAGAGAATACGGTGGAGGCGAAACAGTGGGTAGGCGAAACGTTGAAATCAGGGAAACGGGTTGGGACGGTGCAAAAGATGGCGGTCTTTAAGGACGAGGTAAGCTGGCTAGTTTTCATTCGCCGTTACTCAAAAGCATATCTGATGTCCTTTGTTTACGACCATAGGACTAATATCTGGCATGTAACCCTTTGGCGTTTTTCTGCGGCTTTTCATATATTTCAGACATCTATATCTCGGTCCACGTCAGGACATCCACAAGCAATAATATCAAACAATATTCCAATTCACCGCAATGAAAAGGAAACTATCAATTCCAGGACTGGTAAAGTTGAACGGGTGTTTGTCAACCTTGAAGCCATGTACCCTGATCCTGAGAATCCTCATGTTGAAATAAGTCTTGAGGAACTACGAGCGTCAAGCCGTGGCTGGATGGAGAAAGACTGGTCAAAGAAGGACCAAGGGACTTTGAAAGAGATATCTGTAAATGTTCCGTATAGAGCCCCACCTCACCAACATAAAGAAGATAAGGTGGACAAGAACATAGAAACACAATTGCAGGAAAAACTCGTAATATTCGATGACCGAACGTTGCCACATGAAGATCCTCAGGGCGCGGAAAATAATCGTGATGGGAAAGGAAGCAAGTTGAGGCGCCTAAAGGTTCTCGAAGTCAAAGGAGAAACACAGACAAGTGAGATTAATTTTCTACTCCTTCGTCCTTTTGTTGAGGTTTTGTTTTATTGGAATAACTAATCACAAAACTACAGTCAAAACTAATCTGGAATCTCCAACGGGGCCAAGGATAAAACGCAAAATTTCATCAGAGCCCACAATGACTCTACATACTCGAGCTGCTACAGATGAAATATATAGTATATTCAATCAGCCACTTAAATCAGAACTGGGTGGAGATCGGGCGGAAAGCGTTTGTGGGAGTGACTATGAGGACGATGATTACACAAGTGCCTGGGAGAGCACATGCACAGGCAGAATATCTGGAGCAGCCAGCGAGTTTGGAGACGAAGAAACGACCGGGTTCAGGAAGACAAGGGAAAACAATGATCTTGAGGAGGATGATACACGAGCGGATAGTGTTGGTGTTAGTGAATGGACAGAATTCACTGCCAGTCGACACATCCCGAATATCAGCCCAGAAGGAAGCAATGAACAAAGCGAACACATAACACAATCATATATCGGTGGCGCTGAAGCCATGACAGCCACAAATCTTCTCGATTCCTCCTCGATACCGCAAAGAGATATCTCTACTCCATCCGCTGGAATGCCTCAAACTAAGCCCAGGTTTGTGCCCGTTCCTCCGGAAGACTACAACGCACCTTTGGGGCCTTATCGGGACGCAGCCGTTGTGGCCAAAAATCGACTCCCATTCATGACACCAATCGTCGAAATGACGGAATCATCATTTTCGTCCACGGCATTCAACGAGAAGAAGTATTTGCACACGAAAACTCCCTCAAGAAAAGCTGTTCCCATTACCCCTATGATCCCAGAGATGGATGACTTGCTACTCAGCAGCCCATTCCATGAGTTTACCCAAACAAATGATACCCAATTTACATGCATGCCTGACGAGAGCTCCCCAAGTCGACTGGTGAAGAAGCTTAAGCCTTCTCCAAAGAAAATAAAATCTCCTTCCAGACAGCAGGTCATCATTGACGAGTTGCAATGCAATCCGATCGACCCTCAAGTCAGACAGAAGGTCTTGAAGAACGTCTATCCCTCACTGCAGACGTACCTGGGTTACCACGACCACGGAAACCAAACCGCAGGTCGCGCTATCGATATACGCAAATACATCAAAAGTATCTCAAAGCAAACCAAGAGTGCTGGGGGAGAGAGACCATCTGCAACGCCTCCCATTCTCTGTTTTGCCGGAGCCAACAGGAGCTATGCTATCAATCAAGAACTAGGAGAAGGCGGTTTTGCTGCAGTATACCTGGTTGAAAGTGTGGATTCGCCCGATACATTCACGTCCGATTCTGAACCGGAGAAAGATATGCTAACTGCGAACAACAAGAGACGAGTTTCTGCAGGAGTGAGCCCCTTTAAACCTCGACGGAACACTGAACGCCGGGGTTTAGAAGCACTCAAGGTGGAATCTGAGTCCCCATCCGCTTGGGAGTTCTACATGCTTCGCATCGCACATGCACGCCTCTGTTCATCCCCTAGCTATAGCCGTGTGACTGACAGTATCATAAAAGCGCATGAGATGCATATGTTCAAAGATGAAGGATATCTTGTGGAAGACTACCAGAATCAGGGAACCCTGATCGACCTAATCAACGCCGCGACAAATGGCTCCTCTGGATCAACGGAACAAGGGCTGGACGAAAGCGTGGTCATGTTCTTCGCTGTGGAATTATTTCGTACCGTGGAAGCACTCCATGCGTGCGGTATCCTCCACGGTGATCTCAAAGCGGACAACTGCCTCGTCAGATTGGACGAACCTTGCGCTGCGTCCTTATCCCTCCTCGATGACGACTCTGAGTTGGATTCTCAGCCAGGATATTCCCCTTCAGGCGCAGGAGGCTGGCGAAAAAAAGGTTTAACGCTCATTGACTTTGGTCGTGCAATTGATATGAGCGTCTTCCCCAAGGCTGTCCAGTTCATTGCAGATTGGAAGATCGGTTCTCACGAATGTTCTGAGATGCGGGAATGTCGACCCTGGACTTACCAGGTCGATCTGTACGGACTTGCGGGCATCATTCACATTCTCCTCTTTGGCAAGTACATGGAAGTTGCGCCAGTTACCGGTAATCGAAGCTCCGCTGGCGAAAATGGAAGCCGAAGGTCAGGCGGGACTTTTGGGCTAGATATCCCTTGTGCTGGGGGAGCGGGATTGGGAGCCAAAAAGACTTATCGCCTCAAGGAGTCTCTGAAGAGATATTGGGAGCGTGAGATCTGGGCTGAGGTTTTTGACCTCTGTCTTAATCCCAGTAATGATAAATGGGTGCAGATGGAGCGAAAGTCGGTCGCACCGCTAGAGTCTGGAACCAATACAGAAAACGGTAGTAATATTCCTGATTGCGGTGGCCCCACACTGCCCGTTCTCAATTCGATGAGGTATATTCGGGAGAAGATGGAGGGCTGGCTTGTGGCGAATGCTGAGAAGAAGAGATTGCAGGCCCAGCTTGGGAAGCTGGAAAAGCTGATTGCGAAATAAACCATGCGGATATTTAGGGTGTTAAAGGCAGGGGGGATGACATTCTGGCATCTGTACATGACCAAACCACGAACGTTTGTTGCTATTTTCTATTTTGGCACATCGATAAACTCCAATATATTGTCATAGAAAGACAGGAAAAACTTCTTGTTCTCTCTTCCTTCCTTCCTACTTGCGGCTCCGGAAATCAATTCCTCATCCGACACCTCCTTTTGCGGGCTGTAGTTTGATTTCGATATTTGCTCTCCACATACATATACCCCTCATAATGATACCAAGGCCATCCTAACGTACCGACGTAACTCGTTGGACCGAGAAAATGACCAACGGATCAAACAACGAACCGACAAACAGTTTGATTATCGTAATATACAAGCTTTACTCGAAACCCTCGTTTTCCTACGTTCTACCCTGTGCTAGTTCGTTCCCTACTTAGAGCTTTACCCCCTGACCCGCAGCTCGTAGGGCATTTGTTGGATAGACGACACCTTCCCAGCACCTCCTCCGTTCACAAATTACAACTGGACCTGCGCACAGCGAAATGGGCAGTCTACTGCCACCTGCATTGACATGTTAGCCCCACTTATTGAAATTCAACATTGGCAAGGTGCAATTTCTTCTTTTCCTTATATGTTCTGGTTCTACCTCGTGGACACGAGGTATATGTGACATCTTGTCATACTATGAACTGCAGGGGTAGCAGCACATCGAGCACATATTGTCATAATGAGGACTTGGTACCTGTCGACCAACTTTTTCGTTTTATGTCTTTATGATGAAAATCCCCCCCTTGTTCCTCTCCTTCTCGCCCTACATTTCATAATTATGGTGTAGCATACATAGCATTGTGCATGATTTTTCCAAGTTTTTGTCTGTTTCTGCCTTATTTGCTTTTCTTGATAGAAACGAAGACGCAAAGTGGTGGTAATCCTTCACAGAAGTAATAGTTTTACCAATTTTTAATACCAGTCAATGTTTTCCCTCTCTTCATCCCTCACACAGATATTGAAAAGGTATGAGTGAAATCGAGGTTGAGGTAATGATCGAATTTGAGTTTCTTTTGTAACCCTCCTCAAACAGCAGCTGGAAGCAAAACCAAACCCAAGAACACAACCCCTTATTCTGAGTAAAAAGGAGAAATTGGAACGGGGAGCGTGGGGGTTGGGGGGGGGGGGGGGGGATATGGGAAAAATATTTTGTATTTTGTGTCGTCATATCATAAATTGGCATTTGAGGAGAGAGGTAAAAATGAAGTCCGCAGCTGATCGTGACAGTTGCTCAACCTACAATAATACATCAGACCCACACACGCCTGGAGAATTTAAATGTTACCCTGCAGCTATAGATATGACACGTCAATTCCTCTCTTTGTGTTTATTTACTATACCAAGAAGAGGAGTATCATTTCATGACACCCTAACACACTGTAGAAATGAATGCAACATGCCCGTGTGAGTAGTTAAAAAAGACACACTCAAAAACGAATAAATAAATGAATTGCTTGAATTTTCTAGGTCCTTAGAAGTTCTTTTGATGCTTGACACCGAGGTAGTGTTTTCATAAGAATATAGACAAAACATACGTCTAGAAAGAAGAAGAGAGGTCGTAAAAGCCTAAGGAGTGAAAACGAAAGGCATGGCAGAAAATGAGTTGGCTTCAAAAGATTGTTTGTTGGTTTCTTGGGATATGTGGACATGGTGCATATACAGGGACCCTTTTAAAGACTTCTGAAGGTACGATGTGACGTAAGAAAGAGGGTAACACTGGCGAACATGGCAGTGATGACATGTAGACATGTAGACATCAATTGGACAGGACAGGGGAAATAAATAGAAAGGGGGGGAAAGAAAATATAGCCAAAGATGGTTGACAATGAGTCATAAGGGAAAAAGAAAACGTCAAGTGAATGAATGGTTGGTCATTAAGTAAATTTCGGTCACGTCGTAAAGTGAAAGAAAGGCGAGAAAAATGCTATCGTCATAGGTTTCGTCGTGTGGGCGTAAAAAGTCGATTAGAGCAATGGGTTAAAAACAAGACACAAAATACAAGTGAGTTTTAAGTAGTTTTAAATCCAAATCACTCCGCATGAGCTTCGTTAATAGTGGCAACTTTTTTTTCTGTTTCTTCATATCACTTTTTTTTTTTTCGTAAACGTATATGTATCGTCAAAATGAGCATAGATTGGCCCAAAAAAGTATTAAGAGAAAATGAAAGGAAAATAAATGAAAGGCAATACAATTTCGTCATCGTCAGACGTAGTGTACTTCTTGATTTTTCTTTTTTTTTTTCTGTCGGAATTCGCATCGTAATTTTTGTGGTGTAATTTCGGTGTTGTGTTTTTCGGATTTTTGTGTGTTTTAAGGGAGTGAGTGTGGCAAGGAAAGCAAAAGCGAGGGGAGCAAGCTAATTTCGTGTATCATTACGAGCTAAGCCTTTTTATCGACTTCTCTCGTAAAAATATACATCACAATGAAGAATAAAGTTGCGCCCATTATTGCATTTGCATATCTTGGACAATTTGCGTGATGACAACGTAACGGACGGAGCTAATTAGCCCTGCGAGAGCGACCATCCCAGGGGTCGGTTCTGAGGATCCAGTCGTCGTAGAGGAGGGAGTGATATCCGGAAGAAAGCGTTGTACGGCATTACAAAACAGATATCTTGTCGAGAAAGCAGACATATATCGGTTTGGTATATCGTAAAACTCAATTCCAGTTCAAGAGTTATATCTTGAAAGAAGAAGAGATTATACTCAAAGGAAGAGGAAAAGGAAAGAAAGGGTTCGCATCGCAGAGTACACACTACCGCCGTCATCACGTCCGTACAAAGGGGAATTGGGGAAGTAAATCACAGAGATAAAAAAGAAAAGAAAAGTTTTCACGTTAAAACATGTCCACTGAATTGAAGTGATTTTCTCTTTATCTGGGCAGGAGTAGGTGGATGGGCTCAAGAAGGGTCACCATAGCATGGGCTTTACCAACCCTTCCAAATACCCATCAAACCCCGCAACCGCATGCTATGAAAACGGCGTATTAGGGGTGTCCAACTTGACACTGCCACCGCCATTACCTTCTCCTTCACCACCAGAGCCCATTCCACCCCTCCTTTCAAAATAAGGCGTATGGGCCAGATTCTCCGTCCCTTCCTGCCGTCTCGATACCCATTGCTGCTGTTGCGCTCCAGAAGCCAAGCTAGCAAACGAAGCAGACGCAGAAGTCATCGCAGGGATAAACGGATCAGAAAGCGACGTCGCATGGCGGGGTGAGCGAGTTGGTGTCGCTGTCATTTTTCTCAAGCATATGTTCTTGCTCATGCCCATGCTCGGTGGATCGGAGTGGAATGGGGAACCCAGACGTTTGATGTCATCACCAAGTCGCAGGTGGCTGTTATGATTAATATTATTATGAGTGTAATTAATATTATTGCTGGCATTAACATTATCCCGCGACTCTTGCCCGTTGTTGTCGTCGTCCTCCGCAGTACCCGTAGCAGCAGCGCCAGCGGCGGTAGTAAAATCTGGAAACGGCGCAGGCGGCGTGAAGAGCTGCTCCAGCCTTCCTCTCGGACTAATCGCACCCGTTGTAACCCCCCGATTCCTCACGCGCACGCGCCGCTGGCCATGGCTAATAACATCATTAAATCTCGTCTGACGAATAAGATCTGGGAATGGTCGTTGGAGGCTGCTACCACAGGAATCTAGCTCATCTTCCAACTGGTGCAGTGCACGTCGTTTGTGTGGAGCATTCCCGAAAGGATCCACGCGTCCTAGTCCTGGAGATTGTAGCTTTGAGCCGGTTGCTGCATGGATGGTCTCGCATTGGCTGGCAGGCGTGACTGAGCGGAGACGACGGTGGGATCTATCCGGACCCCAAGTGTGGTAGATGAAAGGGGAGCCAAGACGGGGAGGGATTGGGTCGGGTGAGAAGGTGTGGCTTGTGTTACTGGTATGGTCAAGCGAGCGGGATAGACGTTTGTTGGGATCCTGCCTGGAACTGCCCTGTGCATGTTGTTGGATATTATTGAACCAGTCATTATCCGAGCTGGTATCGAGATCGGTGCTGGCCACCGGTCGTCCAAGTTCAGCAACTTGGGTAGGTAAAGAGCTTGAAACCAACGACACACCAAGATCCCTGGTGGCGAAAGACGCTGCTCTTCGATGGGAAGCCCTCAGTTGCGAAGGCGCTCTAGACGTCAATTCTATGAAGGGTTCGAGGAAAGGAGAAGGACTTCGAGATTGGAGGAGCCGTTGATAGTGCGGGGCAATAAAGAACTTCCGATTGCACAGTTCCTTCAAACGTCTTCTGGTAGATGCATCTGATCTGGGCCATTTTGGCTTAGGAGGGACTTTCTGGGCAGTTGGTGTTGTACTCCCACTTCGCGTTGTAGAGTCGACTGTTTCTTGTTTCTTTCCAGTCTTGGCACGGTCTTCCATATACATCGCGGGAATTAATGGTACCGGTGAAGGACCCGCCTTGGTTGGATTTTTAGTCCTAAGCCAAGTCTTCCTCGCTTCACGAGCAACGCGGTGCGAAACTCCTAAAGGCGGCAGACTCCCGGGGATCAGTTTGAAAGGCGTGATTCGAGGATCCTGGAGATATATCTGATATGTGTTCCACAAGTGACTATCCATGTCTGTAGTCCATCGAGATCGGGTTGCAACAATGTTAACAGGAACTTCCTGCGCGTTACTCGCCTTGGATGGGGTTTCCAGCTCTTGCTTGTGCTTAGTGAGAGGATATGACAGTAAAGGATCTTGTATCTCGCTTTCTGGACTCGTACAGCTTTCCCCCAACGACTGATGCGAGGCGTGAGATGTAGAAGACGCAACCGAAGAATCTGAAAAATTGGAACACGAAGACGATGGTCGTTGTATAAAATCGCCCGCCTCTGACACACCTCCATAGGTCCAAGGTGGTCTCTCATCTACGGGGGTACCCCGGATCTGAGCCGGAGGCGTTCGTGGATCGACTCTGTCTCTCAGGGGAACTTGCAGCGCATTATCTGTTGGTGTTTGAGTTGCGACCTGATCGAAAATGCTAGTTACGGAGCTTGAAGGATCGTGCGAAAACTCAATTGACGGTAATGGAATATCTGGCGAGCAAAAGAGCTCACGGTGGTTTTCCATGGTGAGTCGCGGTCTGCGGAAACGACAGGAGGAATGGTGGGGAGGTGGCGGGATTGTGAGCTCCTTGGTTGGTTGTTCCGGAGTCCTCGGTCGAACATCACTGATGTAAAAAGTGAAGTCCTTTGGCAATGTCCTGGAAAGGCCAGGCCGCCTGTGAGCCATGTTTGATTTGAGACAACGGCGTCTCCACAGTCGTGTGAATGTTTCGGGGTATTGATTGTTGTGAATGGGCGTTAGGAGGGCGGGTAGATCTTATTCAAAGAAAATAGAAGTGAATGAGCAAATCCAGAAATTCAAATCGTTGTCGCGTTAATTTCGTGTTTCTCGTTTCAGTTAAATCCACATCTCAAAAGAAAAGATATGAGTAATTATAATGATGATGCTCGATAAATGTCGTTGATGGATGGGTTGGAACTCTGAAGTCTCAATCGAACATTTGCTCAGCACAAGAAAAGAATAAGCCTGTCTTCCAGTTTTTCGAAATATAGGCATAAGGCGGTAGTGGGTTTTGATTGACAAAAGGAAAAAACAAAGGTCCAGTCGTGAGGATAAGAAATACAGTTCCCGATAAGCTTAATTGGGTGTCGTTCTCGTAATTAAAAGGGTTGGTGATAGTAACCAAGAGGGTCGATGAGCGATGGCAAGGTTCAACCCTCGGGTAACTAGTGACGTTATCAAATGAGGCGATTGACAAGCATTGTTGGTATGGACAGGAGGACCAAAAGCAAAGGTTGGTTCGAGAGAGGGGAGGGAGGGAGGGAGAGACAGATAGATCTAGGAGACGTTCATGGGGGCACCGTCGCTACAAGGTCCAAAGCGAGCGCTTGTGAAAAGGCTCCAACGCTTGTAGAGGAACTCGACAAACAGGGATCCAAGCGGCCAGATCAAGTGGCAATAAAATTGACGACGCAAAATGGGCAGTCAACCGACTTCCCAAGAGGGTAGAATAGAAGGTGGAGGTCAACCTCACCCAAGATGTCGATATGCGATCGGGGGAGTAAAGACACGAGAGGGGGCATGAGAATGCGAGGAGGATGGTTCGCAGTCCCGTGAGTCAAGTCCTCCTCCTCCGTACAGCGGGCGCAGGCAGGCTCTGGTAGTGTTGCGGAACGGGGAGCGAGCGAAGAGTAGAATAATATGGGGTGGCTGGGGAATAATATGTGAATAAAACCGGCGACTACTCAGGGTCTTCACTCTCACCGCTGGAACAACGATGAAGCGTTCAGGGCTAGTAGGGAACAGTTCGCGCTTGACCGGACGGGAGAAGCACGGGATTTTCGTTTTTAGAGGAGCCTTGGGGCAAGGTTAGGAGGTTTGTAACTGACCAGGGGGAGCCCCTGTATGGGTAGGGCTCCCGTTGCGACTGCGCAGAGTGAACTACTCCGTAAAGAACGGAAAAAGGAGCGAACGAACGACGGGACGAGTGTGTGGAGAGGAAACACAAGAAGGTCAAGGGGGCTTCGGAGGAGAATTAAGAAAAGATTCGGGGGGAGAAGGGAAAACGAGGTAAAGGATGGGCGGGCTGAGAAGACAGCGAAGTGATAGTGATAGTGATTCGTGTCGCAAAAGTGGAACAACCACTTGTCAACCAGACATATGGTGCCACTTAGATACCAGGGACTCGAAGATGAAAAAGAAAAGAGAGCAAAATGAAAAAAGGAGGAGAAGAAAGAAAGAAAAAGAAAGGAAAAGAAAAAAAAAAGAAAAAAGAGAGAGAAAAAAGAAAAGAAAAGGAAGAAGAATTGTGGTCAGTACGTGGAATATGGATGTTGGTCACCAGCTTTGCCGCCACGTCTTGTTTGCAGCCAGCTCTAACAAGTTTAACTACGGCAGCGCAGCAAACGGGAAAGGGAACTCTGGACTGGCGAACAGAGGACAGAGGACAGAGACCCGTCCAGTGTCGACTTTTTATCGAGCGCAGCCTCTCCCCGGAGCGAATGGGAAGATAGCCCGACCGTTGACCAGATCTTAGGAGCAGCTCACAGAGCACAATTGTTGGCGGATGCCCACTCCACTCGCTGTCCTGGCGGAGGGCCGAGGGTAGTTAGTGGTCTAACTTGTCTAACTAACTTAACGAGTTGGCTTGTTCTAGCTTGTCTGGCTTGGCTGGCCGGATTGGTTATAATTAGGACTTGATAGGATGAAGAATTCCAAGGTTGGATGCCGGCCCAAAGACGGCGAAAAGAAGGGAAGACGCCCAAGCCCAAGGAGCAGCGAAAGGCCGCGCTTAGGCCGAAGTGGAATTCGATGAGAGTGACCGGCAGTGACCAGGCGGCCCACCAAAATTTGGCTGCGGGAACAGGTCGTTACAGGTACCTTCTGGCAGGCTTGCCAAGTAGCACTGCATGAGCAGACACAAAAAAAGAGACAAAAAAGATACAGATAACTACATAAATCACACACACATTCCACTCAGTTAGGTGGAAAAAGGACATGGCCTCTGCCTGTATAAGGATGAATACACGATGAAAATAATACATTTACGATTAATCAGATGAAGAGCAAGCGAAGGTAACTAACTAATTACTGTACGCTCGGGAAGTTACTCCGTCCTCAGACAGAACAAGAGTAGCAGCCCTTTTATGCACACATCCATGGATAAACCTCCGTAGAGACAGACACTGCCACAGGTTCTCTCCGTTGGTTTTTATTACTCTCAGCGTCACCGTAGCCAGGTTCCTAACTAGCCATTGGATTGTTTCAAGGACACAGTAACACTTTTCCCCCGCTCTCTTCACAGCAGGTCATTTACTTGCCTCATTCCTCCCCCTTGGAAACTACCTTATCGCAGAATATCACAATCATGATTCATCACCATCATTATTTCCTATTACATTATCCTCCGTTGAAGTTAGTAGTTATACCTTCAATGACCAATGTCTGTGGTGTCCAACAACCCCAACAAAGTGAGGGAATGGCCCACCTCACATGGCATCACTTAAAATATCAGAATTTTCAGCTGCTCCACTAGGGAGTCTTTCGCGGCTAAACACCATTCTTGTTCAACCAGCCTCCTCAACAAACAATGATGCGCGCTTTCACAAGCTAATGAGTTAATTCTGTTAGATGCCTTTTTCATGCGCTTCCTGCCACCTCGATTTTCCCCCGAAATGCCATGACGTAGCCAATACCCCAATACTAGAAATACTAATTCCAGGGATACGCGGTGAAACACAGCTGGACGCGCTAAACAACGACGAGACCTTGTCTTCACCATGCTCCACATCTGCGATAATCCTCACGTGCAAATGCGCGAAGATGACGCATATTGGGTAGTTCGCATCTTGCGACCGCTGCTTGATTGGTTTTTATGGTGTCGGAACCCGCCAGACTCCAAGATCGCGTGTGTGTATTTTTATTCCAAAACCTAGTCCCAGAAACGTTCCTGGAAAGGTTGCTGTAAGAACCCAACTTGCCCAGTTTTCCGGCAGCTCGAGAAGGTCT